CGGCAGCGCCGCCGCCGCCGCGCCGCCGCCGCGCGCCCCGCCGCCCTTGGACGGGGGCGGGCGCACAAAGGCAAAGTCGACGTAGACGGTCTGGTCCAGCAGCTTGGTCTCATGTGCGCCGTCGATGGCGGCGCGCGCCTCTTGGAGCGTCGCGTACTCGATCAGCGCATAGCCCTAGATTTTTTTGATTTTTTTTTCATCATCACCATTGTGTCAGCAAGGCTCTCTCTCTCCCCCTTTCCCTTTCCTCCCTTGCTCAGAAGATTAAAAAAAAGAAGAAAAAAAGAATAACAACACACCTTGACGTATCCGCTCCGCCGGTCCAGGTTGAGGTGCAGGTTCTTAATCTCGCCGTAGTCGCCAAACTTGTCCTGGATGGCCTCCTCGTCCGCTTCCTCGTGCACGTTTGTCGCCATGACGATCCAGCCCTCGATGGACCGCACCGCCGTCGCCTTTGCGTGCGTCTGCATGTCCGCCACCTTGGCCTGCGACGAGCCGCCGCCGCCGCCGCCGCCACCGCCCTCGCCGCCGGTCGTCGGGCTGCCCATGTCGGCAACGACCGCCGCCGCGTCGGCCTCGACCATTTCGACGTCTGCCATTGTCTTTCGTCCAAGTGGGTTTGCCTGTCCTTATTTATTTTTTGGGGTCGTCTGGTTGCGGCAAGGTCGTTGGGTGGATGGAGGGAGGGCTGCTCAAAAGCATGGAGAGAGTGGCACGTCGCGTAGGTCGGGAAGAAGGAGCTCGGCTGAACTGTAACCTTGGGGTACAGGTCGTGGGGCTGGATGGGGCGTCGGTTGGGTTTGCTGTGTGGGTGGGCTGGATATCTTGGCGCAGTAAATGGACAAGCCGTTCTTGAGCTCAGCTTAGCTCGTCGGACAAAGAGCCCCGCGTTTTGGACCACATGCACCGATTGAGAGCTCGAGTCTCGGTTGCTGCACCACAGCACCAAAAAAAAAAAAAGCTGTCGAGGCATCGAGCTGCATCAGCTCAACAGACCCAATCGGTTGCTTGGCAGGGTTCGCCTTAGAATCACGGCTGCGTGCCGACACATCAAAACATGCACTGGACCAGGACATCATCACGTTTCTGCATTCAGATCGGGACTCGGACACAGAAAACATCAAAACTCCATTATTCCCAATTTATCCAAGTCGCAACCTAACACTATGGGTATCGAAAACATCAAAACTCCGTTCTTCCCAGTTTATCCCAGTCGCAATCTAACAATATGGGTATCAATGCTCCGTCATACAATCATCATGTCATCTTTGTAGTCGTATCAGATGCCTCCCAGGCTATCAACGGTAACGTCAAAGTCGTTCATGTCAGACACACCTCCAAGCTTCTCGAGGCCCGAGTACGTCTGTCTCAGTCTGTACACCTGTCTCCTCTTCATCTGGTAGAGCTCCGAGACATTCTTGATCTCCCTCGCAAGCGCGTCTCCCTGGCGCTTGCTGATGGAGGGGTCGTTCTGTGACTGCTCGTCGATGAGCTCAACGAGGCGGTCTGAGGCCTCCTTGGCCTCGCGGCTGACCTGCCTGAACACGATGGCAATGTTCTTGTCGGCCGACTCGCGTGGGTCAGTGGTGGTATCATCCTCGCGGTCCTGCATCTCGCGGGACAGAGGGGCTGGGCGCCGGATCGAGACCCGAATCTTGTCGAGATCTCGGACTCCGGTAGCACGGCTGCCCGATCGGGCGCTGCTGTAGGCCGAACCAGAGGAGCTGCCGCTGGCGACCCTGCTTGTGGTGCGGGTGGTAGTAGTCTTGCTGGCCGTGGACGTGATGATCCTGCTGGCCGAGGATGTGGCGGTCCTGCTAGTGGTAGATGTGGGTGCGGCGGCCGTGCTGGAAGCAATCGGCATAGTGGCGGTCCCGCTAGTGGTAGATGTGGGTGCGGTGGCCGTGCTGGCAGCAGTCGGCATCGCGGCGGGGGCCTTGCTGGCTTGCTCCTGGAGCTCGTGGCTCTTCTTGGATGCCTGCTGGCGGGTCTGGATATCGACATTCTGCTCCTGGAGGATGCCGATCTTCTTCTGGAGATCAAGCGTCCTCTTGCGCTCCTCCTTATGAAGGGTCTGGATGGTAATGTTCTGTTCTTGAAGGACCCCGATCTGCTGCTGCAGGTCATGTATCTTTTTGCATTCCTTCTCGTGGAGCGTTTGGATGGCGATGTTCTGTTCTTCAAGGACTGCGCTCTTCTTCTGGAGATCAAGCGTCCTCTTGCGCTCTTCCTTATGAAGGGCCTGGATGTTGATGTTCTGTTCTTGAAGGACTCCGATCTGTTTCTGCAGATCATGCGTCTTTTTGCACTCCTTCTGGTGGAGCGTCTGGATGGTGGTGTTGTGTTCTTCAAGGACTGCGATCTGCTTCTGCAAGTCATGTGTCATTTTGTGCTCCTTTTCGTGGAACGTCTGGACGCTCATGTGCTGTTCTTGGAGGACTCCGATCTGCTTCTGCAGGTCATGCGTCTTTTTGCACTCCTTCTGGTGGAGCGTCTGGATGGTGATGTTCTCCTCATAAAGAGTCTCGACCTGCTTCTCTAGCATCTTGGTCTTCTGGCACTCCTGCTCGTGAAGGGTCTCGAGCCCATCAATGTGCTTATCGAGAGTGCTGATGTGCTGCTCGAGCACCGAGGTCTTCTTAGATTCCTGGTCGTGCCGAACACGGAGCTCGCCAAGCTCCTGCTCAAGGACCTTCACATTCTTGGAGGATCGGTCGGAGTCGGAGGCGACGCCGCTGTCAGCGCGCTTGCGGGTGGACTTGAGGTGATTGATCTCAGCAGCCAGTCTGGCGATCTCCTCGTGAAGCTTGGTGGCTTCGGCGTGTAGCATGGTGTCGTGGTCGAACAGTGTGCGGACCTCATCGCGGATCTTAGCCATGGTGACGAGTATCTGCTTCTCGTCATTGGTGGTGGAGGTGGAGAAGACGCTGTCGTCATTCTCGTGGTCGCCGCAGTCTTTGAGGTATGCGTGGAAGGGAGGGCGCGGCTTGGTGAAGCATATGCGTCCCGACTCAAGGAACTTGAAGTCAAGAGAGCCGTCCATCAGGGCGTGGAGATGACGGAAGTCAGTCAGTGAGATGGAAGACGTAGGCTCAGTGGCGTCTTGGCCTGAGCGAGGTGCACTTGGGCCACTGGTAGACGTGGGCTTATTCGCGGTTTGGTCTGGGCGATTGACGCTTGGGCCACCTATAGGCACGTGTGATGGTACCGATGACGGTGCTGCGGGGCTGCGGTGGGTCCCGGCCACCACGCGCCGGGCGGACGTACGCGACGCGACCGACGACCGCGACGACCGCGAGAGGGCCCTGGACACGTCCTCACGAGAGCGCTCCACGCGCTGGGGGGCTTGTGGAACTGATGGTCTCGCGGCAACTGATGCTCGAGTGTTGTCCTGCGATGCTTCAGACGAGTCTCCGCCGTATACCTCCTGGTACTTCTTGAGGAACTGCTCGAAGACGGGGTCGTCGGCGGCAATGACGGGCTCTCGAGGAATCTCGCGCGGACGTGCCCGACGCTGTTGAGGGGGCTGGCGGTCTTCTTGAGACGCCAGGGACCGGAAAGGATCATAGGTCCGGAAACGATCCCGGCCTTCTGGGTGAGAGCTGACGGTGGAGATTGTTACGTCTGCGAGGGGGGCGCCGGTGACCTCGTTGAACCTTTGGGCCAACGCGGCCCCGGCTCTGGCAACACGTGCTTGGTATGTTGGGCTCTGCTCCCGAGCTTGCCGAGAGTGGTAGATGCCAGACGACTCGGCGTCTGGGACCGCGCGATTAAAGAGGGCAGACCAGTCGCCAGTCGTGGCAGCCTCACCAAGCTGAATGGCACTAAGGCCGGTGGTGCCATCCGCCGATCCGGTGCTGGATGCGGCCGACATTGTCACAGCGACAGGTAGACGGCAGGTAGATTGGGATTGGATGGAAGGCAGTGATGAGCTGGAATGGAAGGCAGTAATGAGATGTGATTGAAGGCAGAATGCTTGTGAAAGCGCGATGGCGAGAGTGCGATGGCGAAAGTCGGATGCTGAAAGTGCGATTGTGACGACGCGAGCTTGCTCCAAAATGCAATGTTTTGGTTTGTTTGGATTCTGGCAGGACTGGCCGGGGCAGAAGCAGGGACAGGACTAAAAGGCGCTGCGCATTGGCAGTCCCCACCCAGAAAACCGGACCGGGCCCCACTGAGGACACGGCGGAGCGGCAGAACCAGAGCGGCAGAGTCCCCCGTCCTTGCCCCGCCAAAATCCATGACAATTAATGACCGCGACTGCCCCTCACCGGTACCTGCATTTGTCCCGCCAAACCCCCTCGATCAAACCACCTTGGCGCAGATCGCGGGAGGATGACGCAACCACAAAGCACCGCCCAATGGAACCATCATGGAATGCATCAATTGTGATTGAGCAACCACGAGACCCGAGAAGCCACACCCAACAGCACAGTTACCACCTGATAAGCATCACTTCCGATAGCGCCAATTGGGGCCCGCCCGGGCGGACCAGACGATTGTCTGCCCTGGATGCCACCATCCCCGCTCCACCTGGTACTTCATGTTGCGGTAGTAAAAGTCAGCCCTATATGCCGTTGCAACAAGGAGCACCCTCCAAGGGCAGAACGCCGACATCCACACGCATCACCAAAAAGCGTGCAAAAGACCCATGAGTCCAGAAGCAGGTCAGCAGCCGCCCAAGAGTAGAGTGCGGGTATCCACGACCACAGTGCAAGAAGGCCTCGGCGCGTGAGAAGCAGGTCGACTGCCTCGAGCAGTACGCCAGCAAGGCCACCACTGCGTCTGCTACTACTTGACCTTTACGATCCCTGACACCTATAATTTGCTTCGATGGTATATTTAGATGGAAGTAGAAGACGCGAAGGGATGAAAGGCAGCAATTGAGAGTGCTAAACATGGTGAACCCCCCTCCGCCATCGACCTCGAAGATCCATGGCAGGCCGGTGTTCTGGGTTCCGACTATACCCCAGTCGGAGACTGAAGTGGTAGAAAGGCTCTTTGGCGCGTCTTCCGCTAGTGCGCGAGGGGGTGCTTGTTGGACTGATGGTCTGGCAGCAACCAAAGCTCGAGTGTTATAGTGGGGCTTGCCCGTTATGCATTGGGCAAACGCACGCGACGCGACAGAAGGGCGGGAGAGGTTCTTGGACGGGCCCTCCGCTGGTGCACGAAGAAAGGCTGCTGGAGGAATGACAGTAGGAATAAAACAGGAACAATGATAAGAATAAGAACAGAAAGAAAATAAAAACAGGAAAAGCCCATAGAATTAACGATTGTAATACCTGGGACCTGTAAGACTACCATCTTTTTTTGTGGTGGGCGTGGTGGCGAAGTCGTCGGTCGGTGCTGAAGATCGTGACCCAGTTGCCGGCAGCGGCCGCCTCGCCCGGTTCAACGAGCCGAGGCCATCGCGGCACTGCCCAGCCATCGAGGTCTGGTACTTTAGGGGGCGGCGCGAGGGTAAATGCTCGGCGAGCGATCTAGGAGGCAAGATCGGTTGAGGACTGCCGCCATGCCACCCGGACCTGAATCTCCCAGCAAAGCCGAGGACAGCAAGACCCAAAGAGTACCAGGATGGGTCGTGACGGAAATGCCACATGGGTCTCTCGAAGACGAACATGTTGTTGTAGACGGTCCACACGCGGAACACTTCGACAAGCTCTTCCCCTCGGCCACTGCTTATCCACAGACTGTCTGTATGATGCCGTAATCCATCGTGGACGGAGAAACCTACACAAAGGCTGCCGCGGGCTAGACAAGAGTAAGGCGGAGAGGAAGGCATGCTACTCACAGAAGACGATACTGTCGGCCGCGGCACCGACACTAGAAGTAAGGCCACAACTCCTTGATGCCAGTGAAGCACGCCATGTTATCGACAAGACCACTGGTCTGCTACTGTAATCGCTCGCCCAGTTCCATGGCACCCGGGTCGATGCCATACGCTGGATCTCTCTACTGAAGCGGCGACATCATCGGCAACTCGGGCCTGACACCTCGGGTGTTGATAGGAGCTTGTCGTGTTTGTCACTGTGGGATCCGGCCTGGATATCTCTTAGACCGGCAACCATGTTGGCGGACCGAGGTGAAGATCTTGTCCGGAAGACTGATGGCAAGTTGGGTAACAAGGTGTGGGATTGAACGGCGGGACTAGGTAGGCGGCGTCAACCGATACCTATAGTGCCAGATCGTGAACTCTCGGACACGATTGCGACCAAAGCCGGGAGGACACGCAACAAGTGGATCAAGCGACTGTCGGGGCTGCGTCATCGAGTTCGACGGAACCAAACGTGGTCCAAACTGACCGACTGCGTGACGAACAAGGCCGAGAAGGAAGTCCTGTGCGATGGCAAGCAGGACTCCAGGTGTGTGATGCAAAAGGTGATTGCAGGGATGAATGGCACAAGGTTCGGTGGCTCGACCGGTCTGCTGTGAGTGGAGATCGCGTCGTTCTGTGCCGTGCAGATGTGTCAGCGGTGCTACGTGGAGTGGAATAAACAAGAATGGAAGCCGTTGATATATGTATTTTCGGGGGTGACATACCTGGGCTCGGGAATCCTGGTTGGTCGGCGTCACCCATCTCCCTTTTGTGCTCTGGGTGGACAGGGCGTGGGGGCCAAGGGCACGGATCGGTGAAAGTAGACGTCGAGATACAAATCAGAGAGCCGAAGACATGCCGACAGGTCCCCCACCGCTGCGGGTGAGTCGAGGATGGCAAGAAAAATGGCGGTCTTCGAGGATTGGTAGTTGATCATACAGGGAAAAACAGCAGACTGAGGCCATTGACGGATGGAGGCAGGGAGGCCAGGCAGCTCGTGCCGTATTGGATGAGCAATCTGAGCAGTGTAGTCGTGGCGAGGGCGCCCCTTGCAGTTAGTATGCATGGGCGGAAGCTTGGCTGGTGGAATACTGTCGACAAGGCCGGGTAGGCTGGCTGGAACATACCTTGACAAGCGTACTGGTTGTCTCGCCCATCTCCACGACAAAAGAATGGGCGTGCTATTGTTGGGCCCGATACTCGATTTGGGTGGTTGTGTACGTGGGGCCCGAGGCTAGTCGAAGGCTGGCGGCCAGCTACCCGCTGCGGTAGCTTACCCAACATTCTTCCAGCCAGGGGCGGCGCTGGTGGACGAGGACGCCATGCCAGTCCGGACGCCTAATGCGGCCGACCTAGTCTCCGACTCTGCAGTGGCTTAGGCTTTGGTAGAGATCTGACCCCTGGCTGTGGGTAGCTGTTCCGATAATGCCGGGGGGAGGTGTGATCGGAGACATGGAGCCTATGTCTGATGTGCCCGTGGGCAAAGCTAAACGTGAGAGAGGTGGGCGAGTGGATGAAGCGTAGGAGAGGGACACAGGCCGGGAGGGGGAGGTAAGCAATGGACCCATCACCGGAGCCGATGTTGGTCGGCTAGGTTGTTCTTGCTTCACTCGCAAGCATCCCCAGAGGCAGCGCGGGCAACACCTGGCTAGGTTATGGATGGCGGCAGAGGCTACTCTTGCTTGTGGTATAATAAATGGGGGCTTCAAGTACGCCTAAAGTCTGGAAGGGACGGTATGGTTAACTCGAGGGGGGTCATGGGGGCGGGAGATGTGTGGATAATGGAGGAAGGAGGACCTGTCGTACGTCATTCTAGAGACACAGCCAACGGACGAACGTCGTTTTGGACTGAATTCTGGGTAGGTATACTGCCACGCTCACTATAAAAAAGATGGCAGTTTTACAAGTTCCAGGTATTATGATTATTGGTACCATACGTTTTCGTGTTTTAAATACTTTCTTTCCTTTTGCTATCATTATTCTTATTATTATTCCTATTATTGTTCCTGTTTTTATTCCTGTTGTCGTTCCTAGTGTTGTTCCTGGTGTTATTCCCATTTTAATCTTCAAGACTGCCATTCTTTTGTGGTGGGCGTGATTATTTATTGATGGTGACAGGTATGTGATATGGATTGCTATTGATACTCGGCATGCCTTGTTGTCCGTCGATCTGGAACTGGGTATGGCTCAAACCCAAAGCACCGTCAAGACATCGAGAATGAAAAGCAGTTTGAAGTCCTTGCAGCAGTCGGCGCACGTCTCTTGGATCTTCTGCCGAAAGCTGCACCGAAATATCTAGAGAAGGCCGGATCATCATCTTCAACTTGATTGCAGTTGAGTACGCTGGGCTCAGTTGCGACAAGGGGCTTTATTCACCATCGTGATATTACCTGCCGTGTCAGCGCAGATAAGGCCGGCAATCAACTACGTAAATCAGCAGCACATAGCAGACGAACCAAACTCCCTTGGGACAGAGCTGTCGTCTAGCTTCTATAGGCAACCCCAAATTTTATCCATTCTCCCAGACGGCAAGTCAAGTGCCCCACCATCATCGCTCGCCGGCCAGCCGCCTGCTCTGGACCTCACCAAGAGCATTCTTCCCGCTGAGGAAGGTCACGGCGCTGACGACGCCAATGAGCGGGAGGACCTGGAACAGGGTCCAGCCGCTGTAGTAGAGGAAGAAAATACCCTCCATGGCAAGAATGGAGCCGAAGAAGGTCGCGTGCGACACAGGCGAAGCGCCGAGGGCCTTTTGCAGGTGGTTTAGGTTGGCGCCAAGGAGTGACCACTGTAGATCAACGTAACGTCGGTTAGAAAAAGTCGATAAACCCAGCCGCACGTGCGATGCCCAACGATAGGCCCAGGGTTGAATAGGCGACTTACGCTGATGAACAGGATCGGCACAGTGGCCGCGACGGCAGCGGCAAAGACAAGAGACACGATCTTGGGCGGCGAGCGGGGGTCGTCGCGAAAGACATGATGAATCTCTGGCTTCTTGGCGTAGCGGACCGGCGCGTCCGCCTCGGCGGCCGGCACCGCGGCGTCCTGGGCGAGCTCGACTTCAAACACGGGGGCTACAACGCCCTGCGCCGAGCCGAAGGAGCCGATCACGATGGACGCGCGGACGGGCTTGCTCGACTTGAGGAGCTGTTCGGGCACGTCCTTGTGCGCCTGTGGGGTTTGGAAGAGCAACTCCGGTGTTAGCCTGGGTCGTGTCGCTGCGAATTTCTATGGCCTGCAGATGTAGCTGGGACGACCCACAATCTGAACGACAGCCTTGCCGTTCTCCTTGACGGTGAACGGGAATGGGGCCTCGAGACCGGTCTCGGGCTCCTGCAGGAGGACAAACGCCTGGTGCGGCCGCTTAGCCTTGCCACCGTCCTTGGTCGTGAGGATGACCTTGAGGGAGTCGGCGCTGCCGAGGCGCAGGCTCTTGGAGAGGGGCGACATTGCGCTCAGCCTAGGGGAGAGAGCGAGAGTGCCACCCAAGTCAGCGCGGGTTCCGAGTGGTGACTGGTTCCGGGGAATCGGCCGTACTTCTCCTTGACGGGGTCCCCGCCCTTTTTCGCAGAGACACTGACGGAGGCATCGTCGAAAGTCCAGGCCGTGGCGGCCTGGGCGACGCCAGCTGCTAGGAGCAGGACAGCCGAGGCGGCGGATCTGAGCAGTACCATGTTTGCTCTGTCGGCTTAGGTTGTGTGAGGTGTCAATTGCAATTGACGGGCGGATTGTGGTGCGGACAGAGAGCTTGCTCAACCAAGACCAGACAGCTTCGCGATCAAGACACCTGTTGAAGCTCCATGCCCCAGCTGCTGTTACGTGGCGGCGGCTGGACCCACACGGGTGCGGCACTGTGGAGACTCGGCCAGTGAATTGCGACAGAGGCGACATGCGAGTCACGTGGGAACATTCCGTTGTCAGCTTCTCCCCTCCCCCTAGATCAGTCTGTAAGGCTGAGATTCAGGTGGTCACGCGAGGGGAATATTCACAAGGTGTGTATTGATATATTCTAGACTCGGATCCGAACCCCATGTTTGGAGCTCGTGGCGTGCGACTCAACTTAAAGCACAGCCCTCAGTGTTAAGTGAGACACCGCCAGCACCCAGCCCATTTACTCTGCCAATCCATAACTGGCTCTGAAAAGGCCGCAGCAGGCAATAACAATATCCTCACATCTAAAATGCAGAGCCCAACAAGATCATCTAAAGCTCGTCCTTCTCCCTCTCAGACTTCATATCTATAGGGTTGACAAACAGCCCGTCCAGCTCCATCCACTCGGCGGCAAAGGCCGTGACGAGCTTGGCCCAGTCCTGGAGCGCCGCGGCGTCGAGGTGCTCGGCATCGTCTTCCATCTTGTGCCACACGCTCGGGAACGGGGTCGGGATGACGTGCAGGATGTCGACTCCGCGGTTCATGAAGGGCACGTGATCGTCTAGGACGTATCCGCCTGGGACGAAGTGGTACGACCGCTTCTCAACCTCGGGGAAGAAGGGGCTCGGCGGGTTGCTCTGCAATAGGTCCAGCTTGCGCATGCGGCCCTCGATCTCAGCGAGGTTCTGGTACGCCCAGTGCGTGGGTTTGAAGTAGGAGGGGATGGTGGGGTTCGCGGCCCCGAGGAGGTCCAGGAGCATGAAGAGGCTAATGGACTTGATCGAGGTCTGGTGTATGGATGACGCGGGGTAGACCTCATTTTCCCAGTCGGCAGCAAGGGCTCTGTGCAGCGATGAGACGAAGGGGTCGTTAGCTCCGGATAAAAGGACACACCCCGTCAGCCCGATCCATACCTTGAGCCGTAAAGCGAATCGGTGTCCGTCCAGGACACCCAGGCCTCCTCGCCATCTAGCAGCACGATCTGCACGCCCTTCTCCTCCTCGATCCCGGTGCCGACGTCGCCGCTCGTCATCATCCTAGCCCACCTTTCGGTCAGGGGCGCGTCGATGCTGCGGGCGACGTGCATTAGGATGGCGCAGGGGGCGGCGCTATCGGTGGCGCCAATAAAGCCCTCGGGCACGACCAGGCTGTCGTAGTGGGCGACCAGGGTCAGGCGGGCGACGTCCCCGGCGGCGGCCCAGGGCGGGTCGCGGCGGAAGATGAGGTTGCGGAACGGGACATCCCGGTCGCCCGTGGCGGGGGTCTTGGACGTGGAGTTGTGCCAGACGACGGACCACTCTGGGAGGCGGCGCGAGAAGAAGTCGACAAAGTGAGACTGCACCTTCTCGGAGCCGAGGGTGCCCGGCACGCGGGGGATCAGGATCGGGGCCAGGAGGGCGCCCTCGCGGATGTCAAAGTCGGCACCGGCGGCGGGTATGTTTTTGAGGCTTGCGTCGGAGAGTTTGCCATATGCAGAGACAAGTGGCAGCGGCAGCAGCAGCGCCATGCATAGGCGGACCACGAGGGCCGCCGCGTCTCCAAACATGTGGCACAAAACACGCGGCCTGCCTGGCGTGGCGGCAGTGTATTCGGTGGTGGGCGTCGGAGGCGGCTGACGGGGCCCGATGGATTGCCGAGGAGCGCAGCTGAGCCGTCCAATTGTTGCGAGGCGATCGACGCCGTCGGGTTCGACAGGGGACACGACGCCCCAACACCACACCCCGGTTCCGCCTGCAGTTCCGCCTGCAGGACCCCTCCCCAATATCCAATCCAGCCGATGCTCCTTCGGGGCATCATTGATGTCTTCTTTCCGCACCCCGCTCCCCGGCGAGGGAGGCGCGCCCAGCTCGAGTGCATCCCAGCGAAATCTCGGTATCCCCTCGTCTCGCAAGTGCCTTCCCACGGTGCCACGCTACCGAGATTCCTTCCTGCTTCGAACAGTTCCACGGCCAAAGTGAGAGCCCGGGCTGTGGCTCAGCGCAATTAGGCTTAATTTGATTCAGTTTGGCTTCTCGCCGTCATGCGACATCCCTACACCCCCACTCCGCCAAGCGACCACTCAGCCTGGGCTGTAGGGGTCCAAGCTGCTGGCCGCTGTGGATGCACCCTCCCGTCGGGGAAACCAACCCGATGGTATTGTTGGCGCTTTCGGACGAGGGAGGATGGGACAAGGACGGGAGAGCCGCAGCCGGCGAGTGAGACCAACCTCTGGCGCCTGGGCTTGAGGGCTTGAGGTAAGTATCGTCATTCTCTGACGGCCAGCCATGATTTGGGGGAGCTTTTGGTAGAGTCTAGTCTAGTCCGGTCTAGGTAAGTTCCTGTCGGGTTCCAAGACGCGCATTCAAGAGAAACAAAACAAGCCTTGATCCTCTAGGCCACCAGTCATGCTAGTGACGCGAAGTCGCCTGTGCGCACAGCATGTTTATGTTTCATTCATCTCAGGCCAACATCCTCTTCTGTTAAAGAATCCAACGCTAGCTGCCGGGCGGACTAGACGATTCATGGTTTTCGGGGCCTCGAGAGACAGCATGCATGTCGCACGAGGTGGCATTGGCAACCCGTTCGGCAAACCGTCCAGCAAACGCCCCATCTCAAAAATCAAGCCTAACTGCGCTGCAAAGCAAAATGCAACAACGGCTGCAGTCAGACAGCTCGGACGAGCTCGCCGCGCCTCGCATGCTTTCCTTGGAGCAGCTTACCATCACGAGCTGGAGCCCGGAGCTTTCTGCGCGCAGGAGCTAGAACATGATGAATACGAGCCATCCCGCATCAGTCCAGACCCATCTCCCCCACACCCTCCCAGGGTTTGCCGCCACTCAATAGCGCCGCCGCGATGGTTCCGGACAGCGTATTCCGCCCGCCCAGTGAGACAGACAGGTGTTTTGCCTGAAAAAAGACAAAGAAAAACCTGGGGGTGATCATCAGCATAACCGATACGTGAGTCGGTCTTGGGCTGGCACAGTGGTGAAATACGAATTGCGCTGCGAGTGGCACCCCGTGATGAAGATTGGGGATTCGATATTGATTGCCCGATATCTGAGAGCGCCACCTTCGCACATGCCGTCTGGAGAGTGCGACACGGAGTAGCGCTCCCGTAAAACCAGACATTGTGAGAGACATTGGGCTGTCTCCCACTGGGCAATATCTAGTGATAACGCCAACCTGTCTGCACCCAACCTAGCCTACGACGTCCGCAATAGTCGCTTATCGAGGGCCCATCTCAACGTCGTCGCCGCGCGTCGGAGCATTGTTCGCCTGACTGGCGGCTGGGTCTATTCCCTTCGGGGCTTCAAATGGGCTGGTCATCGGCTTGGGGGTCATGCAGCTGCAAGCCTTCACAAATGGGAAGAAAACAGTACCGGCGGCGGCGCGTTCCACTTGCGAGAGGACCCTGTCGCTCGAGAGAATCAAAACAAAGCAGGCGTCTGGATTGGGCCGGCGTGGGCGTGAGTTGCAGCCTAGGGCGGGCCCCAGCACCACCCATAACCCCTGCACCCGCCGAAGCTAACCCACCTGGTGACCACCTGGGCGACGCACCCCCAGCGTGACCCGCGCTAGCCAAGCCAAGCCGGGCGACCAGAGCGGACAGGCAGTGTGGTAATTGCTCGATGGCATCGTGGAGCCAGCCGACGGGGCTGTCCACAGGGTGATACGGCACATGGGATGAGATGGGACGGTGTCCCTTGCCCCCCCGGCTGCGCAATGTCCTCATTTGCTCTCCTATTATTCCCTGTCCCCCATGGTCCGGACCATACAAGTAGCGTCTTTGCTGCTTTCCTTTCCTTCTCCGTGGTCCCAGCCCCTCCTCGTCACCAGGCTCTGTCTGATAACATTCGTTCTCGTTGTCGATTCCATTCGCTTTTGCCGACGACTTTCTTGCCCAGTCGCACACGCTTCCGCCATTCCATAATCCTCTGGGTCTAATAATACCTAATTCCTCGACCTCGACCTCGATCTCGATACGATTTTAATTCGCCTTGATATTTTCTCACAAAAACACCACACATCCAAAATGGTTTCCCTGAGGTCAACTCTCATGGCGGCTGCCGCCATTGTCGCCGGCGTCCAGGCCGACTACTTCATTCAGCCCTCGAGCGTGCCGCTGGGCACCCGGAACGCGTGGTGCACGAGCCAGAAGACCCAGTGCCCACCGATCTGCCTCGACATGGACCCTGCCTCAGGCAGGCCAATCAAGAACACCTGTGACGCCGTGAGTAGACGTCACTTTGATGTCTTGAGTATTCCGTCGTGGACTAACAGGGTTCGAAACATAGGCCACCCTGAACTACGAGTGTCTCTGCGGAAACAACGTCGCGCCCAACCTCACGTGAGTACGCCCTTCGTGACCGTCGTTCGCAGGGACGTTATGGATGGGGATGACCATCTGGCTAACATATTACTTGCCCATGTCACAGCGAGTACTCCCTCACCATGCCGTACCACAAGTGCGTGCAGTTCCAAGAAAACTGCGTCGGTAACTGCGGTCTCGCCAACAACGCTTGCGCCGACTCCTGCCGCAAGGACATCAAGTGCGGCGCTGCGAGCCCCAAAGGAGCCACCAACATCACGGCGTCGAGCACAGCCGGTGGCAGCGCCGCCGCCACGTCGACGACCTCCGGCCCCACGCTCCAGACCGGGTTCGGCAACGCCGGCGGCGGTGGTGGTTCCAGCTCCAGCAACTCGCTGCAGGCTTCGCTGTCCCTGGCCCTCGCCATCACCGGCGTTCTCGTTGCCCCGCTCATGCTGTAAGCAGGGCATAAAAATGGTGGGCGCGATGGCCGGTCGTTCGCGTCGGGTATTGGGGGCTCGACATCACTGTCGCAAGACCATCCCGGGTCTTGCGGCTATTGTCAGTACGGGGTCATGTTTCATCGGTCCTAGGTTGAAGAGCAGGAACGAGCAAAAAGGAAATTGACAAGCTTTAATGGCGTGCATTTCGAGCATGTTTTTTTCTCGGAGTCGGCGTTGCTGCATGGTTCTCGACTGTTGCATCGGAACCCGTTAATATATATAGACGTCTCTCGACGTCGTGCTCTTGGGCTCAGGTTTATGTCTCGCATCGTCCCAGTGTCAATTCCTTGGTCCACGCATCCCATTGTGGCGTTTCGTGACGCAACATGAGGCTAGCAAGGCCCGATACTCATCCCAGAGGGCTGCACACGAGCGATTGGTCCTCCGCTCATGAGCCGCCTTGATCTGCGGATGGCCTCGATGCGTTGGGATAGCCTAGGCAAATATTAGCGACTACTCACCGCAACAACATCGGGTCTCGTGTCCAGAGTGTCTTGTGACACTACTTCCCGCTGCACGTTGACACGCAGGCAGCCAGACAGGACGGCCGTTGAGCAGCGTGCGGTGGGTTGGAGGCAGGCATGTGCCTTGCATATAATAATACCACGATGGGGGAATTTTCATGTTGTGGTAATGGTTTCCCGCTGCCAGCTGTCGAGGGCAGGGCTGCGATTGAGACCATCAACAGTCAGCTTAGCGGCTCAACGACTTTCACGTGCCAATTTCTGAATCCCTGCCGGCCCTCCATCGGCTTCGGCGTGATGGCCCGGGGTCCGCTGAACGCAGGTGACCCGATTGGACTAAAGCAAAGCAGCGATTGATTTTTTTTTCATGTCGCTTTCTGTCAGCTTGGCCAATTGCTGGCTCCCCGGAGCTCAAGGGCAAACAGGACGGATTATCAGATGGGACAACAGAACCAGGAGTCATGGATGTCTGGCACGGGTGGGAGATGCGGTGGGCAGAGGCCAATAAGCTTCATGCCCCTCCTCGACTGAATTGCCCTGGCAGAGAGATGTTCTCGTTCGTGCAAGAAGCAGCACATGAGCACGAATCAATGGATCACAGCTGCAGCTCGCCCGAATCTGGCGCAAGGTACCATTCAAGGCTGTGCCAAAGTGGGTAATTCCGGCTTTGCCGACCGGGTTGGGAAGCAGCGCGTGCAGGATATTTCGCGTCGTCCGGTACGTTGTCGTTTGCACACAGCACTGTGAGCACACATCCAGAGCAGCAGCGGCAAAGAAAGGGGGCCCGCCCTGCATGTGGGAACTGCAGGGGGACTTGGTGCGTGCATGTGCCTGCTTTCTGCTGGTCTGTCCTCAAGTTGTGCTGGCCTTCTGGTCCAATGCGGTGTGCAAAAAAACGTGCTTGCTCATGGCTCGGCTGTATTTGAATTTGACCTCTCCAGCTGCAAGTGACGCTTGAAAAACCTCGCAGTGAAACCCCCCAGCAGTTCTCCTCCTCCCGCGCCAACCCGCATGTTTTAGCTAGTACCACTACCCGCTGGCGCGCGCGCACTGCTGCCGACCTCTGTCCATTTCTTACAACTGCTCCTGCTGTCGCCCTGCCGCTTTCCGGAGCATGCCCGCAACACCCCAGCTAGGCGCATGAGCCACCAAAGCTTCCCTCCCGCATCCCGCACATCCCTGGGCAGATCGCTGTATCCCGCCGCTGCCCCTTTCCTTGTCCCGACCGCGGCCAGCCAAACAAGACTTTCCATCCGACCCGACCAGTCTGCCATCCAGACGTCTCGCCGGCAACTCCTCGTTCGCCCGCCATCGTCGCCATCATGGCTCCAACAGACAGCAGTAAGCCCACACCCCTGGCCGAGCACCCACTGACTGCCCGCGGCCCTATGACGACAGCGCAGCGCGCAATGACGGGGACGCAGGCTAACGAGCGCACGCCCCTCGCGCGCCCTCCTGCAGAGACGGCAACCGCCGAGTGCATCTCGGACGATGCGCTCATACACCTCAAGTCGTACAAGTACTCGAGCGTCGACAAGTCGCCTGTCTCCAAATACATCATGCAGCCTTTTGTACGCGATTCCGATTCCGCCCACCACTGGCCTCCCCATCCGTCCCTCGCGCGCTCCAAGACGTCCGAGTACAATGAAAGATACAATGAAGAAAACACAAACCGAGAGAGGGCATCGTCGCTAACCGTTCAATGCCGAGTTGGGTTGGCTCTTTACCTAGTGGAACGCGTCGGTCGAACTGCTGCCCATGTGGCTCGCGCCCAACATGGTGACCCTGATAGGGTTCGGCTTCGTTCTTTTCAACGTGGGGCTTCTGGTCCTTTTTATGCCGGATCTTGAGGGACCGGTACGTCATTGTGCGCGTGTATAAAACTAGCGAGAAAGGGGGCCCCTGGTTCTGCCCTCCCCTATGGAACGCTAGACCAAGCACGAAAAAAAGGAGAGCTGGTGGACTGACACATCCCCTCGGCCGCTTCCGCGTGCAACATCCACAGGGACCGTCATGGCTATACTACAGCTTCGCCTTTGGGCTGTTCATGTACCAGACCCTGGATAACCTCGACGGCAAGCAGGCCAGGCGCACGGGCATGTCGAGCGGGCTGGGCGAGCTCTTCGACCATGGCATCGACTCGCTCAACTGCACCCTGGGCAGCCTCCTCGAGACGGCCGCCATGGGCCTCGGCGTGTCCAAGTCGGGCGTCTTCACGGCGCTCTGCCCCTGCCTGCCCATGTTCTTCTCGACCTGGGAGACGTACCACTCGCACACGCTCTACCTCGGCCGCATCAACGGCCCCACCGAGGGCATCCTGATCGCCTGCTCCATAATGGCCATTTCGGGCTACTACGGCCCGGGCATCTGGACGGAGCGGTTCGTCGACATGGTGGGGGCTGAAAATATGTTTGGCTACGCCGACATGCTGGGCGACTACTCGATCCGCGACTTCTGGATTGTCATCATCATCAGCTCCCTGCTGCTCACCCACGTCCCCTTCTGCATCTACCACGTCGCCCTGGCACGCCGCTCCAGGGGCCTGCCCGTGGCGCCCGTGTTCCTCGAGTGGACGCCCATGGCCGTCTTCACGCTCTCCATCGGCGCCTGGGTCTACTCGCCCTTCTCGACCATCCGCAGCGGCAACCACATCGTTCTCTTCTGCTCCACCATGTCCTTCGTCTTTGGCCGCATGACGACAAAGATGATCCTCGCCCACCTGACTCGCCAGCCCTTCCCCTACTGGACCGTCATGCTGTGGCCCCTGGTCGGCGGCGCCGTTCTGGGCAACCTCCCGCACCTCGGGCTCGCCGCCGTCTCGGCCGACGTCGAGCTGGCCTACCTGTGGGGGTACTTCTTGTTCGCCGCCGTCGTCTACTCGCGCTGGGCGTACCTCGTCATCACCAGCATCTGCGACTACCTCGGCATCAACGCCCTGACCATCCCACGCGAGAAGCAGGAGGAGAACAGGCGCAAGATGCTGGAGCAGAAGCAAAAGCCCGTCGCCAATGGGGCCACTAATGGTGTCGCCAACGGCAACAGGAAGAAGGTGCAGTAAAAAGGTTCCAGCAAGAGCGCCGTCGTGGGACTGCTGCCGAGGTCCGAGTCTGCTATGGTGATCACTTTTTGTCGCTCATGTCCATTTATCGGTAGCATTCATTCTCCTCTCTCGTCCGGTCTTTCTGGTGGTGCCCTGTCTCTCCAAAAGGATGGAAGGGGCTGGTTTTTATACACTATAATAATGGTTCGGTCGGCATGAATAGGGTGTTGCATTTGCATCGCATGCTTGCAAGGGTCGGCGTTGAAGGACGGACGGACGTTTTTTTTTCTTGGAGATTTCGATCCATGGGGTTTGTATATAGCCTGTGACCGTGGAAGGGACACCAGCCGCTGTCTGTTGTCGTTGAATTTTCTTTTTCTTTTTTTAACCTCTGCGAAGCCTGACGGAGATCTCGACATTGGGGACCACAATTTCTGATCAATTGCTGAAAGGGTATGATGGAAGTGTCCAATCGTTGCCATGTGTGATTACGTGACGGGAGTCTTCACGGAGCCCCCCCATGCCTCATCCGGGCGTGACAGTTATCGCCGCAGAGGACGTGCATGCGGCGCTTCGGCGATAGGGACGTCGAGGCCAGTCGGGGTTAAGGCTGCGTCCCTGCACGACGGCCCCGCCGTTGAATACAATTGCTTACAACCGACAAAGGGGGCTTTCCATCTCCGTCACGTCCAGCGTCGGGCTTTGTGTCGGCGTCAGGAGGCAGCCATGTTGTCTGGCCAATTCCGTGGCATAGTTGACGATGATGGGCAGTGTGGCGATTCCGTCCATCACTCCCTTGTGCAGGATGAGTGATGGATGCGCGTTTGGAAGCCATCTCCCTCGAGATATAAAAGGGGCCTTCTTTCGTGGGCTTTGGGAAGACGGATATGATTGTAGTTCATTACATCCAGCATCCCTAAGAGCATCTACCTACTACCCAGCTGCTAGATATCAACTCTTCGATCCATCACTCAAGGCCATCTCCAACAACCCCTCCGCCCCTCTTCCAACAAAACCCCCTCTCGTCGCAATGTCGTCCTCCAGCAGCACCCCGGTGTGGTTCATCACGGGCGCTAGCAGCGGCTTCGGCGAAGCCGTGGCCAAGGAGGCGCTCGCGCGCGGCCACCGCGTCGTCGCCAGCGCGCGGTCGGCCGCATCCCTCGCGGGCCTGGCCGCGACCGGCGCCGCCGTCATGGCCGTCGACGTGACGGCCCCGGACGCCGAGCTGGCCGCCAAGCTAGCCGAGGCCGCGGCCGTGCACGGGGCCATTACCCACGTTCTCAGTAGGCATCTCCTCCTCCCCTCCTCTCTCTCTGCGTAGTAGATATTTTCTGACAAAGGAAAAAAACAACAGACGCCGCGGGCTACATCCTCGAAGGCGCGGTCGAGGAGGCCTCGGCCGCCGAGTCGGCCGCCATGTTCAACACCAACGTCCAGGGCGCCGTCAACATCAGCAAGGCCGCCATCCCACACCTCCGGCGCGCCGCGGCCGCAGCCGCAGCATCATCAGCCGCCGATTCGTCGTCGTCGTCGCCCTCGCGGCCTACCCCCGTGCTCGCCAACTTTGGCAGCCTGGGCAGCTGGTTCGGCTCGCCCGCGTGCGCGCACTACTGCGCGTCCAAGTGGGCCGTCAGCGGCCTGTCCGAGGGGCTGGCGGCCGAGCTGGCGGGGCTGGGCATCGCCGCCACCGTTGTGGAGCCGGGCTACTTCCGCACCGGCTTCCTCAACACGGCGGCCTCGGGGAGCAAGGAGCGCCGCGTCAGGACGGCGGGCCCGCTGCCCGACGTGTACGGGCCCGGCACGGCCGTGGGTGCCGTCCGGGGCGCGCTCGAGGGCTACGACAACGACCAGCCGGGCGACGTCGTCAAGGGCGCCAGGGTGATCGTTGACGTGCTGACGGGCACGGGCGTGAGTAGCGGTCGCCAAGTGCCGCCCCGCATCGTCCTGGGCACCGATGCTCTCGAAGGGATCCGAAAGAAGTGCGAGGAGACGCTGGCGCTGCTGAAGGAGTGGGAGGATGTTGCACGCTCCACCGACTACTGAGTGCCTGCAATATGCTGTTCGCAGTGGGAGCATGTTAGACTAGATGTTTCAAGGTGTTATAGACTCGGCGCTTGGAGATTAGAAGTTAGAACGGTGATAGGATTAGATTTCATAGTCGCTGCTTAGATTCATTAGACCTATTTGAGCCATATCTCGTGCTTCGCTCTCGTGAGAGTTAACGTGTGTAAGGAGAAAGGAAGAAAAAAAATGAAAATGATCCGCCTATGAAACAGACCAGAACACAAATATCTCATGGCAAATGCGTTCGAAGCCCGAAAAAAAAGTATTAGGTATAAAGGTTGTGGCCTCTGCGGCCGTGCTTGGTGTTGCCAGGTCTTGGTTCGCCAGCAGGTGGAGTGTGCTATCAGGAGAAGAGGAATTCCTTGAGGACTGGCGCTCCAGAGAATTCAGGATTCAATAATATGCAACTAGAAGTAACGTCAGCATCGACCAAGTGCGTGACTTTTCTGGGTATACTGCTTCGAGGGCGAACGCGGTTCCTTGTCTTACTTCAAAAAGTACTGCAGTCCCGACCTCCGCTTCTCAAGAAACTTGGGCCGGAACTTGGCGATGACGCTCTTGGGAGGCAGCGCAGGCACGGCCGCCTCGAAATTGGGAAAGGTAATCATGAGCTTTTCACGGAGGTCGTCAAACTCCGAGTAGCGTTTGCGGATGTTCATGTAGGAGCCCTGGTCGCAGCGTCAAAGTCAGCTAGGTGGTCCCGGGCAAAGCACCCTCCCCGACGGGAAGGAAGTAAATACAGAACAAAACGTACGCTCAGGGTCTCTACCCGAATGTTCCAGACGACAAACGCGCCAATGTTGGTCGCGCTGCCGTTGACGACGACGTGGTCCGTGACCGACACGCTCTTGGCCCAGCATGCACGGTTGCGGTCCCTCCCCGAGAGGTGTCCAGGCTCGTCGTCGCCGGCGCCTGTGTCGTTGTCCTGCAGCGTGATGCCCCCCGGCGGCGCCACGCTCTCAGTCGAGTGGTTGTTGTCGAGCCCGCCTGGCCCGAGGTAGCCGCCGTTCCTGGAGCCGCCGCCACCGCCGCCGCCGAGCAGGTGGTGGTGGGTCGGGCTGTGGGTCCAGTACGGCGGCGACGTGACGGGCGATGACGTGGTCGGCTTCGAGAGGGAGCTCGCGCCGTCATACGTTGCCGCGTCGTCGTCGAACAACGGCGCGCGCGCCTCACCGCCGCCGTTGCCGTTGCCGCCGTTTGGCCGCTGGGGTTGGGCGGCTCCGGGTGCGCCACCACCACCGCCACCACCGCCGCAGCCGCCGCCGCCGCTGGCCGTCGGCGAGGACGCTGTCACCTCGGCCGCCATGGAGCCATATGGATGTGTGGAGGCGGCTGGTCTCTTGCCCGGGGGAGCACTCCAACGGGAACTGGAGGGGCGGGATGCGGGCCGCGCAATTGCTTAGTCGATCCGGGTCGGTCTGGGCTCCAGCAGCTGCAGGTTTCTTAAAGGGCGGCGATTTCCCAGGATCGTGGGGTTTGGGATCGAGTTCCCGTCAGGATGTGCCAACGTCGTGGAAATTGACTTCGATTCTGTTGGGACCGATGCGAGTCCTTCCAGTGACCCAGGCCCGCGGAATCGTGGGGAACAAAGGACGAAGATCGCGTGGCTCCATTGCCGTGGGCATGGATTACGTTTCAGGTCGACGCCTGGTGATCATGGTTGTTTCCGGGCACAGCCTGCATTGGCACTGACTCGCCCAGCTGCCATTGTGCTGTACCTCCACACACTTCATCCTAACCCAATCCAATCAATTGACATCCATCGCAATCGCAAAGTGCGTGCACGCATCCAAAGAAACGATTAGAACAAATGAAATAGCCGGACTCCAAGAGCCCGTAATGGCGACGGCCAAATACCCGCACCTGGGTCACTCCCTCACTGCACCACCAACTGCCACTCTAGAAAGAAATCCCTGCCTCGTCACGTCGTATCCATGTCTGCCTTGAGCCTGGCCAACCGCCGCTTCTCCCACGCTTGCTGGCGTAGCTGCGCCTTCTCAATCGCCTTGAGCTCGCCGGCTTTGCGCTTCTCTTCTTGCTTTGCGTAGGCCGGGCTCTTCTTGTCCTGATAATTGGACGTCTTTGCCACGGCCTTTCGCGCTGGTGGCTTGGCGGCCCCGGGCTTGGGGACCCATTCCATCCGTTTGTCGTCAAACAGATGGCTAGAACCCTGTCAGCCTTTTCTCGTGGGCGCAGAGTGAACAATAGACTCACCCCTTGAAATCTCCGTTGATGAGGGACTTCTCTCCATACTCTGCGGCAAGCAGGTCCCTGTACCGATACGGTATCTTGACGGGGGAGTTCTCGAACGTGGAGTCCCTCAGCGGGAATATGTACGTGTCCTGCAAGAGTGTCATAGAAGTTGCATGAGTACATCTCTCCATTTAGACATCAACAACCGAAGGGCAGACGCACCCTAAACTCGTGGCCATCCTTGCAGCCGAGCATCCCCTTGCCCTTTGGATGCGAGAGGTTGTATCGCACAGAGGTTATGTCGATAAAGAGACCAGTCGACGTGTCGATCCAGCGGGCATCAATCTTGTTCATCTTGTCGGCCCTGCTCGGGTTCTTGTATCCAGGGTTGATGTCGAGGAGATAGTCCACGCCCTCAGGGATCCGCGGCGTTTGGTAGTGCCATATCGACATGTTGTAAAACGCGGCGAGGTAGTACATGGTCGACTCGGTCACCTGGACGTCAACGTCCGAGTCCCATGGCATAATCTGTGTTGGGTTTGGCGTCGGCCGTCGTCAGTATGCCGTGACCGCCACATGTGCGCTTGGCTGATGCTCGCTTACCCCTTTGTTCCACCACCACCCCAGCAGAGACCCATGCATCAACCATGTCTCTAGGCCAAGGTCTGCGAAAGTCGCCAGATATGTTTGCAGAAGATTCTTTAGAGCGATTTTCTGTTCGTTGTAGCCGAGCACTCGTTTCCCGAAACTTTGCTGTAGGTCAGTTTCTGTCACATGCCGGGGGGTGTGTAAACAACGGCAAGTCCGCGTCTGGGAAATCGTACCGACGGTCGTAATGCTGATGGAAGCTAGATTAGATTGATGTGTTAGCTGTTGAGGCATGATAGCTTTGGCTTTGATGTGTCTAATCTGATATTTGCGAATTCTGCTCGACATATGGGCAGGTAATTCTTACGATGCCTCGCCTAGTGTATCAAACAACATCGATTAGCCTCTTCAACCGACAACATCCACATTCTACTCGGGACTGCTCACGAAAATACTTAGGGGGCCTGGCAGGCCAAGGGGCCTTCTTCTGCGGCAGTAATGGCGCGGTGTTTGTGATGTTGAGCTGAACGGGGTGCTGGTTTTGGTTCGTAGCATCCGGGATTATGCACCAGGTGACGGGAGCCAGCCCAAGAAACAAAAGCGGCAATTTGATTCGCATACTTTGGGAAAACCCTCAGGGAGAAAGCTGATTGTAGAAGATTGGTGTGAAAGGTGAAATACCAAGACATCCGGCAACTTTGGACCTCAGACAATACCAAGATGAGAGGATATCCAGGTCTCCATAACCCCATAGAACAAAATTTAACGAGTGATATCGAGGTGGAAAGGGCCCGGACATACTATTCGACCTCCTGGGCGAGCTGCTATCTAAATACATAAAGATACAAAGAGGAATCCTCAAGGCTGTCGTCTTGATGTGTGGGGTATGCATCACGAATATTGGGCTAAGTCGTGTCGCGTGCCAGTGCACTAGATTTGTCAGTTGTGGTGTAAGAACTGGTATTGTCTACGTCTCTTGGCAGCTATCTCCTGACTAGAGTGTCTCGCTTGTTCTCGAGACGCGGCTTTTGGCGGCTCTTGGCAGCGTTTTACGCAGTCGAAGCCGCGAGACACATTCCGGTGTCCCAGCAGCCCAGCGAACCCAGCGCCTGGGCAGATGAAGACTACGCCGTGACTTGTTTCCAGCGTACTTTTAATTGGCCAGGTTGAAGGCATGAACCAAGACATGTCACGCGTCAGATTGCTGCTTTTGGGGATAGTATCAGAGTGAGGAGGGGTGGATATTGTTCCAAAAGAATAAACGATACAAGCAACACATATCCAGCGCAAGCCCATTACATGCATCCGAGTGCTAAGCAAGGAACATAATATCAGACTAAATTCTACAAGAAAAGGCACACCCACCTGCCTCAACAGCCAACAAAAAGGCGATTAGGACTGCAAAAGCACGAAAAGGAATGAAAGTAGGAATAGTGACAGGAACAACAACAAGAACAATTATATGAATAGTAATAGGAGGGATAATAATAGGAATAAAAAAAAGAAGAAATAGGAATAGGAAAGCCCATAGCATTAACTATTCTAATCCCTAAAATCTGTAAAACTGCCATCTTTTTTGCAGTAGGCGTGCTTGGTCGCATCGACACTCTGCTCGTGGTGGTGCAAGGGGTTGGGCTGGTGATGTAATCGATCCGCTTCATGCAAATAACCTGATCTGATTGGCCCATCCGATCGCCACAGTAACAACGCGTGACTGGACCAGTATGTTTACGGTGCATGCCATTTCCCCACCAGATCCATTCCAGTCGCGTCGCCCTTTAATGGCGATTGCACGCGCTCCCCCTGGATAGCACTTGTCGGGCAGCGCATCGGACATCGTGAACCCCACCAAGACCCGGCCGACGCCGACAAAGTCCATCCTCAGCCACCATGTCTGCCGAATCCAACATGACGATGCCCGCGGTTAAGAGGTCGCGGAAATCGCTGGGTGGGTTGCCGTCAAGGAGGACGCTGGAGAAGGAGAATGCAACCGTGGACCTCGCATCCACGTCCCTCGCCGCCAACCGTAAGAAGTCGCGCAGCAAGAGCATCGGGCCTGGTGGTCTGGATGCCTTGAAGCCCAGTAATGGGAACAGGAGGGTGGTGAGTGCGCGCCGTGCTGCTCCGATATGTGACGTAGGCCCCTGACTGACTTCCACGCCACTTGCTGGCCATGCAGTCACTGGCAGCCCCCGCGGGGCCCCCTCCGCGCTCTATCCTGAAGCCCACCATCCCAGTCCTCCCCGAAATCCCGCCACACAGGCCCAGGACTTCGGCCGGCCGCGACAGCGACTCGACAAAGGTGGCCCTCCGCACCGAGGAGGAGCAGCAGGCCGCTGCGCGGGAGCGCGAGGAGCGCGAGAGGGCCGAGCTCGAGAAGGACATCCACAACAGGCGCGAGGCCCGGCGCAAATCGCTCGCCAACCGCCGCGTGTCGTTTGCAGCCGAGGCGACCCTGCACACCTTCCACGAGATAGAGTACATGCAGGACTCGACCACATCTACAGACTCAACCCGCCGCGCATCCCAGACAGCAGCTTCTCCGGCACCGCCCGCTGCCGCGCACCACCCCGAATCAGACGACGCATCGGAACCACCTTCTACACCACCAGACCATGTGGATCACGGAGTGGCCGAGTCGCCTGAGGATCAGCGAGGCCTTCACCAGAAGAGGAGAAGGCGAAGCTCAGGGGTAAACCCTCTCGACGCACATGACGACACGCTCAACACCACAGTGTACGACTCGGGCTCCGAGGACGGCGATGCCATCGAAGAACAAGATGATGTCTCTGAGGCTAGTGACTCGGACGGGACCATGATGACCCTGGACGCGGACGAGATGACGTCAGGGTCGGGCATCACGGCTGGCTCCATGTCCATGATGAGCAACGACTCTACGACAAGTATAGACGAGATGCTGAGGCTCGCCACTGAGCGCGCTGGCGTCGGGGCTGCTGCCCGAGAGCCGGATGAGAATGAAGAGCTGATCCCTGCCTTTGTGGGATGGGGAAAGCGACCGGCAGCGACCAGCAGCTACGCACCCCAGTCCCCCGAGATTGAGTCCAGCCCCGTCAAGTCAGTTCACGAGGAGAGCGACCATGACAACGGCGGGGAGATGGAGATGACCCGGCCTATGGGTGGGATTATCAGGTCTACCCACGACGACGACCAGTCAACTGTCGCCCCCGACGACGAGGATGGCGAAGATGAAGAAGACGATGCTATGTCTATGGATATGGATATGTCCATGGAAATGACCTACGCGTTGGGTGGCATCGTCGGGAAGAAGGCGCCTGCAGCACCCAAAGGGCGTCCCGAGGCGACAATATGTGTCGACCAGACCATGGACTTCACCATGCCCATGGGTGGTATCCAATCTTCGGCCCCCAAAGAGAACAAGGATGATGAGGAGCTAGATTATGACAGCAACGAGGATATGTCAATGGAGATGACAACAGTCATGGGAGGGGTCCTGTCGACGACTCGAGCCGGTGGCGGCCAGCAGAGCCGGCGCCGGACGCTTATGCGGACAGAGGATGGCGATGGCGAGACATTGGGAATGGACATGACGGTTGGTCTGGGGCGTATACTGCCATCGGCGAAGCAGCAAAACGATGCAGCCGACCAAAGTCTGGGCGATGCCACTGTTGGCATGGAGATGACGACGGCGCTGGGAGGCATAATTGCCGACAGCTCTCCGCTGGTGTGTTTGCAAACGCCCAACAAGACCGGAGCGACGAGCCCGCTAAGGAAGATGACGCTGAGCCATAAGCCTGTGTCGCCGACTCGGACACGAACACCCACAAAGAAGGCCGCGCCGCTCCGAGGGAGGATAGCCCGGACGCCTGAGCGGTCTGCCTTTAATGGCAGCGGTCTGCGCAGGACTCCAGAACGCCAGACATCACCACCAAAACAGCTTCCGCAGCCGCAGCCGCAGACCCCATCAAAGTCTGTGGCTTCTTCACCTCCAAAGTTTATCGGGAGCAGATCCAGGTCTCCAGTCAGATTTTCTTCCCCCAAAGCCAGAGCGACACCCCAGTCATCCCCAAGGCCAAGATCCACCGGCCCTGGCGTGTTCCAACAAAACCGTGTCACAGGCTCAACGACGCCGCTCATAGTCCTCACGCCACAGACCAGGAGGCTTTCTGGCATCGGCGCCGACAGGTCCGGCCTGGGTTCGCCCAAAATTGCCCAGATCCTCGAGCGCCGTGGCTCAATTGGGGACGCTGCTAGAGACTTTGTGCCTGGCGACGGCCTTGAGTTGCGGCGGGGCGTCAAGTGGGACGACCCACGCATCCTGGAGCAAGAGCTTGACCGGCAGCGGGAGCAAGAGCTGGCCAGAGAAGATGGGAGGAGGATTATGGAGCGGGAGGCCGATGGGGCATTGGACGACAGGGACGCGACGCTCAATCTGAAGGAGATGATTCAGGGCCTCAGCCCAAAGAAGAACCCACTCAAAGGCCGCAAGAGCCTGCATGTGGGCAGCGCCAAGGGCCTGCTCGGCAAGCGGCCGACTGAGCTCGACGATGAGGGGGCGGAGGAGCAAGACGGAGTCAAGCGGCTCAAGAACCTGCAGGGCAGTCCTGTCAAGAGCATCCGACTGCAGCACCCTCCCTCCAAGGAAGAGACTACAGGCCGACCGGCGCGAACCGCCAAGGGTCCACAAGACGGCCTGGCCACCCCAACTCTCTCCGTGTCGCCCAAGAAGGGGGCGGGCGGTGCTCCCAGCCCCGACGGACGGGGAAGATTCAGGGATGTGGCAGACGACGGAGCTCGCACCCCAATGGACTTCAGGCGTTCCTCCATGGTGAACCCCGAGGGGCTGGCCGAGGAGGATGACGATTCCGAGGCCATCAGCCTCCAGGATTTCCTCAACCTGACCAGCATCCGCTTCATGGAGCTCACGACAACCAAGCGCAGACACACAGTTGTGCCCTCGGCGAACAAGATCGGGCCTGACGAGGATGGCAAGGCCGACATGTCGTTCGAGCGATGCGTTGTCGCGGGAGCCTGCACGGTGCCGATGCTCGAGCTGTACCAACATGTAAGAACTCTTTGCTTTTATCACACCCTGTTACCAGAGGTCTCTGGTTACTGAACAATGGTTTCACTGCATCTATCTAGTCATGCCGAGAGCTCAAGAAGTACATCTCCGAAGGCAGGGATATCGTCCGCGAAATAGAGATGGAAACGCTGGAGGACAACCCGCCGCTGTTCCGCGAGTACATGTCGGCGACGCCCGAGTTCAAGCTCCTAATGGACAACCAGTTCAAAAACGTCAAAACTCATGCCCGGCTACTGAGCAAGGCCATGTGGTATGAATGGCGCATGAAGCTCCAGGAGGGGCTCAAGGAAGGGCTGGACCGGACCGTCGAGGGCTTCGAGAGCGACCAGCAGATCCTGCGCAAGCAGCGCGAGCTCATCGACTCGGTACTCCCCGGCTTGGTCGCGCAACTCGAGTCCCTGCAGCGAGAGTACCAGGTCCTCGACGAGGCGGTGCGTGAGCTGGCCGACTGTGACCCTGAGGAGCTGGAGGCGGCGCGCGAGCGGCTGATGGCTGCCAACGACGACGTGGCTGTCAAGAGACGAGAGATCGCGGCGCTGCGCGAGGACTTGCGCGAGTCGGAGGCCGACGTTGAGGAGCTAGCTAGCCGCAAAGCACAGTGCCTCGCTGACATCGAGGAGGCTGAGCACGTGCGCGAGGAGTGCAGAGGGTGGAGCTCGGGGGAAATCGTGGCTCTCAAAGGTAAGTGTCACATGACCCAGGCAATCGGCAGGTTTCCGGCAGGCAGGCAGCAGGCAGCCAACAAACGCGCGGATTGGGGAGGCCTCATAAGCTGACAAACAACAAACAACAGCACGCGTCGCGGCGGTTGAGGAGGAGCACGGGTGGGCCGTCACGGGCTGCTCAGGCACCACAGTCTCGATGACGTACCGCCGTGAAATTGAGTTGGTCTTTGACCCCACCTGCTTCGCCTCTGGACCCACGCGCCAGGGTGGGGCCCTGCCAAACTCAAATTCAACGACACCCATCGACCTCTGGTACATTGCGGACAAGCGCGAGCGGGACCCGCAGCCTCTCACGCCTGAGCTGGATTTTTTCCTGCAGTGCCTGCGCGACCAGCTGCGGGGCCTCGACCAGACCCGCACGCCGCAGAGCCTCATTCTTGGCTTGGTGAGCCGCGGGTGGGCCCAGGCCAATTCCGTGGCCAATCACGTCCGGTCTCTCAACCTCACCTTCCCGACCGCGGTGTCGAGAACGTCCGACGACTCGATCGCGGTGCGCGCAACTGTGTTCCTGGCGGCCCTCAAGTCAAAGGTCGATGTTGTAGTCGATCTGTATCGTCGGGCAGGTGCTGCCAGCGACGGTGGTGGCCTTGACGTGGCCGTTGCGCCGCGTGCCGTCGTCGTCTACGGCGAGCGGTTCAACACGGAAAAGATGGCCGACTTCTTGTCTGGGCGCCTTGGGGGCCAGGTGGCTGTGCTTGGTGGAGGGGAGGGGCGCGCTGAGAGCTGGGGTGACGTCGTCGTCGAGCTACATGGAAAGCTGCTCTCTGGTGCGAAGCAATAGCATTTGGGGCAGGCGCCTGCTTGTTGGTTCTGTAATTCCAAACTATTATGAGCCTAAGCTGGCCGTTCGGCGTTTGTCTTTGTTTGTTTCTGTAGCATTTCTGCCTGGAGCGGGGTCACGGTTCTGTCATCTGTTGGGAGATCACGGGATTCAGGGCGGTGGGTTTAGATAACACAACGCGTCATTGTTTGGTATTGTGCAAAGAAACGTCCGCCATTGTTTGGAGTTGCTGCCCGCCGTTGCCTCGGGGAATTCTTCGAGGTCGCCGTCCCTGCTTTGTAGTCCCCCTATGAGTGATCGGAGCCTTTGTCCCAGGGCACTCATTGACTTGCCAATATCTCCATGTAGTGTGAATAAGGACGTGGTCTGTTGTGCTCTGGCGATGACGGCTCTGGCCTGCTTGACGACTGGAGTTTGTAGTAGCAACATGTCACTGCGTCTAACTGTTTGCCATGCTGTCTGGCTGCCGTGGGCGGAGAATCTTGTATAAGATGATGGAGATATCTGTTCCCAAATTACTGCAGGATTCAATATTGACTGGCACCTATACAAACTTTGTTATCCCACATGTTCATTTATATCTTGGCTATCAAGCACATCTTTCACTTGTTCATAGCTATTGGTGATCCCTAATATATATATACAAGGCAAGCTTTGTTCTGCCTCTTCTCTTCTGTCTTGATATTTCGGACAAGAAGAGAAAACTAGGGGGGAGGGGTTCCACCTGGGCCCTGACGGCGATCTGAGCCAAAAGTGACATGGCAGTTTAGTTCTGTATATACGCCCGCCGTCTTCGGTTCTGCACCATATGCTCTCATAGTACAGCAGAAATGCATCTCCATATCATATCAAACTCCATCTCAGGAGAAGCCTAAAGGTCCTGGTCCTGGGTCTGGCCCTCAGTCCAAGTGTGGCGGCCATGGAGGCCAGCACAGAGGGGTGTAAGTCCGCAATGGGCCCAGCAACTTGCCCGCATGCCCTCGACCACCCCCGGGAGTGCCTGCACCTGGCAAACACCAGCGAGGGTGGGTCCCTCGCGCCTGCAACCGGTCGCACCTTCCCTCCCAGAGCCTTAACGACGTCTGAACTTGTCTGCAGACGAGGCAACTGAGCCCCACTTCCGTTGCCCTCCTCGCCCGCCTCGCCCACCATATCAATTTTTTCCCTCGTCCCTCTTCTCTCTTCCTCTTCTTCCTCTTTCTCTCCAGCGATCGGATCAACAACGCACCAATTCTCTTGCACAAAGACAACGATACCATCGCACCATCACCAAGAGCAACGCAATCTTCTTCTTGTCCGTCAGACCCAACGGCAAGATGTTCTTCTCAACCGCCGAGCTCACGGCTTTCTCGGGCTCGATCCTTGACAGGGTCGAGTTCCTTCTTTCGATCCTCCTCGTCGGTGCCTTGTGCCTGACATCCCTTTTCCTGTCCTGGGCATGTCAAAACCCGGGTCAGGCGAAGAAGCTTGTCCTGCCGGTCCTCCCGGCCATGCCCGCATGGGCTCCCACGCGGCAGAGCGTCATAATCTCTGCTCAACTGGTTGCCCTGGTCCTCTCGATGCCCTTGTTCGTGGGACTTGCCCTCGTCGTGTGGACGTTCGTCGGCGTCCGTCAGTTCTGTCGCTCCGGCGGCAGCCTGGCGGCGTCAGTCTACGCGATGAGGACTGTGGACCTGGCCAAGCGCGCTGGCCTGGACACAAGGTTGGCCGATCTCATCGCCAAGAGGAATGGCCTCGTGGACGCCATCAACGTCACATGCCTCCTCAAGCGGCGCGAGCTACTTGAGGACATCGCTTCGTTCCAGTCCGGAATTTGGTACGCTCTCCGTGGGGAGACGTGCCTGCAGCAGTTCCTGGACCAGGCGGAGTGGTTGAAGCGCATCGACGTGCCACGGGTCACCCTCGTCCAGGCCACGCGTCGTCTTGCGATCCCGCCGGGCCGTTTCGCCGCTTTCCTGTATCGCTACGACTATGAGTGCGCGATTCTCGAGCACAAGATTGGTCGTATGCAGGAAATCACGGACGGTCTGTCTCAACAGCTCCGGGACTACCAAGAGAAGCTCTCCAAGGGCCATGCTGGTCTCGAGGGTGAGCGTCTCGCCTTGCGAAAGGTCGTAGCCGAGCTGAAGAAGTGGAATCGCCTGACGAAGGAAGCTGGAATCCGCCTGAGCGACCCCTCCGGCACGCGGGCCTCGAGGTCTGACCTCAAGGTTCGTTTCCCGGTGTGGGAGCGCAAGCTCACTGCTGTCGATCTGGGACCTTCTTCGCGGAAGGTGGGTAAGCTGGTCGACGTGGGTGCCTCGGTGCCCATTGACATGCCGGTGGCTCCCGTGCTCCCTTCGGGGTGTACCCCGGCGGTGGCCAGCTCAACTGAGCTTGTCTCCACCGTCGACGACACGATGCAGATGAGCCTGGATTCCAGCCCTGCGGTAGGACAAGAGCAACCTCCCACGCAGCAGCAGCAGCAGGTACTCCCGGTGCAGGCGACGCTCCCGGCGACCCCAGCGCTCCCGGCTCCGCCGGTGCAACTGGCCCTCCCGTCGGCGCCCATGCCACAAGCACAGCCCGTCTTCAGTTCCATGGTTGCTCAGCTCCGGCTGGCGACCGAGAACAGGAAGAAGCTGGAGGCAGAGCACCGGAGTCGTGTGCAGTTCGAGGCAAGGCTCGAAGCTACTCGACGGTCTTATCAGCAGGCCCAGCACGAGCGCGACATGGCGGCCCAGCGGCAACACGAGCTGGCGGTCCAGGCCCGGCTCAAGCTGGACCGGGAAAACCGACAGAAGCGTGAGATGGACGCCCAGGCGGAGCAGGAGATCCCTGCTCTGACTGAGCTCCTCTCGAGCATCCGCATCGAGGATCCTGTCGTCGCCGCCTTGCCTCTTGCTGCCTCTCCTGTTGTTGTTGCTGCTGCCCCGTGCTGCGAGATTGACATGGTCGTGGACGACGAGGTCGAAGCCGTCCCCACACCCGTTGTCTCGGAGCCAGAGGCTATGGAGGTTGCGCAGCCCGACGAAGACGCATCGTCGGCTGCACCGATTACTAACCTCTCCAGCACCGCCACTGCCCCGGGACCCAGTGTCGAGCAGATGTCGTTTGACGAGCTCCCGCTGCTCCCAGAAGAAGATGACGAGGACTACCTCAACCAGGACGTTCCGGTCACTGCTGGCCCGTCGTCGTCGAAGCTCCCGGTCATCGAGCCGGTCGCGAGCTCGTCGACTGCCAAGCACACCGTCCCTGCCGTTCCCGCTCCGCTTTACGTGGACTACGGCAACGTCCAGTTCGACCTCAGCGTGCCTTGCCAGGGTCAAGCTCCTCCTCCGTCCGCGGTAGGCAGCACCTTCGGCGCTGGTGGCCTTGGGTTCAGCGGTGCCTTCTTGGCGTCTGCTGGCCCCTCGGTCCCTACAGCCAGCGTCGTCGTGCCGTCCGCCAAGGGCAAGGAGGTAGTGAGGGCCCCCGCCGCCGAGAAGGTTGAGCCCATGTCCCCGCCCGCCCCTGCCCTGGTCATCGATGACCAGTTCCTCTGCCCTCGCCTTCTCAATGATGATGACATCAAAGAGATGGACGATATGCTTGAGGAAGCCATCCGCGAGATGGACGAGCAGAAGGCGGGTGGAGAATCGTCGTCTTCGTCTGCCCAGGTTCCTGTGACGCCTGCCCCCAAGGTGTCTACTCCCGCCGTCAGCTTCGCGGCTACGGTGGACGCACAGGACCAGGCAGTCTGGGAGAGCCTTGCGGACATCGGCATGGACCAAGAGGTTGCCGCGTCGGCTCCGGCCGTCGCACCGAGGGCGCCTGTCCAGATGCCCAAGGCGGTTCCGGGGTCAGTGAAGACCCCCAAGAAGTCCTCCATCCCCCCTCCCGGCCAGCGGCCAATCCTGGTCCCGCGCCGACGTAACGCTGTTGCCGCCGCTGCTCCCCCGGCCGCACAGCCCCAAGTCTCCCCGCCAGCTGCTCCCCAAGTCCGGCCAGCTCCCCCGCCGGCACAGCAGCAGAGCCGCGCAGCTCCTCTCCCGGTCGGCCAGCGGCCAATCCTGGTCCCGCGCCGTCGCAACGCTGTCGCCGCCGTCGCTCCCCCGGCCGCACAGCAGCAGGAGCCTCCTCAGCAGGCCCTTCAGCAGGCACCGCTGGCAACGGCCAGCAACGACGAGCCTCGCGAGAGGCTCGAGGCGCACGAGATGGCGGCCCTCCGGGTCAAGACCTCGCGCGCCGTTTCGAAGCTGGCGCGTTCCATGCTTGCTGAAGCGTTCGAACACCATCTCAAGGCGTCGAACGAGTGCACCGCTGACGAGCTGCGCGCGGCTCGCAACAACATCCGCGACTCTCTCGACGAGATCATGTCGTCGTTCCAGCCCGCCGTCGCCGGCACTTACGAGTGCTCCGACTGCGACGCCATCATGGCGAAGTGGGTGCACCAGCACCTCTTCTCCTCCGGGCGCGTGGCCGAGGCCGAGCGCAAGCTGATCGACAGCATGAAGAAGGGCGCCAACGGAGCGCCGGGCAAGTTCAGGAGGAGGTACCTGAGGTTCGCCGGCTGGGCCGGGTGCTAAAGGTCCTCCATACTGATCGGACCCATCTTGCTCCTGCGGGCATCCCCGCCTTTCTGTCGCCACCATACGATCGGCATACTTATCTATTGGTATGACCATGATGATCGTTCTCTTTGTCAATCGCCGACCTGGGCAATCATCTAAGTCGACACTCTTAACCTGGGCGGCTGGTCTTAATTGACCTGGCTGTCCGGGGGACGCCCCTCGGGGCCTCTGTGAGCTTGTCATCCACGGTGAGTCGGTTTCCATGGCCCTCGCGGGTTGTGGTTACTGGCATGTCTGGGTCATCGCGAGAGACGTAATTGGGGGTAGCGGATCCCCTAAAAAAAGCCGCACATCGACCTGATAGCACCTCAGTCGACACTCTTAACCTGGACGGCTGGTCTTTATTGACCTGGCTGCCCGGGGGACGCCTCTCGGGGCCTCTGTGAGCTTGTCATCCAGGGTGTGACGATCTCCATGGCCCTCGCGGGTCGTGGTAACCGTCCTGGTCAGTTCCTCGACATCACCTAAGCCGACACCTCTTAGCCTGGGCGGCTGGTCTTTATTGCCCGGCTGCCTGGGGGACGGCCCTAGGGTCCTCTTTGGGGAGTCACCGATGGTGAGCCCATCTTCATTGCTCTCGCGGGCAGTGGACTTGGGACTTGGTTCGTAATTCGAGTTGCCGGCCACTCCATAAACATCGCGCAGGGACCCCCTTCACCTGAGTCGACGACTCTTAACCTGGGCGCTGGTCTTAATTGCCCGGCTGTCTGGGGGACTGCCTCCGGGCCTCCTTGAGAAGTCATGACGGTGAGTCCTTTCCCATTGCCTTGGCGGGCTGTGAGATCGGACATGGGCCCGAAACCTGAGCACCCTCGACATCACCCAGGCCGACGACTCCTCGGAGAAGTTAACCGACGGTGAGGCCTTTTGCAACTGCTGTGACGGGCATTGTGATCGGACCTTGGGCTCGTATCTTTGAGCACTCGACATCGCCATCGCGGCGCGGCTACGACGCTGGCCTTGAGTGGCTGGACGTCAAAAGGCGAGCCATTGTGCCCCTGCTGTTTGTCCGGATGGGCGAGCCCTCTACTCATTGCCGTGGCTGGCATGTGAGATTGGGACTTGGCTCGTAACCTGAGTTGCCGGATCTCTACATAACCGTGCATGGGGCTCTGGAGGCACTTCATCATCACGTTTTTTATTTAGGTTTTTTTATTTTTATTAACTTACAGGATCAACTTTTTCACAGCACCTGGCGTCACGACATTCGGGTCCGGGCTTCGATAGAGATTAACCGTCTGCTATGTGTGGCTCCGGCTGCTTTTGGCAACATGATGGGGCTCGCGCCTTTCTCTCCGGCTCCGAAGGCTCCTCGCGGGGCACTTGACGTACCGGGTGCTTTCAGGCGTTGCATGAGTGTGGGTCGGCGGACCTACCCCCTCGCCGCCCTCGGCAACTCGACAGTCCTCGATTCGTCTTTGAGAGATTCGCTTCCTTCGCTTGGTCTTTAGTGATCGACGTTGGAGGGGCTCGCGCCCTCGGCGTTTCTCTCTGTCTTGGACGGCCGGAGTATGTTTGCTTTCAGTAGCAGACTGCTGTGGCACTTGAAACCGAGGTTCTCTATGGGGCGACTGTCCCCTCAGACAAAACCAGCCGGCTCCGGCCGTATTTTTTTCAGATCTGGAAATTCGCTTTTTTATTACGCCCACATCGACCAACTTGTCAGAACATCGTCTTGTTTCTTGTCATCTTCGCCTTCTTCTTCTTGCCGGCTGTCGTCGTCTATACGCAGTCCCAGCAAACCTGTCAGAGTCACGGTGCGGATCCTCCGCCTGCGTGCGTCCGAGTATCATCGTCTTTTTTCAGTCTTTTTTGACTCTTTGTGCCTGACAGGCGAGGCAACGGTCGACCGCCTACCTGCGCAAGTTGCCTTTGTCTTTTGGCAGACCGCAAAGGGAAGCGTGTGTTTTTTTTTCTTGTGGGAATATTTTTCAGATCGCCGCCTAGCTCGTCTTGTTAAAGGACGTATAGGTGGTCTCGGGCTGCATCATCTTCATCACCCGCGTTGCACACCCCGAGACAACAGCAACCTCCATGTTTGTCATTCTTCTTTCTGTACGAACATTTTCTGTCTGGGTTGGGCGGGTATCCTCAAGTCACCGTCCACGCATCATCTTCCAGCAACTCCCAGTCCGGATTCGGAGCATCGCTGCTCAGTTTGCTCTTCAGCCTGTCCGCCAACTTTATCGGATTTGGCAGCTTGAAGCCGCGAACGAACTCTGCGCCCTCGGCACTACCAAGAAACGAGTGCGCCGTTCCGTGAGAGAACCGACCCATCATCTGCGCGGCCGCTGCTGTCGTTGTACCACCAATACCACCAAACTTGTCGTTCTCACCATCACTCGGAACAGGCGAGGCCGACGAGACGGGAAAGACTCGTCCGGCCTGGCCATGCAACTGATTCGCAATCAACAAATTGTACAAGTTGCGACCCATGTTGCACACGTCCTCAGACGAGCTTCTGTCGCCGATCGGCACGCCCTGGGTGCAACACGCCCAGGCGGTGTTGTAGGCAAGGAGCGCGACGCCCTCGATGAACAGACCATACGTCGACGGGCTGTCCTTGGCAAGCACAGACAACGGCTTGTCGACGTACAGAGGACGTGCTCGCGGAAGACCTTGTTGACGCTCGCGATCTCCAGTCTCTGATGGGATCTGCGGATGCAGGGCCAGCACGCCGAAGGAAGGGTCCCTAGGCTGCTGCGAATACGACGAAGCCAGCGAGAAGATTGTCGGCCGGGGATAGTCGCGCTGCGGGAGCGTGATCTCGGCCGGCAGTCGGATTGCCAAGTAGCTCGACGCCAGCACCAAAATGTGCGTCATGTGAGCGAGGCTAGTCGAGATGACTTCAGGAGAGGCGCCTACAAGCAACCATCAAGCAAGATGCCTCTTCGTCAGCAAGTCGTCGACATATACGAGACAGTCGAGAGAGTCCAAGACACCACCACCATCATGACCATCAATCATCATCGTCGTCGCGTCCAAGACTCGCAAGACCACATGCACTTCAAGACAGAGCAGGAGCAACACTTACTGTTCATCGAGTGCAGGTCGACAATCTCGACGCCACCAATCTCATACCTGACAGAGCCGCCCTTCTTCTGCCGTCGCAGTCCATACAAGCGGGCAGCCTCGATGCAGAGAAAGGCGCGGTGAGTCGCGATGCCTTCATGGTTCAGGTCCCAGTTCGCCTTGGCCACCATGATCGACCTCTCCACACTCTGCTGGAGGTCGACGCGTCTCGCAGCTACACCATGTGAGACCGAGGCCAGATCGTCTTTGCGCCTTGAGATGGCCTTCTTCCGCCGCTCGACATCCTTCTTCGCGGCGTCAATCTCAAGCCTCAGACGATCGGCCTGCGCAATGATTTCATTTGTCCTCTCAACCGCCTGGCGTTGCTCAGACAGCCGCTGCTCGGCGCGGATCCATTCGGGAGCGTGGGTCCGTGTTGGGTTGGCCGAAGACGTAGCGTCCGGGTGAGAGAGGAGCGCAGACACCTCATTCTCGAGCTTGCCACTGTCCATCAACAAGTGAGCCTGAGCCAGTCGTCCCTCGTACAACCGATTGCGAGCATCGACAGGACACAGGAACGGCAAGCGCTGAGGGTGGTGCTGGCGGCCGCAGATGTCGCACGCCAACATCTTTGCAAACGACAGACTATCTGTGGTCGCCAAAACACACACACTGACGCACACCAACCCAAGACGGGGTCGACCGAGTCACTTTCAACAAGTCGATCTTGTGGGTTGTCGGAGAGAGGCGCAAGCAGGTTGTCTGCAGCAGGACGGGAGCCACAAACTGAGTTTCACCAGATGTTTGTTGGTTGAGGAGAAGACTGGGAGCCTAAGCCGTCTTTGACTTGACTTTTTGGTTCTGCTGCGGGCGCCTGTGCGCGAGAGCCTTTGGTCTATTGTGGGAGCGATTAGACCTGGGCGCCTGAATGAGCTTGCTCACTCTCCGGCTTTTGTGCGACGCCAGCACCACCACCAGCAATCGAGAAGCACCAAGAAGAAGAAGAAAATAACTAACCCAGCAGGGCGGACGGCAACGCAGATGCTTGCGAGGACGGGGGACGGCGGGCGACTCTGATCTCAATCAAACGACAAAGTGACTTCAAGACGACTGCAGTGGGGAATCATCATCAATCTTATCCTTGCACGCCAGCAGCTGGAGGTTTCCGCGACCTCCAGGCGAGCAGGACCCTGCGGCACAGTCAGATGATCGCTAGAGTCAGCCACCGAACCCAAACCAATCACACCTGCCCCGTCCTCGGCACCAACCTCAAGCATCTGCATCCCTGATCCACCACCACCGTCCACCACACACAGGACACACAGGCCACCAGCGGCAAGCACACGAACGCGGAGCTGCAGACGCGACAACCCAGACCACCAATCCAGTCACCAGTCTGTGCCTCCAGAACGACTCTCGTTGGAAGTTGGGCATCTATCCAAGCCCTAGCTACAGCAGCAGCAGTGCACACACAGGTATAACAAAGGGTTTGGGCTGTTCTGGGCGAGTTCGGGAGCGCTCGTTCAGTTCGGTTCTTACTCTGGCGTTCTGTCTGGCCGTGCATGACCTGCTTGCTTTTCCACTGTCGTCTTCCAGTTCGTCTTTCGGCTGTCGACTTTCCACTGTCGACTTCCAATTCCGCTGTCGTCTTCTCATTCTCCCCCATCTTGAATGAGGCAATCACGATTGACGACACTTGACACTTTGCTTTGCGCCTGCCGTCCGCCCTGCTGGGACCCCTACCATTACACACACACACACCCTACGCACCAACCTTGCTAGCGATCCTGACGTGCCACTACCCTACTAACCCATCCAGCCGCTAGCCCTCTCCCTGTCTCTCCTTCCCTCGCTTGTTGCACGCCGGTCAGATCACACTCACTACCTACATTGGGCCGACGACTCCATTCCGGCTCAAGCGGTGCCCGCAAATCTACAAAAAAAAAAGAAAAAAACACCCGCGTCACCAGGCTATCATCGACCGCCTGACCACCACTACTACTTGACGCCAGGGCACCAGTGATCTTGATCCAGCAACAAAAGAGCTCGCCTCGCACAGACAATCGCCAGCCAGCCAGGCCAAACCACCCCCACATAACAATCACAAGGCGCAGCATGGCGAGCTCGTCACGCCTGTCACCATTTGAGACCCAACCCACCACCACTCAGCTGGCTGAATCTCCCATCCTCAACGCGGAGCAGCCCCAGGGACCACAGATCCCGGCTGAAGATCTCATGGTAACAGACGGCAACACAGAGCGACAGAGAGACAGGTCGCGCTCCGAAGTCAGAACACCGGAGCTGCAGACAACCACATCTCACACAAACAACAACAACCAGAGGGCTAGCGGTAGCCTCACCAGCCAAGAAGGCCTGCCAACCAGTCCCGGACAGATCCCCAGCTTCGATTGGGAAGAATTCGAGACGCTCTACGAGCAGGCACTCGCCAAGGCTAACGAGGAAGAGCGGGAGCTTCTGCACGAGTTTGACTCTCTCGTCAAGTACTTCAACGTCTGGGCCTCAGCTGCCTCAGCACACGACAACGAGAGAGCCGTCAAACGCCTGCAGACCCGCGAGCGGTACGTCAGGATCGCTGAGCAGAGCTTGTCTCAGAGGAAGCAGCATCGTAAGTGCCTCCTACCTCCCTCTCGTTTCATCTGCTTCGAGCTTACTAACCTGACTGGCTTCATGACACTGGACTAGTGACTGAGGTGGTTCGCGCTTTCCAAAGCGCCCTCGCACTTCTCAGCCAGAACTAGCCAGCTCGCTGCTCACACCCAGCGGATCCACATCCTCACCTGCACCGGCCAACTGGCTGACGGTGCTCCGAGGGCCACTGGAATCCAAGAGGACGAGCAACACACTCACTACAACGCTCACCTCACCTGCCTCAGCAAACAAACCTACCACAAACAAACAAACAAACAAACACAGGCACAACCCACTTGAGCAGCGAGCTGGCAGCTGGCAAAATGACACCACTTCGGTCAGAAGCGGCTGCAAGCCTTACGAGACAAGCACCACCCATCACGCAGGTCGACCTTGTCGCTTTCCACCGCAGGCACTTCTCCGGACACGCCATGGACCACTTCTCGTCTCACTTCATGCCACCCTGCCAACAAGCCACCACGCAGGACGAGACAGAAGAGGACGGCCTGGGGCACTACGCCGACGGCGTGAAGCGCACACTCACGGATGAGCAGATCGAGATGTTTCAACACTCGGAGCTTGAGGCCCTACGCAAGAAGAACACGTACTTTCCTGCAGGGTCCTGCCTCCAAGAGGGCGCACCCACCACATCCGGAGATGCCGCGGACGCGGACACGGAAGGTGACATTGACTTGGCTGTGGCCCCCCGCAAGAAAAAAAAGCGCGGCAAGGGAAGAAACCGCAAGCCCGAGGTCAAGGTCGACCTGCGCAAGAGAACCTGGGACGTCGTCGACACAAGTCTCCACAGTCTCGACTACGGCGACCAAGAGCAACCAAGCGTGCCAGCAACGGCAACTACGAAGCGTCGCCACATATCCTACGATGATGGCTGACGAAGCAATTCAAGAAATGAAGAATCGAAAAAAGAATCGAAAAAAGAATCCCCTCAAAAAAATCCATAGGTACGTCTGCAATAGCGCTGCATCTTCTCGTTCCCGTCCCCCCCCCTCCCCAGCATGATGAGAACCATTTTGTATCGTCATCCTTAGTCGGAAGTCCGACCCTGGGGCACGCTCGGAGCATGGCGGGCTTGCTTGCCACGCAACGTGTGTGCCTCGGAGGGAGGAACATGTCGAGCTATAATCTTCTCTCTGACCCCAAAGTGGTGGCATTCGTTTGATCCCTCCTGTCCTTGACCCAAGAGACAATCTGCTAACCAAGCCATGGGATCACCTATGCTGTGGCTGCCTAGATCCACATGTACATCATCAGGGTAGGGAGAGGAGGCAAGAGGGGCAGAAGAAGCGCTTGGCATGTTGGTGTGGTGTGGCCTGGCCACATCACACTCTACTAACCAAGATATGGGAGTGGTGGCGATGTGATTGTTGAAGGACCATCAGTCAAGGGGCAGCTCAGGCCGGCGGTCGATACCCAGGCTGCAAATACTGTACCTCGAGACTTGTGGTGGGCCTGACGATGCATGATCATCAATACCTCTCTCCCCACTAAATCTGGACTTGGACAAGGCTGAACCTCAGGAGCACGGGCCGGCGGTCGATACCCAGGCTGACTGTTGCGTCTGAGGGGATGCCCGCCCCTAAGTGCAGATTGGTGGGATCACCTTCCTTCTCTGTTCCTCTTATCCTCCTCTCCTCTCCTTTATTTTTTATTTTTTATTATTATGTCTATCTTTGGCCAAAAGAGCAACGCGGAGGAATTAGGGAAATGGATGGAGATTGGAGGGAAATGAAGGCAGTGGAGGAAACGGGCGATAAACAAAGGCTCCAGTTGAGGAACTGAAAGCGCGAGGTTAGGCGCTGGCGGAGGAGCTGGGAGCGCAGGAATAAGGTGCTGGCGGAGGACAGGAGCGCAGAAGGAAGGGCGCCGGTGGAGGGACCAAAGCACAGAAGGTGCTGGCGGAGGACAAAAAGCGCAGATGACAAGGCGCTGGTGGAGGAATTGGGAGCACAGGAATAAGGTGCTGGCGGAGGACAAGAAGCTCGCAAGGAATGGGGCTGGTGGGAGGAACTTAGATGGAGGGCCAGGAGGTGAGGTAACCAGGTGGCAGTTGGAGTTCTCTGCATCTATGTCGACGTCGCCTGGGAGCCTTCACTTAGGAGCAAATACACTCTCTGCGGGCCTACAAATGATGTGTCTGTCTACGTGATATTTGTGACCAAGATGGTGGCTGTTTCGTTTGGTCTAGAAGCAAGGCTGGGTTTGGCCAAAATGGCTGTCAGGATACGGCAGCTATCAAGATACAGTATTGTGAGGGATGAATTCGGAGTGTGGCTGGAAAACAGGATTTGTCTAGGTATGATACATGGCATTCATTATCTTGGACGGGAAACCTGGTTTGGACCACACGAGCACAGCACAGACAGCATAGACACAGGGAGGCGGCTAGGAGGAGGGAAATTGTACGGTATGTATCACCAGCACCTCGACGGACGGGGACAGGAATTGATGCGGAATGGAACAAACTGGATGGTGTTCTTTTGGTCGATGCTGGTCTTTGTCGGGTCTGGAAGTAGCGCAGCCCCACATGCATATGTGCTCATTCGCTGCCTGCTGGGTCAGCGTGCAGCGCTCAATCGGCATCAATCCCTGCCCCTCACCTGTGTTGGGTGCGTTGGTGTCCGCCGCTGAGTATTACAGACTGTAGGCTTGTGCCCGGTCTGGGTCTGGGCCTGGCCAGGCAGCTCATGTCTCTTGGCTTTTGTGTTGGTGACTTATTAAGGACGACATCTCTTCTTGTTCCTCTCGATTTCGTGCCATCTAGATTCACCTGGGCGCCTCCTTCCTTGGCTGCTGCAACGGCCTCAGCTCACTGCTAGGGCCGCCCGCCCTCTCCACACTCCATACCAAGCTGTAGCACGAGCCCAAGCCCAGCACAGCCAAAGCCAGCCTCAGCCTCCCACGACGCTGTGGAGTCATCCGACCACCACCGCCCTCAACCACCACCCTTGAACCAGGCCCCAATTTCTGCCATCTGCCGTCGGCCGGGTAAAAAAAAGCCCACCGCAACCACGTATATTACCACTTCCACCACATACAGCCTGCGCGCCCGACGACACGGCGTCGCAGACGTCCGCTTGCCAGCCAGCCCCCCACTGCCACAATGGCGCGCGTCTACGCAGATGTCAACCAGAACATGCCCCGGAGCTACTGGGAGTATGACAGCGTCAACATCAGTGAGCCCGCCCGCCCGCGCCCCTCCCTCGCTCTACATCCTCGCTTGCCGCCCGATCCCCCTCGGTCGCTTATCGCTGTCGGGCCTGGCCATCATCCATCTGTTCTGATCTCTTGCCGTGGATCCGTCTTGCTGACCGTCGGATTCGCTTTTGCGCCGCGCAGGCTGGGGTGCCCTCGAGAACTACGAGGTCGTCCGGAAGATCGGTACGTCCCGCGAAAAAAAAAAAAAAACAGAGCGGACCAAGTCCCCTCAGGCGCGCTTGCGCGTCGGCACGCCCCTGCCGAGCAGCCCACTGACGTCCGCGGCTCTGACAGGTCGAGGCAAATACTCCGAGGTCTTCGAGGGCATCAACGTGGTTAACTACCAGAAGTGCGTCATCAAGGTGTTGAAGCCAGTCAAGAAGAAGAAGATCAAGCGAGAGATCAAGATCCTCCAGAACTTGGCTGGCGGCCCCAACGTCGTGGCCCTGCTGGATGTCGTGCGCGACTCAATGGTTCGCCCGCCCCCTCATCTCCCCTCCCCTCCCCTCTGCGCCCGCATCGACGTGCCTGGTCTGACCTGGAGCCCGTGTCGCCCCGCAAGCAGAGCAAGACGCCGTCCCTGATCTTCGAGTACATCAACAACACGGACTTCCGGACGCTGTACCCCAAGTTCAACGATATCGATGTGCGCTACTACATCCTGGAGCTGCTCAAGGCGCTCGACTTCTGTCACAGCAAGGGCATCATGCACCGCGACGTCAAGCCTCATAACGTTATGATCGATCATGAGAATCGCAAGCTGCGCCTGATCGATTGGGGTCTGGCAGAGTTCTACCACCCGGGCACCGAGTACAACGTGCGCGTGGCGTCGCGCTACTTCAAGGGCCCCGAGCTGCTGGTCGACTACCAGGAGTACGACTACTCGCTCGACATGTGGAGCCTGGGCGCCATGTTCGCCTCCATGATCTTCCGCAAGGAGCCCTTCTTCCACGGCAACAGCAACTCGGACCAGCTGGTCAAGATCGCAAAGGTGCTCGGTACGGACGACCTCTTTGACTACCTCGACAAGTACGAGATTGAGCTGGACGCCCAGTACGACGACATCCTGGGACGCTTCCAGAAGAAGCCGTGGCACAGCTTCGTCAACGCCGAGAACCAGAGGTTCGTGAGCAACGAGGCCATTGACTTTCTCGACAAGCTACTTAGATATGACCACATGGTGAGCGCTCTTTTTTGTGCCTTCTTATCGCTACCGACTGAACTGGCTGGCTGACGGACCCACAGGAGCGTCTCACGGCCAAGGAGGCCATGGCACACCCTTACTTTGACCCGGTGCGCAACGAGGGCATCCTGGAGCAGCTGCTCTCCCAAGGAGGCAGCAGCACAAACTCTACCAGCATTTAAATATGGATTATGTTTCCGTGCCGGGGTCGGCACGGCGCTCATGTTCACTTTGTTTTTTGTTCTTCCCTTGTCATTCCTGCGTAATGTTTCTCGCCAAGGACTCAAGGAGCGGAGAACTTCTTCGAGATACCCCTTCTTCTCGACGCCCTCCACTCACACACCCATGACGATGCCGTATGTTTAACTCGCGCGGGGCGTCGCCATGTTGGAGATGATGACCGGAGTCTGGTTTTTGCTTTCGGTAGCATGACTGGTCACATGCATTCTTTTTTTTTTCGCTGTCTTGCGATGCGATTGATAATCCGAGCCTTGGCTACTGCCTGATCTGTCTTGTGTCCTTTTCCCCCGCTTGTATTGAAGATGGAGGAAGCTGGCCCTTTGATGACGTGGGCTTGGACCCGGGCCATTTTCCGGGAGAGTACACATCTGTGTGTGGGTGGGAGGGTCTGGAGGGCTCCAGTTGTGCAAGACTGCGCCGTTATAGCCTTGGGGAGTGCGGGTGCTTGGGCGGGGTGGTAGGGTGTAGGTGGTTCATGCCGGCTGCCGCTTGGTGGATAATGACATATCGTCGTCGTAGTTCCATTTCCCTGCTCAGGGCTGAGCATGTTGCAAGCAAGCAAGCAAGCAAGCAAGCAAAGTACCCAGGTACCTAAGGAGTCTGATATGTTGGACCTCGCGCGAAATGGCCACGACGACAAAGGTACCTTTACCTAGGTAGTCTCTCTCAAGTAGCTAGATGTATTCAGGCGTTCCCCTTCCTACTCGATTGTGATCTCCTCGTCCCAGCCGTCCGCGGTAATCTCCACGTCCACCGGAATTTCCTCTCCGCCGTAGCGGGGCCGGTCCTCCGTTTCTTCCATACAGAGCTCTCTAGTCAGATAGTCGCCATGCATGATTCCGTGCACAAGCGCTGCCCCCACAATCTTGTACTTCCTTTGAGTTCCTTCCGTCGCATTTCCATTTGGCCGGAGGACCATGGGACAAGCCACGCCCTGAAGAAGGAAGATCTCGTCGCCCTCCCTCATATCGAGCGGCCCGCTCCCTATCAGCCCATTCGAGAGCGTGAAAAGACACCTCTTGTCGTCGATGATGTCCTGGACAAGGTCATCCAGGTGGCTTTCGGGAAGCTTGGCGCTGGAAAGAATGGCGTCAACGTCGACGCGCTCAGCCTCGGGCCAGTCTGGTTTGGTGGTGACGCCGAGCACCGGATAGAAATCCCTAATCTTGATCATCCTGTGCCAAATGGTGGTTGCCTCTTCGGGGGCGTGGATCATGATGGAATCGAAGGAGTTGCCCTCAGGGATCGGGGTTCCGTCGACCCTCAACCGCCCATCTGGGGCCCTCGAGATGGCGAAACCGTTGATCACGGCGAAAATTGAACATTCCGCGTACCGATAGTGGCGGAGCAGGGCCTTGAGCGTGGGTGACGGTACCCTCCCTCGACGGGAACGGCGGATTTGAGACCATGCGCCCGAGATCCAAGCCAGCAGCTTTTCCCTGCGGAGCTGGATGACGCCGTCGTTTTGCTGCGCCAAACAGTCGCTGAATGTCTCGACGATATCGACCATGCCGTGAGGGCGGCCGAGGAGACGGAGGGACCTACTATCGATGACCGGACGTGTTGGCTGCTGCTGCAAGATCGGTATGGCGGGGCTTTCCCACGGTTCGAAGTGGTATCTGAAGGACAGCCAGGGGCTCGGGCAGTGAGTTCCGTTGCCTCCGACCCAACGGGGCACCCAGGACGGGGCGCCATCTAGGGGATCATCGGACCGGGGCTTTCCGGCGTCGATTATAAGCCCGATAGCAGCAGACTCCCATCGTACCATCGTTGCTATAAGCCGAGTATGCGTCGCAATAACCTCTTCGCTGTAGTCCACCCCGTCTGGGTCGGCTTGAAGCATATTCAGGACACCCCATATGCCGAAGGCTCTATCATGCTCTTGCGTGCAGACGCGCAAGCGCAGCGCTCGCTGGAGCCCGGCCAGTATCTGTCTCACACCCCCCGTGTTTTCCGATGTTTGCAAGTAGAGACGCACCAACGATTCCTTTGGAACTCCCAAAAGGATAAACCCCAAACAGGGAACGATATGGTTTCTTATAAGTGCTGACAGCAGGAGAGTCGCGATCAAAGCCACGAGAAGGGTAAGAAGGTCCGCAGCCACATGGAGTTTAAAGGACAACTGGTTTTCGTTGATGGCGTTGAGAATTTTAGACTGAAACCAAACGCCGGGCCATAGCGGTAAATAAACCAGATAAAGGGTGAAAAGTCTGCACAGCCATGACCAATATAGCGAACACCATGGGCGGACGCCGGGTGAAATTCGGTCATATCTCTCAATGAAAGACTGGTTTCGGGGCGGATATGCTTCGTCGCTACTGCTCTCAGAGACGGGCAATGAGCCGAGGCCGTCGACGAGGGGCCTGCCGCGGGTGCCGCCAGATGTTCTAAGAGCAACGCCTAGGCTGGTTGGGGCGAGACGGGGAAAGGCGAGCCAAAGCCTCATCAGCGAACGCCAGGGGGCACCCCACAGCTGGCACCCTCCAAAGTAACGGGTAACCGCAGCGGGCAGCCTGTATGCGTGATGATGATACAGGCTGCCCGAGAGCTGCGTGAAGTGCACCGAGTTCATCATCTCGTCCCAGCCGAGTATGCGGTCGCCACAGAGAACGAAGGGGGATGAGGCCAGCAAAATCTCTTGGAACGTCCAGATGCGGTTGATCCATGGCGTATCAAGCAGCATTCTAGTCCCTGCCACAATCTCTAGCCTCATCTTCCACCACCAGAACGAGGAGGCGACCAGGCTGAGACGGAGGAGGATGTTGGCGCCCCAAAACTTGGAGCTTGTCGCCCTGGCTTTTGGGCCAAGGCGGGCGATGCCTGCGCCTGCTTCTTTTGCCAGCCGAGCCAGAGGAAGAGGGCGCCTGATGCATCCACCATATCGCATCCAATCCATAGCTGCATTAGTCCACGGATTACCCGGGCCCAGCCACACGTAGACGATGGCTGCTACCATGTATATCTTCCCCATTAGATAGTTGATCTGCCAGGTCTTTTCTTTCTGGTCCTCCTGGTTGATGCAGATGGAATCTACCCACACTGGGATCTTGTCGAGTCGCCGTGCGGCCTGGTGCGCATGGATCTGCCGTAAGGCCATGTAGCAGTTGACCGTGATGTTTAGCCTGAGGGTGCCGTTCAGGAGAATGGTGAAGGGGCCGAAACTGCATGCACCGCATATGCATGCGCTTTGCGCCCAAACGTATGACAGAGCGGCGAATGGCGGAAAAGAGGGATTCTCCGCGCTGGCTTTCAAACTAATGACCTTGATGGTGCCGGCCAGCGTTCCATCTTGCATGGGCGCCGAGTCCAGGTACAAGATACGGATGTGCTCTTCCTCGGGCAGAACCCTGTGATGGGAGTAGAACCCATGGTTGGTGGATAGATCAGGGGCTGGGGAAGAATCCGAAGTTGAAGGCTCGGCTGCCAACGGTTCGTGGAGACTGTCGAGAAAAAGTGCTGATTGGCTTGGCACGGGGACTTGCGCTAAAAGAGGTGATAGCTCGATGGACGCCGTAGATGAAGGTTGTTGCGAAAAGAACGGCATGGTGAAGTTCGTCGTGTAGTGGAAATGAGGAGATACTGTTTCGAATGGGGAATGGCAATTTGGCGGGGAAAAAAAATGAAAACTTGCAAGCTAGAGAGGGATGGGGTGTGTTGCGCAAGAGAAAGAAGGATATATTGTATTCCACTTTGAGGCAGCCCGTGGCAGGGCACAGCTGATCATGGCGATTGGTTGGTGTTTCGTAACACGCATTCTCCCATCCATGCTGGCAAGAGGCAAAGTAAGTCGAAAAACGTTACTTGGGGGCCCTCGTCCCTCCATCAGCACGGACGAGGGCCCCCAAGTAGTTATTCCAGGCCAGGTAGGTGGCACAAGCAGCACATCTGATATTGAAGTCACGTTTCTCTGCAGGCTGCAGATCGTCACAGCCACCACACCCAAATACACGCCCTCGCCTTTGGAGCCTGACCTGGTTCTGTATCCGCCTGTCCTCAAGGCAGCTGCTGAGATAACTGTCAGGCCACACAGGAGAACCCCCAACCCATAAGGACTCCGTGAAACGATGCCAAGCGCTAACTCAGGCTGATCACCTTGACCACTCTGTAACTCACCTTTGATCACCTTGGCACTGCCTGCAGCTCAGGTTCATCCGCGGCAGCTCAGGGCTGGCACTCAGTCCGGATTTGGGGGAGAATACTCATGTAGGTGTGCATCATGTATAATATGTACTACCAACTTGGCGTAATCTCTACAGACAAGAAACCGCGTCCCGTGTCCTCGCGCCCGAGAAGGATCATAAAACAGGTTTCCCACCTACCCGGCCAGGCAATAGAAGCAAAAATCCCTGTCGCACCGGAACCCGTCCTGGCCGCACCGCCGCCTCGAGCCGCCGGGGGTGAGGATGACGGAGCCGGCCGAGCTCCTGGACCGCACCGAGGAGCAGCGGCTGCTGCCGCTGCCGTCGTGCCCGTCACCACCGGGACGCGGCGTGGCGGGAAGGTGCAGGCTGGCGACAGCCCTGGCATGGGGCTCGGCCGACGACGACGACGAGGCCTTGGTCATGAAGAGGCGGCGACGCAGGTTCTTGTTTGTCGGGGACGTGTTGCCGCCGCCTGCCGCCGTTCCGCCTCCTCCTGCGCCACCTCGGTTGCCGCTCCTGGAGACGGCCGCGAACGAGGCGCGGCGGTGGTTCCTGAGGAAGGACGAGGACGGGGTGACGGCCGCCGACGAGGAGGATGACGACCAGGGGAACTTGCTGGTGGTGGTGGCGCTGACGTTGAAGAGCGAGGCGGTGCTGCGGACGGCGGTGGCGTCACCGTTGCCGTCGCCGTTGTTGCTGACGACGCCGCGCACGCTACCACCCGGCGACGAAAAGTAGGTCGACGAGAGCTCGTCCTCGTCCGAGTCGTAGATGAGCGAGATGAGCGGGGACGTCGAGCGGTGCTGGTTCCGGTTCTGCTGCTGCTGCGGCCAGGGCTGCCGGCGGCGCGACCGCGGTCTCCTAGAGGGCGTGTCAGCGCCAGCGGCCTCCACCACATTTACGTCGGAGGCGTGGCTTCCTTGGCGGCGCCGCCCTCCCCGCACCGCCGGTAGTGTCAGGGGCGACGACGCTGCGATTGCGGCCGCTTCTGCTTCTGCGTCCATCTCTAGCATGTATGCTGCTCTTGGGGGTGGGGATGATCGATGGTAGTCTCGACCTGGGCTTTCGTCCCGGCCGCGGCGGTTGGGCGACGTTTCCGGGCTGCTCTCATCCCGAACCTGAGGCCTTGCACGTCGCGCACGTTCCCTTCTCGGGCCTGCAGCGGCACGTATCTCGACTGAGTCTTCTTCCTCCACTTCGGCTCCGTCATTCTCAGAATCTAGCAGAACGAGTGGAGATTCTGATGAGCCAACAGGCGCTACAGCACTGCCCGGGCTCTCTGCCGCTGTCGGGGCAGCCCCGGAATGATGCTCTAACCCGAGGCTGCCGTGGCGCTTGGCTGTGTCCTCAGTGCCGACTGGGCTGGATTGGCTTTGTGGTTTTTCATACTCGCTGTGGGCGGGGGAAGAGAGGACTTCATCCACAACTTCTTCCTCATTGCTCTTGTCCTCTTCTAATGGCAGCTTCTCGGCAGATTCTGGTTCTTCTGGGGATGAATTTTGCTTAATAACCGGCACCCCATCGAAGCAACGCAGCTCGCCTAATGTTCCTAGGGGCGATGGCAGTCCTGCGGGTACTTGTTTGACTGTCATGGCGGATGCAATATCAAGTCGCAGATTGCTGGGGCTGACCGTGCCCCGATTCCCAGAGACCTCCCCAAGGACCCGGGGCCTCGGTGATGTGCGTAACCGAGGGCCACTGAGCGAGTCCCTCGATCTGCCAGCATGACTCTTCCTAGCCATCCATCCATTGTTTTCGCCATCGGACAAACCATGGGAGAGGTCAGTGGGCTCTGCCAACGATATCTCGCCGACTCTCTTGCCTTGTCCCTCACTAGCCCTCTCAGTCTGATGATGAGCTGGGGGCGTTCCGGGAAGTTGAGGGACGACGACGGCTGCTGGTTCCTCTGTGGAGGCGGCTGTGTGCTCGCAGGGCAATTCGGACTGGGCTGGCTCGGCTGCTGGTGCTGCCATGTCGACTAATAGCGTGTCACCCCCAGCCTCTGTGCTCACTGTTGGCGCCAGACCCTCCAATGGCTGGCATGTGTCTTCAGCCCGAGGCGGTTCCGCACCCACATCATCCTGTGCCGTCTTCCCAGCGCGTCCCCTTGGTCGTCGTCTGGGTCTTAGCGGCTTTGATTGTTTCTCTTCTGCTGGCTGGCTATCCGCTTCACTAACTGTGGACGACTGCAACTTGAGTTGCCGAAGCCCCTCGTCCACAATGTAGATGACAATATCTTCACCCGCTCTGGGAGCCTGAGTTGGTGCAGCAGTAGTTGCCGACATGTCCCCGCCCGTGTTGGGAGGTGACAAGGGCTTCTGTAAGCCTCCATCGAGTGACTGTGGCGGATCACGAGTCACCTGCTGAGCACAGGAGGGTATCGGTGTGATATTTTCAGCGCCAGCCGGACCAGACGCACGACGTTTCCTCGATCTGCGAGCTCTAGAAGTGGCCCTTGGGGCGGGATAGGATTTTGTTTCTGGGCCATCGTCTGAGCTCGATGTATCAGGTGGAGTGGGGGGAGATGGCACCTGCTGCTTCTCGGCGGGACTCGAAGCACTCCCTGCTGGCTGTGATTGAGGTGCGGGTGAGGGCTGGATTTCGGGCCTCGTCGAGCTGGGCATTTCGCCAGGTAGGGTGTCCTTGGGCTCAGATGCCGGCAGCGAGACCTGTCTGGAAGTAACCGTAGCGCTTTCCCGGACCTCCTCCTTGGCCGGGGCCTGGATCTCATCCTCCGAGTCGGCTTCGGCCATGACCTTGCGCATTAAGGATTTCAGGGGCACCTTGCTCCGTTTCCGGATAGAGCCGAGGCGGCCACCCGGCGTAGGCTGAACCGGAGCCGCGGGGCCGATGGGCAAGGCGGGGACCCTCCAGGCCGACTCGACAGTGTGGTTGGTCATGCTCAAGAGGTCTAGCGGTGCTGTTGCTTGCTGCAGAGCCTGCCCACCACCTGCTGCTGCGCTCAGCAGCTCGTTGATTTTCGAGATGAGGCTCTGCGGTGCTCCTGCCCAGGCCGTGATGGGTGCGAGCCCGAGGATGGGCTGCTGAGGCAGCGAGGTTCTAGGTGCGGTGGGTGATGTGGTTGTTGCTTTGTCGGGGTCGACAGGAACGGGGTCGGCTGGGACCCCTCTTTGCGCCGCCTCCCTCTCATTGCCGTCTTCTCCTTGGTCTTCATCCTCATCCTCGTCTTCTTCATCCGACTCGTCATCACTGCCGCCCCCGTTCAGGTCCGTGACGTCGGAGTCATCGTCGGCGATATCTCCCATTATATCCTTGGACTTTGAGCCAAAGATGGACTCGAGATGGCCGTTGTTGACGATGACCTCGCCTGTCTTTAGGTCGATCTCGTCGGTGGTTTCGCTCAAGTCCCGCCCGTACTTCTCGAAGATGAGCTCCATCCTGGACTTGAGCGACATGGCGGCGCGGTCGCGGGAGATCTCGAGCTGGCGCTCGGGGGCGAGGTCCTCCTGCTCGAAGGCGACCAGCTCGTCGTCGCCATCGCGGCCGAGGTACTGAAGGAGGCGGGGGCGCTTGTTAGGGGGCTCCATGGCGAGGAGCCGTGACTGGCGGCGGCTTGGACGTCTGCGTCTCCTGGGTCGCCTCGTTTCTCCAGCTCAGCCGGCGCCTGTCCTCAGCAATTGCCCATGGCGACATCATCGGGGCGGGGGGTCAGGGCAGGGGTGGGCGGGAGCTGGCATGCGACGGAAGAAACAAAACAAATGCCAGACTAGCCAACCCACCCCTGTCAGCGGCTTTACGCGATGGTCGCGAGTTGGCGCGTCAACCAATGAACTGGGATCTTGATTGCCTGTCGCCTGGTGGGGTGGGCCCTGACGAACAGGCGGCAGGGGTCAGCTGCAGCGAGCGCCTTCCACTGAGGCCCCAGGGCACCTACCTAATTCGACAGCTCCGTCATCAGCTTCGGCACTTACACAGTAGACGTTGACTACAACCAACGGTGTCCACACCCATCCTTCGTCGACACCACACTCTGACCCTCGCCCACGCCGTAGCTCAGCCGGCGCTGGCAAGCCCCGCAGCCTCTCGTCGACAATGAACTGCCAAAAATGCCGGACGCCGCTCAAGCTTGACGGCTCGCTCCAGGACCTCAACCCCGCCGCCTACGACCTCCTCGTCAGTACGTCATGCTCTGTCTGTCTATGCTGTCCTCCCCCCCTTTTCACTCACCCACCGCATCGCTCATTCGCCCTGACAAACCAAGCAGCAACATCGTCGCAGCAGGCCCACACGAAACTCCCCGAGTCGCTGTCCTTGCCGTCTGCATCAAGTCCGCGAGCCCAGAGCCGGCTCGCTGCCTACAAGGAGGCCGCCCAGAATGCCGGCCCGCCGACCTTCAAACGCTACAGCGGCGGCCTAGCCCCGCGTGCCGATAAGACCGGCGTACGCGACAACTCCATGTCCTTCATCCTGCTAGAGGGCTCGCAAATAGCGCCCTCCTCCTCCAGACGGCCCTCCTCCAAGGGCTCCGCGGCCGACGCTGCCGGGCCCGCCGTCGACGACGAGCTGGACCCGTCGCCTTCGCGCGAGATGGGCCGCATGACGCGCCTGTTCGAGACGCTGTCGGCCCGCTCCGACATCGACCACCCCGTGTGCGTCGAGTGCACCGACATACTGGTCGAGGGCCTGCAGAAGCGGCTCGAGTCGGCGGCGCGCGAGCGCGACACGTACGTCGCCTTCCTCAAGCGGCTCGAGGCCGAGGCGCCCACCAACGACGAGCTGCGCGCCCAGGAGGCGGCGCTCGCCGAGGCCCGGGCCCGCGAGTCGGCGGCGCTGCGCGAGCTGCTCGACCTCGAGGCGGACAAGGCGGCACTCGATGACGAGGTGCTGCAGCTCGAGGACGAGTCGCGGCGGCTCGACGCCGACGAGGAGCGCTTCTGGCGCGAGCGCAACGCCTTCGCCTCGCGCCTGGCCGAGTTCCAGAACGAGCGCGACAGCATCAACTCGCGCTACGACAACGACGCGCGCCTGTATCAGTCCCTACAGCGCACAAACGTCTACAACGACACCTTCCTTATCAGCCACGACGGCACCTTTGCCACCATCAACGGCCTCCGCCTCGGCCGCCTGCACGCCAGCCCCGTCGACTGGCCCGAGATCAACGCCGCCTGGGGCCACGCCCTGCTGCTCGTGTCCACCGTGGCCGAAAAGCTGCAGTACCGCTTCGACGGCTACGAGCCCCAGCCCATGGGCTCCACCTCGCGCATCGTCCGCTACGAGGTTCCCTCCCCGTCGTCCTCGAGCCGCCTAGCCGCCGCCACCGCCGCGACCACGGTGGCTCCCCCTCCGCCCGCGCCCCGCCGGCACGTGCTCGAGCTCTTCTCGTCGGGCGGCGACATGCCCCTGCTGCCCTTTATGCACCGCCGCCTCGATGCCGCCATGGTGGCCTTTCTCGAGCTCGTCCGCCAGCTCGGCGCCTTTGTCGAGCGCCAGACGGCCGCCCAGGGCCGCCCGCTCGACTTGCCCTACCGCATCGAGGGCGACCGCATCCAGGGCGTCAGCATCAAGCTCGGAATAGCCCAGGACGACACGTGGACCAAGGCCTGCAAGCTGACGCTGACGTGCTGCAAGTTCCTGCTCGCCCACGCCAGCAGCTTGTGATGATAATGCCTTTTTTTTTGTGTCTTTGTGCTTCGCAGGTGTGCTTAATATTCACTGGTTTTTAAACCCTTATTTTCATCATCACATCATCCTCGGTTGCCCGGTCGAGGGGAATGAGTATGGGAGTTTTTGTGTGCATTATACTTTTTGGACACGGCGAGAGGCATTGATGGACCATTTGTCAACCCTCCTCTTTCACGCCTTGGCATGATTGGTTGGCGTTTTACGGCCGAGGGAGTTTTGATATTCCAAACATTTGTTGTCATCAGAAGCACAATACAGGCTTGGCCTTTCTTCTTGGCTAGGACCTCGTAGGAACACTTCTTATCATGAAACAGATCATAACAGTACCTTGGCCTTGCGGCTCTTGGTGAAGCCCTTGAACCCCTGGTTCATCTTGACAACAGACGAGCAGACCGTATGTGGCGGTCCGACACGACGACGCGGGCCGCCGCCGCCGCCCGCTCCCCGCCGCCGCCGGCCTCGGCAGCCTCGCCCTCGGCCAGGGCGACGGCGACCTGGAGCACGTTCTTGATCTGGCGGCTGTTTAGGTACAGCGCCAGGATCTCGCGGGACCCGCTGGCGAACTCGCGCGCCGCGACTGAGACGTGCACGCGGGAGCCCGAGTCGCGCTCGAGCTGGTCAAACGACATCTCCCAGATGGCGACGCGTTCGGCGTCGGTGAGGGAGCGGTAGTGCAGCGCCGCGGTCGGGGCGCTGCCCAAACCGGACAAGCTGTTCGCCGTCAGGAACAGCACGCCCTTGTAGTACTCGAACGCGCGCAAAAAGATGGGCCGGATGTTGTAGGATATGTTGCCCCTGAAGGACGGAGTGTCCAGTTGGTGTTAGCCCTTTTTTCCCCCTCTCTCTCTCCAATCAAGGAAGGACATAACCAAGCTATATCACTCACCTTTGGTAACTCTCCAAGTACTCATCTGCTTCTTCGAGAAGGACCAAGGCGCCGTAGCGCTCACCTAGCTGCAGGAAGTGGTCAAGGTTCTGGCTGATGGAGTCAGCGATGAGAGGTCCGAGGTCGCCGTTCTTCAGACACAGCAGAGGGCGTTGGGTGATCTCGGCAGCCGCTTCACAAGTGGAAGTCTCTCCAACCTGTTTGGGTCAATGGTTAGCATCATAGTTCGCCCTTTGGCAAGTTTGTCGTGGAGAATGCGTGGTGAAAGAGCGAGCGAGCAAGGAGTAGGCAAGAAAACAACATACGTCAGGGGGTCCAGATAGCAGAAAGATGCGCACTTCGGCCTTGTTCTTGACCGGGTCTCGAGACCAGGGGCTCAGTACGCCGCCGTCGTTGACAAACCTGCTGATCAGGGTCCTGACGGTCTGCTTGACCTCCTTGTCTACTACGAGATGTTTGAAAGCCTCGCGGTCGGGCTTGACGTCTGTCAGATGCTCTACGCGGACATGGCCTGCAACCGCCGATTTTTGCCGTCTTGGTAAGCAAGCTTCTTCTTCCCCCCAAAGCAGAGTACACACAAGTCGCCTCGGGACCCCCGTCGCACTTACCCCATCGTCGTTCCGCCAGGATGAAGGCAGGGACGTCCTTTTGCAGAGCCAGATAATAGAGGTCGCTCTGCGGCGGCGCGTCCGAAACGGGGTCCAGGTCCTCGAAGCCGGAAAACTTTCCGGGCTTCCCGACCGACGAGGTGGACTCCCAGGCGCACCCGGGACATCCGCAGCACGGCTCGAACGAAGGTAGCAGATCCTGCGGCGTCCCGCGCCTTGGCGACGCCGGTCTCCGCATTTGGTTTCTGCTCACGCCGGGAGGTGGGCAGCTTCCCGACGGTGGTGGCATATAGGCTTGGTCGCTGTATCGGAGCCCCCTGGGGCCCCTGTCGCCGAAGCGCTCGATCCCTTCGGCATCGACGACGACCCTGCTCGAGATGCTGCCCCTAGGGCCGCTCCTATCGACCACCTCGCCGACATACTCCTTATAGGTCGGGCGCTTGACGAGATCCCAGTACAGCTTGCCGAGTCTGACCTGTTTGTCATCCATGGACTCGCCTTGCGGCATCTCGCCCGGCAGCGCCTTGGGGAAGAGCGCAGCGGGGATTATGGGGAGGCTGCTGATGGCCTGCTCGCCTGCGTACACGCGAATATACGTGGTCGTGGCGTTGCGCTGGATTCGCCCGTCCTCATACCTTAGGTTCCAGGACTCGATGGCCCAGGGCTTCCTCTCGTCCGGGTGTCGCTCTTGGCCGTCGCCGCCGAGCCGGACGCGCGATATGATATTTGGGATCCAGCCGCCGTTGATCTTGATATAGCCCACCTCGCCCGGTCGGTAGAGAAGCCACAGGCAGTCAAAGGTGGCGCAAGACTGGTCCTTCTCATGACGCAGATTCTCCTCGCGGATCTTTGGGTCGAGAGTGTCGGCAAGGAAGCCCAGGAGGACGTCGATGTGCATCGACGTCTCCGCAACCTGTTCGGGGGAGTGGCTCGCCGGCTGCGCATCCCTGAAGCGGGCGAGGGCGGCGCGGTGGTGGAGCAGGATGGCGTAGGGGGCCTGGATCACTACGCGTTTGGCCATGAAGTCGGCGCCAGGCCAGTATCCCACGACGGCACACAGGGCGCCCTTCAGAAGGGCCGAGTGAATTATCATGTGTGTCACCCTGGACTTGCTCGGGTAATCGAACTCGTATTGCTCGTCCTGGTATGAGTGACGCCTGTAAGCATCGTAAGAGCTCTGACTACCCTGCGGCTTGACCTTTGTCATGATCTCGATGATGGGCTTGTCCTTCCCGTGTTGAGCCGCATTGGGATTGTCAATCTCATCGAACGGCTTGTCGCTCTTGTGTGCTGTGCAGGTCACCGTCAGCTCTGGATTCAATAAATGTCACGATTCCAGTCAAAAAAAGGCCCGGGCCAACATACTGTCGACAACCTTTCCATCCATCAAGTACTGCAAGACATAGAGAATCTTGGGAGCCACACTATCGTCACTGTCTGGCTTCGTTCGCGACAAACTGCGGACAAGGTCCTGTGACGAAGCAGTAATGTCCTCGAAACTCGCAATGGAGTCGGCATCCCCCGAGGCTTCTGCCATGCTTGCTAAGAGTCTCTGAGCAACAAAAGTCTGTTATCTAATTCGCGCTCTGGTGCGGAAAGGGTGCTCGTGCGGAGAGAGATGGGGGCCAAAGCGACGAGGAGCTCCCCAGGGCCTCCTTCTTATAAGCCAGGCGAGGGGCGCATGCGTGTAACTCGAGCCCAGGCTGCGGTGGGCGGGCACCCACTGAAAAAATCAAATCAAGACCGCAACAAAGGTGCTCCCATTTCAAAGTTAATTAACGCCACCAAAAAAAAATAGCTAGCAACTAAAAGATTGTTTATATAGTAGGGAATTGAATCGAGATTAAAACAATTAGCAATGGCCTGGATCCGTGCTTTTTTGGGCGTGTTATAATGCTTTGGCATACTGCAATTGAATTGGTCGAGTTTGTTTTGATGTTTTTTGCTGTAGAGTTTGGGTGGGGAAAAGCATTTGTCAGTCTTGATTTTTCTTTTCAGCCGGTGGCGGGGTAGCTTCGGCGTTGGTGTGTCAGTTGACCGTGAGCCTGGCAAGGCTGCCAACCAGAAGCCAGGCTTTGCTGATCTATACACAAGTACCTTGTTGTTAGCCTGCCGCCCTGCCACCCTGCCACCCTACCTGGACACCTCTCACACGTCCTCGCGGCCTGCATTAGTGCAATGCAATGCAATTCAACGCGGACAAAGTTACCGTAACTGGCCGGCTTGCCGCCTCACTGGCCGGTTGGTCACGAATGCGGGAGCACAACCCAACCCACGCTACAGTCAGATGGAACGTGCAGATACACGCGAGGGGGAAAGGCGGGGGATAACAGCCGTGTTCTATTGCAATTGGACCGAGCTGCTTAGCCTAGAAGTCTGGGTACCTCCTCCAGCAGGTGCTCGACGATAGCGTCGGGCCCTTTCTCAACCTGCAGTCCTTGCGGGATGGCGTGGAGTTTGATGTCCGGCCTTACCGAGCGTGCAATGGCCTGGATACGGGCAGCCTCCTCGGCCGACCACATGGATGCCGAGAACTAGGTGCACGCGCAGGTCGTAGGTGCTCCAGGTCAGACCAATGCTGGCTGCGTTATTTTGACGGTGGGCACGTCGCAACGCTTTCTTACCAGAACATCAGGCTGGAACTCCTTCACCTTGCCCTCCACCTCTTCGATACCTGCCGTGCCTCCCGTGTCAGCAGCGAGCCATGCCCGTCGTCCCTGGATCGTGCCTCCTTGGGATTGGTCATCTCACTCTCGCAGTTCGCCACGTAGTCGATCGTGTATTGGTCCTTCAGAGCCTCGACCATCCTGCCGATAAGACGCTTGGCTCTCTCGGGTGCCGTGTTGACAGTCACGAGTCGGAATGGGCCCTTTGGAGAAGCCATCTTCTAATGTGTGCTCAGTCACGTTGCGGCAGAAGCGTTGGTGGTGATTTCAGGTTGCGTCACTCGGGATTGAAAGCCTTGGTTTGAATTGGGAACGCGTCTTTTTTTTTACCCCTCGTCTTGTCAAGCAAAGACGCCGATATCGCTGGAGTCATGCGTCTACTCGAAGATGTCCCTCAATTCCTGGCCCGTCTCATAGATGGAAATCCAGACAACCAGGAAGCGAAGGCACCGCAAAATATTTTCGCTTTGGACAATGTCCGATTTTTTTTTCAACCACCGCTGGTATCATGCTTCCGGGCTTGCCCCGTTATGCAGCAGATTCTGTTCTGTGTGCCCTCCTTTAACACCCACTGCCACCGTCATAGACGGTTTCATTCGCCGTGGGCAAAGCCGGAATTCCGGGAACTTGCATGCCTAGTCTGACCAACACAAGATCCGCCAAGTGGCGGCCTTTTCCTGGCTTCTATCCCCCCCCAGGGCTCTGCCTCATGTCATGCTTTATCTCCCATGATTTGGTTGACAACGGAATCGTCAAAAAGATGCCAACTGGCCGCGAGCCGAGTTCTTATTTAGCATTTATGCGTAGAGCTTCTTCTCGTATGACTCCATGTTCACTCCACCCTCCAGCTGGGCACTTGCCGTCCGGATCTCGAACCGCACAGTGCCATTCGCCACGCCATCGTGGAGCTCCCTGAGGCTCTGGATTCCAGTGTCTTGCATGGAGTGTTTCAACCCCGCTGCAAGGTATGGGAGGAACTTGGAGATGGATCTGCGTGGCGGATATGTTAGCAATCATTTCGTGCTTTAGCCTCACTAAACCGCATCGACTGCTAGTGGCACTTACCCCCGATGCGCCACGGCTCCGGAAACACCCTGGGCGACCAGAACGCTGTCACCCTCAGAGAAGTAGCGGGCGGTACCAGCATTGCTCTTCTGGCTGTCTTTGCCACCACCGCCGGCCTTCTTGTCCTGCATGGCGTCGATGCTGCCCATGCCACGGTACGCCTTGACAAGCTTACCCTCACGAGACACGAACGAGGTACCGGGGGACTCGGTGGTGCCTGCAAGCAGGCCTCCCATCATCACGGTCGAGGCACCAAGAGCCAGGCCCTTGACGATGTGGCCGACGTTCTGGATTCCACCGTCGGCGATGCAGGGCACACCGAACCTGGCGGCGAAGGAGCTGACGCTGTAGACGGCGGTAGCCTGGGGACGGCCGACGGCCATGACCTCCTGGGTGATGCAGGCACTGCCGCTTCCCATGCCGATGCGCAGCCCGTCAACGCCAGCTGCGATGAGCGCGGCAGCCTGCTCCCTGGTCACGACGTTTCCGCCAATGACGTCAAGGCCGGGGAAGGTCTGCTTGATCCACTTGATCATCTCGATCTGGTACATGCTGTTTCCCTGGCTGCTGTCGAGGACGACAATGTCTAGGCCGGCGTCCACAAGCTTTTGGAGGCGCACCTTGTCCTCGGGCCGCGTGCCGATGGCGGCGGCACAGAGGAGCTGCTTCGAATCGGGCAGCTTCGACGCAAGGGGAAAGTAAAGATTCTTTGTCAGATCGGACCGCGAAATCATCGAGACGAGGTTGAAGTCCTTGTCCACAATCGGCAGCTTTCCCTTCTTGGACTTGGCCAGGATCTTGTTGGCCTCGATCAGGTCGATGCCGTGGGGCGCCGTGATGAGGTCCTTAACCATCACGTTCTCGATCGAGGTCTCGGGATCGTCCTCAAACTGGATGTCGCGGTTCGTCACGATGCCCAGCAGCTTAGAGCCGAGCTTTCCATTCTCTGTTTTGTGTCAGCATAATGCTCGTCGCCAGAGTAGTGTACCGAGTATGAAGCACTGCCGGCATTTTCCATCATAAATCTTTTGTCTCCCCAAGACGTGAAGTCATTACGGCGGAACGAAAGTTATAAAAAAAGAAGGTAATAATCATAAGGAAAAGAGCATGCCGAAGAGGTGCCACAGGTAGCATCAGAGTGTGCGAAAAATGCGACCGACTTACCAGTGACAGGGAAGCCACCGAATCCCCACTTCTCCTTCAGCGCCTTGGCCTCGCCAACAGTGGTGGCACGGCTGATGACGACGGGGTCGAGGATGAAGCCGTTCTCGTAGCGCTTGACCTTGCGCACCATGTCGGCCTGCGCCTCGGCCGAGCAGTTGTGGTGGATGACGCCGAGGCCTCCCTGGAGGGCCATGTGGATGGCCATCTCGTGCTCCGTCACCGTGTCCATGGGCGACGACACAAAGGGAGTCTTGAGGGAGATTCTCTTGGTGACTGGCGAATCGAGGCCGACCTCGGAGGCAGCAAAGCCAATGTAGCCCGGGAGCACGAGGAAGTCGTTGTATGTCAGGCCGCCGTTGACCTTGGAGTCCAGCAGCTGGCGGACGTCGAGACCATCGCGGCTCTCGTACTCCTCGAGGAGCTCCTCGGCGTTCTTGAAATCAAGGAACTTGGTAGATCCATTGATCCATGTCGCGCTCAGGTTTGCGGCAGACATTGTGTGCTGGAGGGAGGGGTATCACTGCTGCGACCGTCAGTCGCCGGCATCGAGGAGAGAGAAACGCGCCGCTGCCCCTCCAAGGCGACCAACTTACAAGAAAGGAAGAACGAGGGAGGAAAAGAGCCAGCGAGAGGACACAGTGACAACGAAAAGCCAGGCTGTCTCGGCGTCTCGAGGTCGAAGATAGCCGGTCAATCCGATTTCGCAGGTTGCCAGGCCGGTAGAGCTTGTCTTCTTCCCAAAAGAAAGAAAAAGGGAAAAGAAGGGAAACGGAGGCACACCAATTTTTTTTCTTCCAATTTCATGCGGTCGCCGACTGCGGGGCACAAAGAATCTGGTCTGCGTGACGCCACAGTTTGGCGGGCGGTGCACCGCGCACAGACCAATCAAGCATTTGGCAGGGTGCCAAGCGAACGATCTGGGACCATGACGAGTTGCAACAGTCAGTCTCAGTCTCCGGTTTGCGGGAGTCCGCTTCCAGAGGGGACAGGATGGCCCCATCGAGAGCGGAGTTCGCGGCATACGAGCTGCTTTGCAGATGCAGCATTGAGCCATCGGCTGACAGCTCCTGCAAGGCACGAGCCAATGATGATGGGCAGAGAGTTGAGTAAGGGAGCGCGCAGCTGAGATGAACGCACACGCACGGCTCTAGCTGTTGAGTGAGCCCGCTTCTATCTACTTCTAACCGCCTCTACATAGCGGCTTCCATTCGAGCCTTGCGAAATCCAAGGTACGATGATGTGATTGCAATTAAATGTTATGTCCAATGCAACCCGGCAAATTCTGTCCAACCATGGACGCCACATTTAAATGGAAGCACGGCAGAGCCACCATGCGGGAAGAGTAACGGTCGCGCTGCCACCAGCAGTGAATTCTTCGGTTGGTGAGCAGCTGATACATGCGCTACAGTCCACGAAATCAAACCAAGACATTACTTTGAAAGGAAAGCAAAACTTGGCGTAAAAAGGTCTTTATATCGCATAGTCCGAGAATCTAAGTAAAACAGGGAAAAGGGGAAGTACAAAAGGAAAAGAAAAAAGAAAAACAAGAAACAGGGAGCGGGAACATTTCACGTATCCCCAAGAAACACATCTCGATCATCTCTAAAGCACTGCGCGGCTGGCAACCCCTTCAAGCCGTGGTTTTGGATGCGGCGGGCGTGGATTCGGCGGGCGTGGATTCGGCGGGAGCCGGGTTGCCGTTGGGCTCCTTGCCCAGACGAGACTTTCCTGGGTTCTGCCTATTCCTGTCGAGAGGCCTGCTGCTAGGCTTGTCTGCAATCTGGTGTGCGGCGGCGGGCGGGACCTTGCTGGGCGGAGCGGGCTTTGGTGCCGGCGCCGGGTTCAGGTCCTTGACGGGTTTAGCCTGGGTTGCCCTCAGGATTTCCGATAGGCGAGGGACGCGCTCGGCCGAGCACGTCCTCGCGTTGAGAATGTGATTGTTGCAGTCGAAGAGCATTTGCCAGGCCTCGGCCGACTTCCAAGCCGGAATATCGCATCGCAGCTCCGAGGTGCCGTCTATTTTTGGGGTGCCGTTTATGGTACAGCAGTTAAGGGCATTTTTAGGACCGGGAAGGCAGCAGTGGCCATCGCCGGTTGCCGTCACGGCTCCCTTGCGGCTCGAGAACGTCGGGCACGTCTCTGCTGGGGTGGCCGGCTGACTGGGGGCCGGGGCTGCGGCCGCGTCGTCCTTCTTCTTCCTGTTCCAGAAGGCTCGGGGAGAGACGCCGGTGTGGCTAGCGGAGGCTTTGCTGTCCGCGACGGGCATTGCCGAAACTAGGGTGGTCGCGGCCGCGGCCATAGTGACTAGGAAGGTCGGGGCGTGCATATTGGAGCTAGAGAGTTGTCGCTTATATGTTCCCTCTTCTGTTCCTCAGTTGACTCTTGGGGAGACAAAGACAAAATGAAAATGAGCAAGGAAACGACGAAGGAAAGACGGAAAAGAAAGTATGCGCGGGACCGTGGGTGGTGGAGGAGAAGGGGAGGCAAAGACGACATTCCAGCAGACGAGGACACCAGATACTTATACCTACCGTGATGCCCTCCCAGACGGTCAGTGGCAATGTCTGATCCCAGCCTCGGAGCCGTCTCCGGATGACGAATAGTGCATCATGAAACGCTGCGGCCCCTGATCGGAACTGTGGCCATCAGGAACCAGGGGAAGGGAGATCGATCGATACGACCTGCTCCATTCCATGAGTGCAGACGTGGGATTCTCATGGCGCAGCAGAAAGGCGTAATGCGACCAGACATCTCGTCGACTTTCTGACTCGACCGTTGCGCTGTGCGATGCAAGCCTAAAAATACCTCTGGTGTCTCATTGCGGAAACCATCCGCGAGGGTAATAAAGAGTAAAAACTCACCTCCCAACAGGGGGTTTGAGACAGGAGGAGGCCCATAATCGCAGGGTGACACCCCGGTATGTATCTTTTTGATTTTTCACGGCCAAATAGCCTGCTGGGTACATTTAGCCTTGCCTCGCCTCGATGATTGCGCTGCTCTTAGGGTCTGGCCGTTTGCCACCTCCGTGTGTTATGGGCTGAAGCTCGGATATGGGGTGCCGGCCTGGCCGGCACCAACACCCCCGCCGGGAACTACAACTCTACTTCCGCAATAGGGTTCTGCGACCTCGCAGCGAGATCCCTTCCCCATAAAAGGGGCTACCAAAACGCATAACCAAGTAAACCTCGCCCCAAGATCCTTTTCCTTTATAAGGAAAGACCCCGACGATAGGACCCGCTTAAAGTGCCACATCGGCAGCACCGAACCATTCGCTAGGAAAACCTTCTAAGCAAGGTTCAACATCGCAAAAAAATGCTTAGGACTTCGCAGCGAGGCCCCATAGGAGGAAACCGGATATATATATCCTACGAAAAGCCCTTCGAGGTGACAGCTAGATAGCGGTTCAATAATTACTATAGATTCCTTCTGGTTTTCATCCCCGTGCCTACAAATCGTTTGCCCATTACAGGAAGTGCGGGAAAAATTTCCTGAAATTGCCCTGCATAGAGGCGATGTACCTGGGCGGTTTTTTTGCCGTGAAAAATAGAAAAGATATATGCCCGGGGTGACCCCGCGTTTCCCTGAGCCTTTTGTTGGGAGGTGGGTTTTTACTCTTTATTACCCTCGGAGATGGTACAAGCTCGAGGTCCATTGCAGGAACTCTAGAATCGAAAAACGCCCCTCGGGACAGCATGCAAATGCACAGGTCAGAAGGCCTTGGTAAAACCGAGCCACAAACAGCTACAAACAGCCACAAGCCACAAGGGTCCGGGCGACATCTGGCGAGTCACTTGACTGAGTCTGTTGGGCATGCAAAACACAGTCCTGGACCAGTGATTGGCTGGGCGTGTGCCGCCAGCTCGTCGCAGCGGTCGACATTGGTGTACCTGGTACGTCACACCCTGTCCCGCGCACGGCCCCGCCATTGATCAACACGGGCTGCCTGGTTTTTGGTGGGCGTCGGTTTGTTTACAATCACCTAGGCGACGGCAATCCCCGAAAGAGTCTTTCAATCAAGCACATGAGCGAGCCGCCATAACCGCAGCAGCCCTCATTGACGATGACCTCACGCTGAATACGCTGAGCCAAGGCGGGACAGAGGCGGCTTCTTTTTTGATTTGCTACAAACGTGCTTGGTGGTTCATAAACCCCCTACTTTAATCATCTGCTTTTTGTTTGTTTTTGTTTCGTGCGCAGAGCGTGCCGCCAGTGCATTATTGCATTAAAGGTGCGTGCATCCTTACCGATAACTGTCTGTGGCGGCCTTGACAGAGGGCCCCATTTCGCTGGGCGGGCCGTGATGCACTCGCTTGCTGCACGCTCCCACCAGGGCAGGCCACTTCCGAGCACCAAAAGTCAAGGAAGACACCGAGCGGAACACGAACTAATCTTGAAAGACAGCAACAAAAGCAACAAAAGTAACAACAACACGGCCCAACCCCGACCTATCCCTAGATTCTTCGCTTGTCACGCCCTGTCCACCTGCCGATGACTGCTGCCAACCCCCTGCGAAGGCTCTAATGTCGTCGCTCGCCTCTGGCGCATTGGCCTCGCATTCTCATCGCAAACAACCGCCCTGGACCCGGCGCTGAGTGCATCCGCGCCGCCCACAACCGAAAATGTCGACTCGACCACACCCGCTCCGACAGTCCCAGACCGCCGACTACCCAGTCTTCCGTCAGCCCTCCACCACATCGTCCTCGGCGTCCTCGGGATACTCCTACAACTCCGAGGCAAGCCACACCAGCATGTCGTCGGCCGGCACCGGCTACTATGGCTCACTCAATCATGGCCGCACCAAGAGCGAGGTCGGCCGGCTGCCCTCCGCCTCAGCCACTTCACCGCAGCGGACGGGACCAGACAATATCTACAAAGACGCACGCCAGTCTCTCCGCCCTCTGCCCCAGGCGCCGGGCGCACTCGCCGCTGGCGATCGCGTTCCCTCGTACCGCCACGACCGCGGCCAGAGCGTGGACATCGGCAAGCTGAGTCTCAGAGACAGGGAAGGCTCATATTCTTTGCCATCAACATCGCCCACCCGCCAGTCCGCTTCTCCGCTGGTGGCAACAAACACATCGCCAACACGCATGTCACCAACCCCATTGCATTCAGCAAATACGTCGCCTACGAGGCTATCCCCCGTTCCGCTACCATCACCAAGCACATCACCAACGAGGATGTCACAATCCTACCTGCCTCCGGGAAATACGTCACCAACCAGGACATCGCCGACTAGGACGTCAACAGTCCGCCCCAACTCCATGTTTCTCCCACGCGCAGAACCAGTTAACCAAGCAGAGAGCCTGGCCGTTGCACATGCCCATGGCCCCAGCTCGCCTCTCGCATCCCACCACCCACACCCCGTGCATCTACCCGCCCCCGACCTCGAGAGCCTTGGGCGATCTTCCACCAACCAACTTCGCACACTGTCTAGGCTGGCACAATCCGGGGAGGCCGAAGAGTTTGCCATCACAACCCCTGCGCAGGAAGTGGTGGGGCTTCGAGGCCGCCGCAGGCTGCAGAGAGCAGACAAGGCGAGCGCTGGCCGTTTAGGTCAGCGCAACGGGGGAGGGTCGAGCTGGCAGAGCACCAACTGGATGGACAAGCAGCGGCAGTTTTTGCAGGCGTACGAGTATCTCTGCCACATTGGCGAAGCCAAGGAGTGGATCGAGGACGTTATGAACAAGCCCATCCCTCCCATTATCGAGCTGGAAGAGGCCCTGCGTGACGGCGTCACCCTCGCCGAGGTCGTGGAGTCCCTGAATCCGGACAGGAGATTCCGAATATTCCGCCACCCACGACTACAGTATCGCCATTCGGACAACATCGCCATCTTCTTTCGCTATCTCGACGACGTCGAGCTGCCGGATCTCTTCCGGTTCGAACTCATCGATCTTTACGAGAAGAAGAACATTCCCAAAGTCATCTACTGCATCCACGCTCTCAGTTGGCTGTTGTACAGGAAAGGGATCGTCGGCTTCCGCATCGGGAACCTGATTGGCCAGCTAGAATTTGAGCACCATGAGCTGGAAGCTATGCAGAAGGGCCTAGATAAGCTGGGGGCCAGCATGCCCACGTTCAGCAATATGGGGGCTGATTTTGGCGTCGAGCCGGCCCCTGAGCCGGAGGAGACCGATGAAGAAAGGGTAGACCGGGAGCTGGCCGAGAACGAAGAGTCAATTCTCGAACTGCAGGCACAGATCCGCGGAGCTATCCTTCGCATCCGCCTCGGGAAGCTCATGCAGCAGCTATGGGACAAGGAGAACTGGATCCTCGACCTCCAGTCCAGGATCCGCGGCGACTGGACCCGCCAGATCATGGACTACCGCTTACAGATGCGGCGCTTGGCCGTGGACTTTCAGAGCGCGGCCCGCGGCTTCCTGGTGCGTGCACGCATGGCGCAGAGGGAGCACGACTGGAAGAATGCGGAGCCGCAAGTGATCAAGATCCAGAGCCTTTTCCGCGCCCGCAAGGTTCGCAACGAGGTACGGGCTATGAAATCCGAGATGCGTCGGGCAGAGGGACCGCTGCGCGCCATCCAGGCGGCGATGCGTGGTTTTCTCGTCCGTTCCGAAGTCTACAACCAGCTCCAGAAGACCGACGCCGCCGCAGACATCGTGTCGGCCCTGCAGGCAGCTGCGCGTGGAATGCTTGTGAGGAGCAGGGTCGTGGAGGAACGCAAAGCGCTTGGGGCAGAGACTGGGTCCATCGTTGGTCTGCAGGCTGCTGCGCGCGCCATGCTGGCCAGGAGCCATATCGCCCAACAGCGAGAGGCCCTCCTCCGCTTCTCGCCCCAGCTGGAGCAAATTCAGGCCGCTTCTCGGGGGTTGCTAGTTAGAGAAAGCATCCAAGCCCTCAAGGCCAACCTTCAGCAGCACCTGCCAGCCATCGAGCGCCTGCAGGCGGCTTCGCGGGGAATGCTGGTTAGAGATGGCATCCACAGTCTCAAGGCAGAACTTCAGCAGCACTCACCAGCTATAGAACACCTGCAGGCGGCTGCCCGGGCTGGGGCCGTACGCCGCGAGCTAGCGCAGCTGCTTCAGGCCCTCGAAGAGACGGAGCCTCAAATACTGGAGCTGCAGGGCCTGATTCGCGGCACCCTCCTTCGCCAGAGAATTGCGGCAGACTACCAGGCCCTCCAGGAACAAACCCCAGCGATTCTCGACTTGCAGTCCCAGATCCGGGGGATGCTGTGCCGGAAGGTCCAGGGTGACCTCCTCGACGAGCTCAGCGCACACGAGGATGCCGTGACTAAACTACAAGCCCATGTCAGGGCTATGCTGCTGCGCAACAACCTCGACACGCTCCTCGCGGAGCTCGAGGGAGAGGAGGCCATGATTGTGGGGCTCCAGGCGGCTGCCAGAGGCTTCCTGGTGCGCCAGACGTTCGCCGAGAAGAAGCGGCACTTCCAGGAGAACATGTCCAAGGTCATCAAGATCCAGAGCTTTGTCCGTGCCAAGATGCAAGGCGAGGCATACAAGAGCCTGACCACTGGCAAGAGCCCGCCGGTCAGCGCCGTCAAGAACTTTGTCCACCTCCTGAACGACAGCGACTTTGACTTCAACGAGGAGGTCGAGTTTGAGCGGATGCGCAAGACGGTGGTGCAGCAGGTGCGGCAGAACGAGATGCTGGAGCAGTACATCGACCAGCTAGACATCAAGATCGCGCTCCTCGTCAAGAACAAGATTACGCTGGACGAGGTGGTGCGCCACCAGAGCAACTTTGGCGGCCACGCCAGCAGCCTGCTCGCCAACAGCTCCATGGCTTCGACCAACCAGTTTGACCTCAAGGCTCTGAACAAGAACTCGCGCAAGAAGCTCGAGTCTTACCAGCAGCTGTTTTTCAACCTGCAGACGCAGCCCCAGTACCTGTCGCGGCTCTTCCGCCGCATCCGCGAGCAGGCTATGCCCGAGAAGGAGTGCAAGCGCACCGAGCACCTGATGATGGGCCTGTTCGGCTACGCGCAGAAGAGGAGAGAGGAGTACTACCTCCTGAAGCTCATCGCCAGGTCCATCCGCGAGGAGGTTGAGGGTACCCGGACGCTCAACGACTTCCTGCGTGGCAACTTCTTCTGGCCCAAGCTGCTTGGCAATTACGCGCGCTCGCCTCGCGACCGCAAGTACCTGCGTGACCTCCTGGGGCCTCTGATCCGTGACAACATCGTCGAGGACCCGGCCTTGGACCTCGAGAGCGACCCTGTGCAGATCTACCGATCCGTCATCAACAACGAGGAGCTTCGCACGGGCCGGCCAAGCCAGCGCCCGCTCGACGTTCCCCGCGAGGTGGCTATCAAGGACGCCGAGACCAGGGAGCTGTTCATAGACCACCTCCGCGATCTGCGCGAGATCTGCGACCAGTTCTTGCTGGCGCTCGAGGACCTGCTGCCCCGCCTCCCCTACGGGCTCAGGTACATCTGCCGGCAAATGTTTGAGGCGCTCTGCCAGCAGTTTAAGCGCGAGCCCCAGCACATGCTGCTGCAGATGGTTGGCAACTGGTTCTGGCGCTTCTACCTCCAACCGGCCCTTGTGGCGCCCGAGAACGTGGGTGTGGTCGAGACCAAGCTCAGCCCGCTGCAGAAGCGCAACCTGGGTGAGGTGGCCAAGGTGCTGAGCCAGGTTGCCTCGGGGCGCGCGTTCGGCGGAGAGAACATCTACCTCCAGCCCCTCAACGCCTTCCTGGCCGACTCGGTCACGCGACTGACCCACATTCTGGGCGACCTCGTCGCTGTGCCCGACGCCGAGGCCACGTTTGATATTGACGAGTTCAACGACCTGTACGCCAAGAACAGACCGACGCTCTACATCAAGTTGAGCGACATCTTCGCCATCCACCACCTCGTGTCGTCGGAGCTTCCGGCCATGTGCCCCAACCGCGACGACGTGCTGCGCGAGATCATGCACGAGCTTGGTAGTGCCAAAAACAACGAGAGCGAGATGACAGCCACGGGCTCGTCCGACATCCAGATGTTTCTGACGCCCAAGCTGCACGATGTTGAGGACCCGGACGCCGAGGTCAAGGCGCTCTTCATGGAGACGAAGCGGTGCATCCTGTACATCATCCGGGTGCAGACGGGCTCGACACTGCTCGAGATCCTGGTCAAGCCCGTGACCCAGGAGGACGAGCACAAGTGGCTGGCGGTCCTCCACGACGACTTTGCCGACGACGGCGGCTCGCGGGGTGCCTACTCAGACGTCAATATGGTGGACGTAACGCGTATGACATACCTGGACCTGAAGCGCACCGCGCTCGAGAACGTGATGCGTCTGGAGCACGCCGGCCGCATCTCCAAGCACAACCACTACCAGGACATCCTAAACGCCATCGCTCTCGACATCCGAACCAAGAGCAGGCGCCGGGTGCAGCGGCAGCGTGAGCTTGACGGCGTGCGGCAGACGCTTGGTAACCTCCACGAGAAGGCAAAGTACCTAGAGCAGCAGCGCAAGAGCTATGACGACTACATTGAGCAGGCCATGGCGACGTTGCAGAATAGAAAGGGGTAAGTGTTTTTTTCCTTTCTCATTCTTTGTTCTTTTCTTTTATGGCTTCCCCTCTGCTCGACTTCTTACTGACGCTAACCTGCGACTTTCACAGCAAAAAACGCTTCCTCCTGCCCTTCACCAAGCAGTACAACCACCAACGCGAGTTGGAGCGCAGCGGGCGGGTGCCCAAGTTCGGCTCATACAAGTACAGCGCGCGGGCCCTGATGGACAAGGGCGTCCTCGTCACGTGGTCGGGCGTGACGGAGCGCGACCTGGAGAAGATCAACCTGACCATCTCGTGCGACGAGGTGGGCATCTTCAACATCGAGGGCTCGAGGGGCCACATCCAGATCCCGGGCGCCAGCGCCCTCGTGCCCATCGAGGATCTGCTGCAGGCCCAGTTCGAGTCGCACCAGTTCATGAACCTCTTCGAGGGCAACCTGCGACTCAACGTCAACATCCTGCTGCACCTGCTTTACAAGAAGTTTTACAGGACACAGTAAACGATACCCCTCATAGCGTGTGTCTCTTCGTCTTCCATTTTCCGTTGTTTTCTTTGGGAATCTCTTATTTCTTTCCGAGGCGTGCTTGTCTGTTGCCACGGCAGGTATTGCGGCGTCATGTGTTTATCACGTTTGGTGTTTATAAGGATGAAACCCCCCTGTCTGTTTTTGTGGCTGTCTTTTCTTTTCCTTTATGTTTTGTTGTCATGGCATGATGTCGGCAGTTGGTGGAGGGATAACGGAGGGAGGGAAGGCATTGGGTTGGGTCCAAGATCACGAAGCACACACACTCACAAACACAGATCATCACCACACATAAAATCGGGGGTGGGGAAGCTGATGGTACAAACTTTCACATTATTCATGTTCAAGACCTTTTTTTTCTTGCTTCCTTTTCTATCTTGTTTACTCACTTGACCGAACTACCCCTGTAGCCGTCGTCTCCTCATTTTCTTGCTGCTTCTTTTCAGCAAAACACAACCAATATCTCGTCTTTTAGGACCCAGGAACGTCTCCTCAGTAGTGCTCTTTGGGCATAGCAAACATACCTAGGAGGTTCCCCCACCTACCTACCTAGCAACAACCTACGCCCAACACATATTGATGTCGGGTATAGCTGAAGGGGAGGGAGACTAGTTCCCGCGGGAGACATCACAAGCACGAAAAGGTGACATGTGCTCGCTGTGAGGTGTGGTAATGGGGCAGGCGAGAGAGAGGACCAGGATTTATTTTATTTCTCGTTTCGGTACGTTTGCTTGGCTGCCTAGATAGATAGTAGCTCAGGTATATTCCCTCGACAGGCAATCACATATACCCTTCCGACTTGACTCGTTTGTAGCATGATTTTGGAATTAGGACTGTCAATCTTGAGGATGCCCCATTGCCTCCTTCTGTGTATGGTAAATGTTGAGTAGATGACGCACCCGCAACACAGCATATCTTTCTGGTTTTTCATGCCCAAAACAAAACAAAGGCGAGCCCTCGAGAACAGAGTGCAACAAAGAAAGATGGACATGAGGCGAAAAAGCAGTCGCAGAGGTATCAATATGATGCTGAAGATTGCTTTACCAACCGGCAAGCCACAGAGCAAAAAAAAGAACCGAGACAAAGATCTGAACTGGTGAAATCATTTTCTCAACATGTTTCTATTCCAACGCTCGGCCGTTCTGGCTTCCTTTCATCGAACCGTCCCATATCCCCTGGAGCCCGAGTCAGCAGGCTGCCTCGGCGCCTCGCAGTACACAGCAAGAGAGGCAGTGTCGTCTTCTTCCTCGACTTCGTCTTCATCACTGTCCGAGCCGCTACTTTCGGAGTCGGCCATCTTCACCTCCGGCTCCTCGGTCACTGGTTTCGCAAGGTATCATTAGCTGTGCCCGTTCTCGGCAAGTCTCGGACAAAAGGGACCGAATGACAAGACGACCGTGACTTACTGAACCAAGGAGGGATGGCGCCTAGGACAGCCACGGCGGCGAGGAACCAAAAGCCAGAAACGATGTACTCGCGGCCGTTGACGCCCCAGGTGAAGACGGCGCCGCCGGCGGCGGGGCCAACGGCACGGCCCACGCCGCTCAGCGTGGTGGCGACGCCGTTCAGCGTGCCGAGTATGCTCAGGGACGGGGCCGAGTTGGTGAGCATGATGGTGACGCACGGGAAACCCAAGATGCCGGCGAAGCCCTTGAGTGTGAGGACAGCCATCAGGGCAAGGAACCGGCCGTACTCGCCGGGAACCAGGCTGGTATAAGGGGTTAAAATGTATGCGATCGGGAATAGAATTGCTAAGTAGGTAAGGGAGGGGTTGTCAGCCATGAATATGGTGTGGCCTTGAGAGGCCCTGGGGAGCTGCATCTGAGAGAGTTGGTCCGGCATACCAGAGAGCTGATAGCACCTCAGGGCGCCATATTTGTTGCAGAGTGGAGGAAAGACGACAAATTGAATTACCTGGAGATATTTGTTAGTTGGGGGGACATGGCGTGGGAGGTGAAAGAGGCAGCGTAGCGGGAAGGAGGAGCGAGTCGAGGCATACTCCACATATGATTCCGTAAAGCATGAAAATAGCGCCAATCTTATCGAAAGACAGGCCAAACCCAGACTTGAACTTGAAAGGGAGCTGAATTTTGTCGGATCCCGGCTCTCGGTGGGGGTAGTTGAGGTACACAGGCAGCAGCTGGTCAAAGGCCACGGCGTGCATTGCCAAGAAGGTGTAGCACAGGAGATTCATAACAGTCAAAAAGTTGAACAGGTCCCACAGGTTCCTCTTGGGCGGCGGGTTCCGGCTGTGCCGGCGGACCGACCTGGCTGGCGAACGCGGGAGCAGCGGCGCGGTCGCCTCGCCGTCTACAAAGGAGGGTCGCGCATGGCGGTGGTGATGGCTGTGGTGACGCTTAAAGAATGGCCGCGTGAGCTTCTCGCCCAGTTTCAGCCCCCAGTCTCGGACATGGCGCTTGCTTTCTAGAGTTTCCTGTGCGAGACCAAACGGATTAAGCATGTCAAAGCCGCAAAAGAACAAGGTGAGTGACAGGCCAAGAAGATGGTGGACGGAATACAAACCTCGAGGAACAAGATGCCAGTAATGAAGGAGATCATGAAGAAGACGCAAGCAACAAAGTTTGGGAGAGCGAACGGGTATTTGTTGAAGAAAACGCTGTCCCCAAAGAGACCGGGATACTGCTGGGCAGGGCGGGCGAAGAAGCCGCCAAACGAAGGCCCAAAGATGCTCCCAAGGGACCACACGAGGGGCATGATGGAAAAGGCGCGAGCCTGATGTTCCCTTTCCGGCACCATTTCGGCGACCATGGTCCTGATGATACCCACGTTGCCATTGCCGGCGCCCTGGACAAAGCGGACTGTGAGGGCCATGGCCAGACTGGTTGACATTCCCCAAACGAGAAAGCATATCATGGTACTCACTGCGAGACCACTCGGTTAGTCTGGCGGCTATCATTGAGTGTACACAGACATACAAACACTCTAGGGTTAAAGGCGGGGTTAAAGAAAGGGATACTGACTGAGTCCAATCATAATGGTCGGCTTCCGGCCGATACGGTCCGAAAGCATACCCCAAGGTACAGCCGTCAGACTCTGGGCGATGCTAAAGGCGGCGCCCGTCAGACCAGCCCATTGTGCGACCTTTTCCTGCTTTACACCAAAGCTCAAGATCATCTCTGGCAGATACGGAAAGACCGATGTTAAGGCCAGGGGCTCGGCAAATCTTGCCACAGCTACGGTGGAGAAAATGAGCGGACTGTCAGCAAAGCCAGGTGTTCGGCATGTGGTGATTGTAACCACACATGGCGAAGAAGCATATGAGCTGGCGACCGGACAAGCCCTGTACTCGCAGTCCTCCCTTGCTAGGCCATCATTCTCTTTGGCTCTTCAGGTCATTGAAAGGTATAGTCCGCCATCCACCAACAGATGGGGCTCAGTGCGGGCCATGGGGAAAGCTTGATTCAGAAGGCAATATTTCCGAAACCCAAAGCACAAAAGGACACACAGACTCAGGAAGGGGACCGGGATGGCGAATGAGACGGAGAAGAGGCCAAATATAGAGCACAATGACGCAAGGAAAAGACCGATGGAGGCCTACCTAAAATCGCCAGCTGTTTGGTTGGGAGTTTACTCCCCGTGGTTGATCTTGATTCCCTCATGGTGGGCGTCTCCAATTTTACGTTGATCCTGATAGCCCCGGAGTTGTGACAATGGATGGTGCCTTGAGCGGCTCGAGAATCTACTAAATTGCCGGGGCGGGAAGGAGCGGGGATCGGTAGCGGGTGGGCTAGGTATGCAGCAGCAGCGTGTGCATCGCAGACGGGGCCTTCGTGACGATTGGACACAAATAGAAGCCTTCGGACCGGGGATCCGAGGGGAGAAGGATAAGAAAAAAGGAGGGCGGCTTTCAGGACTGTGCGGCGTACACCACGCCCAGAGTGGAGGTGAGGGAGAGGGAAGGGAAGGAAACAATTCTTTCCACGAACAGGACAGTGAGGGAAGAAGACGATATTTATTGGAAAGAGGAGAGAGAATCACCAGCAGACAGCTGACTCCTCGGACTAGAAAAAAAAAACTCCAGGGCGGGAAGGATGACAAAACTAACAACCTACCCCCATCAGCGAAAAGCGGGCCGACAGACAAGCCTCGCAACCCCGGTGTGCGCGTGTGCGGGATACATTAGACATACCTGACATGGATAGAGGCGAAATCGGGGACTGCGGTAGTCTAGGCCGGGCAGGCTTGGGCTAAGTCGTAGCCTACCCCGTTCGCCCATGCCGTTCAGGGCAGGCCCGGGCCTGGGCCAAGAGAGCAAGGGAGGGCGTGAGTCGACGTACGCGAAGACCGGGCGTCCTTTGTCTCCCTAGGTGCCCGGAAACTCTAGCTGTTGCTGTTGCTGTTGCTGCTGTTGCATTCTGAAAGGGCGGTCGGGTCTAGGTGAGCAGGAAAAGAGGGGGAAGGAGGAGCGGCAGCAGCATGGAGGCTAGAGGGAAGCAGGGCCTTTGACCGTGGGGGCAAAAATGCGCGATGCAGGGATCGATGGGTGGGTTTGCCCAGTCGGGTTTGCCTAGTCGGGCTGGCTCGCTGTAGAGTCGGTGACGGTCCATTATGTGCCACAGGTGACGCCGGAAAGGCAGCCGCCCGCAGCTGCAGGCAGGCTTGCTCCGTCTTTTTGGCGAGAGCGAAAGGGATGCAAATTCTCACGTCTGGATCCGCTATCGGCGACTGCTACCCCACCTGCCGCGCGGGGCCGTGTGACCTCCAGCTGGGCGTGCAGCTTGTCGACCTTAGCGCCGAGTGCGGTTGCACCTGAGGCAGACGGGAATTACGCGGTGCATGGTGCATCCAAAAAAAAACGCCCGGCGCCCTCTCTACTTGAATCTGCTTAAATCCGAGCACCGCCAACCCGAGCCCCGACCCTACGTACCGATATCCGGTCTGGTGGCGCTGAAACGCCGTGCATGTCTTACTCTCTCTTCCTGCAACGCAGGCTGGCGGTTGACAGAGTGCGTCGCCAGAGCCGTCCCATCGCCGAACAAGATTCCCCCGGCGCCAAGACCGGACGTTGGGTTTCGGGGAAGGCTGGGTTTAGTGCCAAAAATGCCAGCCTCGGAGCGATTGGGTGAGTGGGTTTGATAGGCAGAGAAAGGCATTTTCACCTTAATCGATCAGCATCGAGTGATTGGTCCAGTGTGTGTGAGCCCGTGCTTGTGCGCCTCGAGTCTCGAATTGCGGGTTCCCCGGTTTCGTCATCCAGGCAGGCAGTCACGCAGTCAAAGCTCCCACCAACAACACGACGTAATGCATTGAGGCCGCATTGGCCCCCATACTTTGTCACAACATCATCTCCCACCCACCGCCACCAACCCTCAGCTGCCCAACATCCACCATCACAGCCTTACCTTCTGAATAACATCATTGGAAACTCAAACGGAGGCCCGGCAGAGGCACACCCAGGCCAAGATGCCCGGCGAGCGCTCTCCGCTGATCACCTCCGTCGGCGTCGGCCCGCCCGTGCGCCGATACCGCCACAACGTCGTGCGCCGCTTCTGCACCATTGCCCTGTCGTCCACCCTGATATGGTTCTTCGGCGTCCTCGTCCTGACCTCTATCCTCGGCCGGGATGCGCCGCACCGCCACCGCCCTGACCACAACGATGGCTGGTCTTGGCCCGGCCACAAGGACCGCCATCTGTCCTACGATCAGCTGCGCAACATCCTCCGCGATGAACCCAGCAGCGAGCTTGCCGAGGAGTGGAGTCGCTACTACACCGACGGCCCTCATCTCGCTGGACAGAACTTCTCACAGGTGTGATGCGCCAAGGTTGCCCATTGCCCCCTCTGCACATATGATCACGTGCTCACCCCTTGCCCCCTACCGTATAGGCCGCCTGGACAAGGGAGAAGTGGGAGTCGTGGGGAATCAAGTCCTCTATCGTCTCGTATAATGTCTACCTCAACTACCCCGTCGACCACCGTCTCGCGCTACTAGAGGAGCCGAAAAAGTCCAAGGGCACGTCGGATCCATCGTCATGGAAGGTCTCATTCGAGGCCTCGCTCACCGAGGATGTCGTAGACGAGGACCCCACAACTTCCCGCAAGGACTCTATCCCGACTTTCCACGGTTACTCGGCCAGCGGCAATGTCACGGCTACCTACGTCTATGTCAACTATGGCACCTACCAGGACTTTGAGGACCTGCTGCGCGCCAACGTGTCCCTCAAGGGCAACATAGCCCTCGCCCGCTACGGCGGCATCTTCCGTGGGCTCAAGGTCAAGCGAGCCCAGGAGCTGGGCATGGTTGCCGCTGTCCTGTACTCCGACCCAGGCGACGATGGCGAAGACAGCGACTACTCGGACCCGGATGACCTCGAATCTGCGAACAAGAGCGACGATACCTACCCCAAGGGACCCAGGCGCCAGGCCAGTTCCGTCCAGCGTGGCAGCACCCAGTTCCTCAGTATCGCCCCCGGCGACCCGACCACCCCCGGCTACCCATCCAAGCCTGGTGCCCCACGCCAAGACCCCCACGGCCTGATCCCGAGCATCCCCTCGCTACCAATTTCATACGCCGACGCACTACCTATCCTCAAGGCTCTCAATGGCAACGGGCCGAGCTCTGACGACCTCGGAAGCAGCTGGACCCGGAAACGTGGGCTGAGATCCAAGGGCGTCAGGTACAACATTGGACCCTCCCCGACTGGCGTGGCCTTGAACGTGTACAACGAGCAGAAATATGTTACGACCCCGCTCTGGAATGTAATCGGCGTCATCAACGGCTCCACCCCTGACGAGGTCATTGTCGTGGGTAACCATCGTGATGCCTGGGTAAGATGCTGTTCCCGCTCATCGACCTCGGCTCCGAGACACTTGCTCACACGAATTGCTCATGCATAGATCGTCGGAGGCGCGGGTGACCCCAACAGCGGGTCTGCTGTCATGAACGAGGTCATCCGTAGTTTTGGAAAGGCCCTCGAGGCTGGCTGGAAGCCTCTCCGCACTATTGTTTTCGCCTCGTGGGACGGCGAGGAATACTCCCTCATTGGGAGCACCGAATGGGTCGAGGAGTATTTGCCCTGGCTCAGCGCCACCAGCGTCGCCTACCTCAATGTTGATGTTGCGGTTTCGGGACCCCAGTTCAAGGCGGCCGGTGCCCCTCTCATCGATGCCCTCCTGCATGAGATCACAGGTGAAGTGCAGTCACCCAACCAGACAGTCAAGGGCCAAACCGTGCGCGACGTCTGGGGAGGTTCCATTGAGATCATCGGCAGCGGCAGCGACTTCACGGCGTTCCAGGACTATGCGGGCATCCCCTGCCTAGACATCGGCTTCACCGCGTCCGCCTCCAGCCCCGTATACCATTATCACAGCAACTACGATAGTTTTCACTGGATGGCCAAGTTTGGCGACCCGGGCTTTGTCTACCATCGCACAATGGCCCAGATCCTGGGTCTCCTGACGGCCAAGCTCGCCGACAAGCCCGTCATCTCCTTTGTCGCCAAGGACTACGCCGCAGCGCTGGCCTCGTACATCGACAAGATCGAGAGGAAACTCGACACTGTGATGTCGCCGGGTGACCACCCGCATTCGCCGCCCCCAAAGCCGCTGGGCGCTGTGGACGCGGGGATGAGCGAGGAGCAGCGCCTGTTTGAGCTGCGCGCGAGCCACCACCACCCTGGCCAGGACCACAAGGGGGACGCCACACACTTCAAGAAGGAGCTGGGCCGGTTGCACGACGCGGCGTGGAAGCTGACACAGAAGGCGACCGAGGTTGACGCGCGAGCTGGGGAGCTCAAGCGCCGGGCCGACGAGGACCTGCCATGGTGGAAGTGGCCGGCCAAACTCAAGCTCGCGCTCGAGATCCGCGCCCTCAACACGAGGCTCAAGTTTGTCGAGCGTCACTTTCTTTACCAGCCGGGCCTGGACGGCCGGAGCTGGTTCAAGGTATATTTGACATTTGAATACCCGCCTCCTGTTTTCGCCTTGTTCCCGCTGACGATTCGAATAATCTCTCATAGTCGGTTGTGTATGCGCCCGGCCTCTGGACCGGCTACGCTGGAGCTGTCTTCCCTGGACTGCAGGAAAGCATAGACTCGCGCGACTTTGAGAACGCGGTTCGGTGGGTTGGCATCATTGAGAATTGCATCCTGAAAGCTGCCGACGGTCTCGACCTTGAGAAGAAGCACCACCATCAACATTTGCCTCTGATGCTCTAGGCAGCTTTTCATAATCCATCATCTTCTTTTACAGTCGTTCCGATGTTTTCTTTTCGGCACCACAAGAGGCCGTAGCAGCCTTGACCGGGCCGATGGGTTGTGATGTATACACGGCCCGTAGGATAGATTTCAGAGCCTAAAGACCAACACGCCTCAACTGCAATGCTGTTGAAAATGATGCTGTGTCAAGGTACTAAAGGGGCGCAAAAGGCATGGTAGGACAAACACGGTAAACACAGGCCACTAGAGGACCTGATTACAGGCGTCACATAAAGGCATGCGAGATTTCGTCCATCGTACTAGTGCCCAGCACTATCGGGTCTCAAATCTTGGATAATGAAAAGGAAACCTTGATATTTCAGTACTTTACACCAAGCAAGGCATGCCATGCCATGATATTGTGCCCTTTCCTTTGGTTCGCCAGAGGACGACCGAAGACAAAACGGGGACAGAAGCAAGTGAAGAAGTTTTGTATGTAGTGTATTTTGTTATTTGAGAGTCCTCCCACCTGATGCAGCTCTAAAAGAAACACGACTCTCCTCCCACAACGCCGCAGAGGAGGCTGGTGAGAGAGTCTCGTCGTCGTCACGAGCATCTCACAGGACTAGGTATTATCGCCCCGTCTCCCCCCAACTTTCTTTCCTTGTTCGTACATACAGGGCTCGAGAGAGAAGAAGAAAAAAAGGGCCCAAGGGGAGGGAGCCAGGGTGAGAGAATAACGTGAGCCCGCAACATGGAGAAAAAAGGACAAAACACGAGTTGGATGAGAAACATGACCAGGAAGGAAGAAGAAAATTTATAGTGATGAGGAAGAATAAAGAAATCCAGTCCCATACAAGGCCGTCACGACATGCGAAGGGTATCAGACCAAAAAAGGAACGTCTCCATCATAGACCGAGACGGAAAAACGGAGAAGCAAGAGAGAGAAGAAAAAAACCACTGATTCCGCCAAGTCCGTAAGAGGCGCCCCGCCCGGTAGCCCTAAACCCGCCCCAGCTCGAGACGTCTCCAACCTGGGCGGAGAGAGAAAGAGAGACGACGAAAGTAGACCAGATATGAGCACAGACAATGTGCCTCGGTGTCGTTGGGCGTCGTATCCATCTCTCAGAAAACGGGACAGTGCCCAAAAAAAGCGTGTATATAAAAATGTCGTGCATTATGTATAAGAAGGATGAAAATGCCGAACGAACGTCAATGAAAAAGGGTTTGCCGCTTTTTGATGATTTTTTTTGCTTGTCCTGTTCCCAAGATGCAGCCAAAAGAGAAAAGTGGTTGAGCAATCATGAAAAGTCATCGGCACCGCCGTTGGGCAGGACGAGCCTGTCCACCTGCTGGACGAGCTCCTTGGCGTCGCGTGCGATGCCAAAGGCGATGGGGGGGAGAGTCTGCGTCCACATGCGCCACTCCCTGCTGCCGGGGCCGTTGCCGACGTTTGCAAGCTCCAGCCCGTGGTCGCCGGCCTCGAGGAGGCGCTCCCGCGAGTCCTGCAGCTGCTGCGTCAGGTTGCGGTTGCCGCTGCGGTCCGTCTCGCCCACGATCTTGTCGACAACGTTGGCGACCCGCCCGATCTCGTCCCTAAGCCTGTCAATGCCCTGTTCACTCCGGATGGCCGCAACGAGCTCCTGGATGTCTGAGATGAGGACAGCAGTTTGATCCTCGAGGTAGATCTGAGATGCCAAGCATAGTTAGCTCATGATTCGGATTCCTTCAGAGGATGCAGAAGACATCACTCTGTGTATGGCTTGTGAGGAAAAGAGCTTACCTTGAGGTCCTCGTTCTGGCTATTCCGCGGCGGCGGCATGCCATACCCGTTGCCGTTGCCGTTGGAGCCATAGCCGTTGGGAGCCGGAGGGAGGCTCTTGTTCGGGCCCGGGCCATAGCCGCCGTTCATGTTGGCGCCGATACCGAGGCCGTTGCTGCGCCCACCGACTGGCCCACCAAAGCGGTCCCGGGACTCGCGCGGGGACGTAACTGGACTGTAAGCCGAAGACTGGATGCTAACGCGACTGTCGACGATGCCCTGGAGCGATGGTGGCGGCGGGAGGATCTCATTTTGGGAGATGGTGCTGGTCGTGAGAGGCGTCGGCGCCTGGCTCCTCGGGGAGAAGAATCCGATAGACCCGCTCGGAGTAGCGGTCTCATCGTCGTCGTCATCCTCAAGTTCGCCGGCTGGCGTTGGCCGGATCTTGACATTCCGAAGCAGCTCGACCACAGCCGCGACCAGGTGGGATGCGGCGGCATCGAGGAGCGAGACGGGCGAGATTCCGGCGCCAGAGGCGAAGTTCTTGGCCGCGGTGATGAGGTTGTTGGCTGTGGACGAGATGCGGCCCCTGAGGCGCGAGTGTTGCTGGCGCTGCTGCTCGTTGCTGCCGTCCTCCATATCCTTAATTATGCGACGGACGTTGACGACAACGGCCTTCATAGGCTCCATCACCTTTTCAGGCTCTCCGGAGCGGGCGCGCTGGAGCAGCTCGTCAACCGAAACCTGGAACTTGGTGACGTGGACGTCCTTAACCAGCCCGTTCTCCGTCGTAAAGCCCCGTTCCCGCAAGTACTTCGTCGCGTCCTGCTCCATAGCCAAGCCCATGGATGTGGCGCGCATGTTCCGCAGCTGCGTCTTGGTGCGCGTGTAGCGGTTCCTCCACTCCCGGGCCTCCTGCTCGAGCTGCTCGATCGTCTTCTCCAGCTCGCTCTGCTTTTGCCAGGCGGCCCCGCTCTGTTGCGAGAGCGTCCTCATCTCACGCATGAGCTCCTGAGCATCACGCTGGACCTCCTCCGTTACCTCCTCCTGCTCTCTGAGTGTCCTGCGCAGCTCCTCGTTCTCCCGCTCTAGGTCCGCATCGCCGCCTCCTCCACGTTCGTTGCCAGCGTTTTGTCGCAGGTCCTCTATCTCGTCCTGCAGTCGGCGCGTGTCGGCGTCGTGGTCGTCCCTAATGCGATCCAGCTCCTGCTTGAGGCGGTCGTTAAGGCTTTGGGCCTCCGAAATTTGGCTCTCAAGATCAAGGCGAGCATCATCCCATGCCTTCTTATCGACATTTGCTACCGTCGCTTGGCGTCGCTGATCATCCTGGATCGACTCAAGTTGCTCGTCCTTTTTCCGAATGTCTTCCTGCATGGACTCCAGCTTTTCCTTGAGTTCCCGTACCTGTATCTCGTAGTCATCCAGTAACCTCCGGTCGGCCTTGAAGTAAAAGTGTCAGCACAGCGCTATCCAGCAAGAGGTGAGCAGGGAACTGCAGAGACGACATACATCAGAGAGCGCACTGCTTGGCTCGTTGCCGCCGCTACGGGGCAGATTTTGGGCATTGAGTCTCAATGCATCCCCGCGCGAGGTGCTCCGCGGGCTGAGTGGTGAGTCGTCGTCATCATCCTCCTCAACCATGGTGCTCTTGTTTGGCACGATGGTATTACTTTGCGACTGTTTCGCCAGAGGCCGCTCGAAGCCCCCTGGCGGCAACCCAGGAGAAGGAGGTATTCCGTACGCCGAACCCAGGGCCGCACTCCTGATGGAGCTCGCCTCGGATGGTCGCCTTACCCTGCTCTGACTCCTTGGGGGAAATCCGTTCATGCCATTGATCGGGGTATTAGACCGGCTCGACATCCTCATCGAGGCGGGGCTGTTGACGCGAGGAATGTCTCCGCCGATGACACGGGGTATCCTTCGTTCGAGCTCGGTGAAGACATCAGTAGCTAGGTCACGGAAGCGCGGAGGCGGGAGTGACGAGAGCTTTTGGCGAGCCTGGTTACGTTTTGGGTGGAAGTTGTCTCGTGGCAGTAGGTATTTGGGAGGCGGTTCTGAGTTTGGTGGAGGGTATCGTCGGTTCAGTTCGTCGTAGACGTCGGTACTGAGTTCGAGGAACTGGACGGCGGTCAGACGCTGCAGCTTGTCGCGTGCCTTATTCGGAGCTGGTGGCTGGCCGTTTTGGGATGTGGCGCCGAGGAAGCGCTTTAGAACTACATAGTGCTCGCCCAGGACGACCTCGCCTCCCTCATCTTTCACGCTCCTGCCACTCTCGCTCCTGGCGTACTGGCCGATGCCCGCGCTGGATCGGCCGACTGAGGGCGGCGGGGAGGGCCCGCCGACGCTGCGAGGGCCGGGCGGGAATCCACCGTTCATGCCTCCAATCGAGCCGCCCGAGGCGGGTGGTGTTATGATGTTGCCGCGACTGTTGGGATATGGGCCGTCCTTGTCCATGGGAGGAGAGTATCGCGCCCAGTCGTTACCGCCTATAGAAGTTGGTGGTGACAGCGGTGCATTGCGACCATTCATGGTATTAGGGGTTGGCGATCAAAGGAGCGACTGTGGTTTAGTTGGTGGTATTTCTCGAGCTCAAGCTTGACGCTCGCGGCGGATGCGCACGTCGCCGTAGCTGGTGACAGGCGGTGTCAGGCTGGTTGCGGCTGTCGCGGCTGTGCGAGACAGGCTGGAATTCGGGGGTGCGTCGCCCGGTTCGGTAATGTCTCTGATCTGGACCGTCGTGGGTTCGGGTTTGCGCCAAGAGTGTGGTTGGTCGTGGCTGGTGCCTGACGAGGTGACAGTGGCGAGAGGATGTGTCGCAGTCTTTGTCTTCGATTCGGGCTCGCGTGCGGCGGCTGTCGTGGTTCATCAAGCCGTCTGGTCTGAGTCGAAAATGACGCCCGAGTTCTTGAACTTCCTCCCAGGTCCCCCAGATTGATTCAGTGTGACGGGGAATCCGCGACGCATGAAACGTGAAGGGCGAGCGGCAAGGGTGCAGCCACCAATGAAGCGACCGTCTGATGTGCCCTGCCGGCTGGATTCTAGCCCCAGTGGGAAAGAAAGAAAAGAGGAACCGCGAAGCAACCGGTTACACCCGCAATCCAGACGGGCTGTTGGACGGTCGTCGTCGCAGCAGCCGGCAGCGATTCAAGCAGGGACGGAGGTGTTGGGCGAGGGCTGGGACCGAAGCGACGCCAGGTCCGGGTGGGTTTGGCTCGACGAGCGGGCTGCAGGTGGCCGTCGATAGGCCAGTCAATCAGTACGTGTACTCGACTCTCGGGGTTGCGGCTGGCGGCTGCTGGTTCAGGCATTACCTGATCAACCCCCTTTCGATCGATCGATCCGCCAAGTCGGGAGACGAACAGGCAGGTCGGCACTGTACTTCGAACCCACCACCTCGGGCCCGCGTCCGACTGAGAAAGAAAAAAAAGAAAGAAAAAAAGAAATCGATAAAACAAGGACGGAAGATCGGAGAGCCAAACAGACCCAGCGGCGGGAAGCGAGGGAGAAGACGCTCGTGCGTGGTGGCCTAGGACAATCCGCGGCGCGGCGCGAGTGCGTGTGTGTGCGATGCGAGGATGCGAAAAAAAAAGCCCCTTTCCTACTTTTTCGCTAAGTCGGACGGACGGGGTTTACGACCAGGGGGGGACGCCGTGTTAGCGCGGGTGATTCCCCTGATTATGATGATGGTGATGGGCGGTGGCGCCAGTCCCCTTGGATGCACGGCGGCAGTCTGTGGTTGGCCTGGGAGATGGCGTCCAAACTCTTTCGAGGGCGAGCGCGCGCTACTGCAAGCCGGGCCAGTGCTGATTGGACGGACTAGGGCGAGAAACCGTGGGCGCTGGGCGACGAGTTTCGCGGGCTGGCACAAAACAATGTCTGGTGAGGGAGACAATGGATGAGGGATCACGCGCAACCTCTCTATTCGAGCTTGTGGAAATTCAGGAAGTGCAGCCACTGGGCTGGGGCGGGGACAGAGAGGTTTTACGCGATGGACGGGGGAGGAGGCCCGCTGTTCAGTGCGCCTTCATTATTTCGTGGTGTTTTTTTTTATTGGGCTCAACTTCTGCGCCTCCTCCCCTTGCACATCTCATTACCCGCCGGCAGGTGCAAGAGGGCAGAGGGAGCAGCAACCCACCACCCCCGGCGCATTGTACGGAATCGAGAGCTTCCATTTCGCCTAGGGCAAGGGGGCCCGCGAGTTGGAAGAGTGCCCAACCTGCGGCTGCCAGCAGGGAAACCCACGATGAAAGGGGCACACCCAACCCACTTTTCGGAGTGTTTCTGGGGGACGTTCCTTGGACTGCTCTCGACCCTAATCTCAAGACCCCGACGTCGCAATGGGCTCCGCAGAAACCCACCCTGCCTGGCCTTGGCCGCGTGCGCAAAGGGCCACGAGCCCCCTGATCGGCGGGCCAAAAGGGCTGGAGAAAGAAGGCTGGAAGGATGGGGGAGAAGGGGAGAAAGAGGGCGAGGGGAGGCGCGGCGCCCAGCCAGACCCCCGCCCCGGCGATCCAGCTTGCCATCGAACCCGAACCGGCCGAGAGCAAACAGCGGACCGAGGCCGGGCCTTGAGGCTGGGGTTGTGTGGTTGTTGGGCCGGGCCGGGCTGGCTGGTGTTGGGGTCCGTTACGGGGCTAGGAGACCTTCCGGGACAAGAGAGGCAGGAAACAAACAGACAGACAGACAGACACGCATGTCTCGGGAGGTCTGCACCGCCGTGTCAGTCACCAAACGGGATTTACAGATCTGACAAGAAACGACAAGGAGCCATGGTTGGCAGTGGCAGTCAAGCTGGAATCCCTGCTCGACTCGGGGTCTCCTTACGGCTCCCCCATCAAATTCCACGCGACTGGCCCGGGAGGTTGGTTTGCGGCTGCTGCTGCGCCACCCAGCCCTCGCGGCAAGGAAGGTGGGAGACATGTCCTGAACTGAACAGTTTCCCCAAAATTGCGTCGTGCCCACGCTGGCGTGTCGGCCGCTTTGACTCGGGCACTTCGGGCTCACATGGACGCGTTGATCTGATGATGGAACGGAGAATTCCCGAAAAGGCTTGGCTTGCGATTGCCGCTGCGCTCGAACATTGATGCGACAAGTCAAAATGCGGATGACGTTTTCAATTGCATCACTTCTTTGACAGGTACAGAAGATATTTCAAGATATGTCAACGTCAAGCACCATTTCAGACCAAGGGTATCATATTTCAACTCAGTAAAAGCAGAAAGAGTCCAACGGCCAAAGCCTTGACTCCCAGTGCTCCCTGCACGAGGGCTTCCCGCCAGCATTTGTCTGCAATGCTTTCAGAACCACGCCAGAGTCCAGGTTGCGGGCAGGTTCGGCCATCTTTCCTGCCACTCGGCCAAGACCTCTGGCACCCGTTCATCGAAGCCGGACCGGCCAGCGCCGCCAGCCCCGTCAAACACGGCAGCGCCCACCTTGTCCCGCTCCTCCATTGCCACCTTGTTCAGCGACTCGGCCAGATCGAGAATCCCGCTGCCTCCGATAGCCGCCTCCTCGTGGTTATCTTTGATGTCAACATTGATGACATGGACGGCGCGGTTCAGGGGCGAGCCGCGTGCATGTAGGTCATCTATGACGGCATCCCAACAGCGCTCCTCGCAGGTGAACACCACGTCGACCACGCCGCCCTCCGTTCCAGCGCTCCCGCGATCGCTGGCATGGTCCAGGCGTGGGATGCCGATCTGCCAATCCTGCCATCTCTCCGGGTTCCGCTTGACATTGCGGTTTCGACCCAACATGTTCAGGATGCCATTGGCCCGGTATAACCTAGGATCCTTGCCCTCAAGCTCCTTGTACATGTTATCGTACGTCGTGTCGTTGAACTTGTATACGTTGGGCTGGGTTATCGTGGGCCCGGGAAGGCGCACTAGAGATCCCGTGCCAAAGGATATGACTGGGAAGTTTGCCTGTGAGAGGCGGAGATGCGCCTCCATCGAGCTGAACCGAGCAGAGAAACAGGAGCGATCAGCGACCGAACCTCCGGCGATATATGGTAGACAAGGTGGCTCACCGATTCTGGTTACTCGCACAGACGGTGCAGAACTTCAGCTTGAAGCCATCTTCGCGCTCCTGCTCGGGAGCCTGACCCGCAGCAGGCCCTCCATTTTGCGTCTCCATCGGCGACTATTGGCTAGTGGTTGGTGACACACAGCTCCTGCTGAAGCAGAGGTTTCGGTTTGCCGACTCGGTCTCGAAGCAGAAACAGTCTCTCGCAATCGAGGATGGCCGAGGTGCAGGGCGCTCAGATGGGGTACATCTGGCTGGCGGTCAACCTGGATGTCGCTGGCACGTTGTTAGCAAACATGCAGCTCCGGTGGTGGACGAAACAGATGGGCGTGAGTGTGTCGAGGAGCGGTATCAGGTAAAAGCGTAATAGTAATATGAAGTGTCATCAAAGAAATCAGACAGCTCCAATAATAGATCTCATCATGTTACTCGTTCGGTAGGCAGGCAGGCCAGGCAGCATGGAATGCGTCTCGGGCAAAACGCGGCAGAAGCAGGCCACAGCTTCACGCAAAAATCAACATCAATGAAAATTAAGCATACCACCAACCTGCCTAACGGCGTTTCGTGCTGGAAAAAAGCGAGGCTGCTCAATTCCGATTCGTGACTGGTCCACGGGCTCAAGTCTGCGTTTGAGGTAATGACAGACCTACTTCCGTTTTCGGGCTAATGGTGCGCATGCTGGAGAGCCGAGGGGGAGGCGGGAGAATAGCCAGCGCGTCCCATGGTCTTGTTCAAAGTTTGCACGGTTCCAGAAACAAGAACAGCGCGCAAGGCACGACACACGGCAAGTCCTGTGGCTTTTCAGTAGGGCGGGCACCAAAGCTCGGTTGAGCGAATCATGTGCGAGCAAGCGGGGTCGTGCCTGGTGCTCATGGATCGCCCTCCGCCATTGGCTCGAGACAGCGACAAAGCCAAATTGGAGCCGCCCAGAGGCTGAGGTACTCTGAGGGACGGCCACGTGTGAACTGGAGGGTTCAATGGACAGGGCATGGCTTTTACCAATTGGAGCCCAACCCAGTGCCTTTGCTGAGGAACACGGAGGAAACATCAAAGCCCGTGTGCAGGTCCCAGCCGCCAATTTCATCTCGATGGCGCGAGGAACATAAGGCTAGTTGGCCGAGGGACTAGCAAATAAACTGGAGGGCATGGAGTCAGTGGAGGGCAGCCAGCTCCATCAATTGTTCCGTTGGTACCCAGCCCCAGTCGAGAATTGCGACAGCTCGACCGCCCGCTACCCAATGCGGACTAGGCGCCGGCTCCTCCCCGTCCAGACAACCGAGGAGTTGGGTTTGCTTTTTGGCGCTGGGCATGCAAAGATGAAACAATCGAGTCGGTGGAGGCGGTAGGGTGAGCAAAGGGTGCTGCATTCCAGAAATAGAAACAATGGGTTGAGGCTACGCTGGAGAAGCCTGAGCTTGGTGCTGAAGACCGACACAGCCAATGTACGCAATCGCAGGGAGAGAAAGCAAAGATCCGAGAAGAATAGCGCCCGGCTGCTGAAGAGAAAAGGCGAAAAAGAAAGAAAAACAAAGAGAGAAAAAAGTTGCATCACAGCCAGGGTGCGTGGTTCTTGTTGATGCGTCGTGGGGTCCCTGAAAGGGAGCGTTCAACCATCTGCCCGCATGGTTAACTCTAAAAGGAACAAGACGACGCGGACGAGCGCCTCTAGACCCTTTGATATTCAAGCATCAAACTCTCTCTGCCTTGGTGTGTGATCAGACGCTCATATCGGGCGTCGTTAACGTATATAGGTACCCTTCCTAGAGCGCTATGACGGGGAACCATGGCATATGAGAATTGCAAATCGGCAGCTGACAAGCGCACAAATGCAAGTTTGCCATGAGATCTCGTCTTGTTGCACCCCAGGTCGCGGTCGTCCTCCCGCCCATCTGGTCTGCTCTGTGTCACGCCTCCGGGTCAAGGCATGCACTGCACCTGCACCGTGTTGTGCAACGAGGGCTGGCATCTCGGCCAAGACGGTGTGATTTGCACAGGGTTCCATTCCAGCTGTTGGGTTCCCCCCTCCAGCAGGCTGCTGCTTGTTGCTGCACTGCATCCTCTCCGCAGTGACAACAACGGTGCGGTGTGGGCATCTCCAGTTAATGGCCTGACTGACGGCCGCCCGCCACCTCGCTTCCAGCCTCTTCTGGCTTTTGGATACATCCCACATTCCCCGTATCGCGTGCTGTCTACCAAACCTACACACTACGTGCGCATAGAGCAGTGGGCAACCCGATGGAACAAGCCGTCTGCGCCAACACTGGCGGGCAGCCCGTCCGCTGGGCTGATTGCCTATCGCCCATCGCCCGTCCGAGCTCGCTCGGCGTGCAGACGCAGGCGTGCAGGGTTCTTGTGTCCGTCGGTCCTCCAGCCCGGCTCGTCCCTCTCTTGACGGCGTCAACCAGTCAGAAGGAGGGGGGTGGCAGCTGCAGGAGCGCGCTTATTCCCCGCCTGGACAGCCCCGAGTCTTGCTGTAATCACCCCTTGGTCGCTGGCTCCACTGTGCCTACCTGGCTAGAGGACCCTAGCAGGCCGACAGGGGCCAGAACTCGTGCTGGCTTCCCCGCTGCTCTGGCCGCTGTTTTCTCAGCTCCTGTGCTGCCAAACCACATACACCAGCAGCAAACCAAGCCCACCAAGAGAAAAAGATGGCGGCCCTCCAGGTTCCAAAGACTAAAATTGCTAGTGTCGTGGGATTTCCTCTGTGAGATTTCCTATGCGAGATTCCTGTGTGGGCTTTCCCATGTGAGCTTTCCCATTCTTATTTTCCTTCCTGTTGACATTCCTATTTTTGTTTTTGTTTTGTTTTTCTTGCTATTGCTGCTCCTATTCCTCAAAGGAATTGTCCACTACATCAATAACTTTCATCCGGGACCTGTGCTAGTAGCCTTCTGTGGTTTAGGTACTTACTTTAGGTACCCCTATGTACCTGACCTAAGGTGGGACTGCCATATTTTTTTGGTGGGCGTGCACACCCACCGCTGGCTGCCTGCTGCCAGGACAAACACCCAAGCCACCAACCAACCTTGCCTGGCCCGCCGCTGTGCTGTCGTGGCCAACTCTGCTTGACACCTCCGGCTCAGTCCCTTTTCCCCCTCCCGCTCGTGCTCAACTCTTGCCCTCTTGTCGTTGCTGCTGCCCTCGCTTATTTACTTAACTTTCTGGCTTCTGTCGCTATAACCTCGATCGTCTCACGACCCGAGGCGCGTGCGCAACGGGAGGGGTCGTCGCCTGCGGCAACCAGAAATCCACCCACCCCCATCCCAATAATCAGCGGGAATAATAGCCCATGATTTTGGACAAGAGTCCCCACACCCGCCGCTCTTTGCGACTCCATCGCTACGTACAGGCTTCCCCCCTCGGCGCCTGACAGGTTTTCGCAAATTTGCACCGCACCGCATCGCTTCTCGCCCGCTAGCTAGCCTCCTCCTCCTCCACAACGACGCTTCCGCGAAGCCTCTCTCGCTCTACCTACCCGGCTGCCCGCCACTTGCTATCTGCCGCCTCTGCCTGGTTCTCTTGCTTTCTGGCTACCTACTTCGCTCCATCGCTCGAGGGACACACCCTGTTCCGGTCTTCCGACGCTGCACCTCCGCCTCAGCCCTCTTTTGTTGTTGTCGCCCGTCCGCCGCCACCCCGACAATCCACCCCTTCGATAGCCTGAATTGGCCTACTCAGAGCATTCTGAAAAAGCCGCGCGCGCGATTGACAGTTTTGCTAGTTGGTCTCGAGTAACCGCGCTCGCCGCCCTGTACAAAACCCCCCTGACTACCTATCTACCTACACACCTCTCGCCACAACACAAAGAGCCTGCGGAGCGCAAGCGGGCTGGCCGTCCCCTTTTCCCCCGCGGCGACCGCTCAAAATGACGGCAGTCATGTCGCAAAGTGGTTCGTCCCCGGCCACCTCACCCCCGGTTGTCGCATCGCCGTCGGCGACGAGTCCAACCCAGAATCCAAACCACCCCTCCCTACACCCCCTAATAACCTCCCCTCCAGCAGCACCAACGCCATCCCGGAGAAGCACCCTGCCGAGGCCAATGTCATACGCATCGCGGAACCGACTCTCCCAGTACTCGGCTGGGTCCATACCCTCGCGCTCCCGCCCGCCGTCTCACATCTTTCCCATCTACCCATCGAGCCTGCCATACGCCCTTGTGCGCGACTTCGCCTACCCTTCTGGCCACCCAATGCACTATGGGCCCCCGCCCGAGCCCTCGCGCCCGCCCTCGGGCATGACCACCCCGGCTAGCGAGTATAACCGGAGGCTGTCGGACCCACCTGTGCCTTGGGAGAGCAAGCTGAACTGGGACGGCGGCTCCTGGACTGAAGGCTTCGGAAAGGCCGGCGATCTGGCACCAATGCTCCTTGGCGACGGTCCCCCCTGGAGCGAGGACGAGGACCTTCAGAGCCCGGTCGTGAGCTCGCGCCATCGCAAGCACAAGTCATCAACAGGCAGCATGTTGAAGTCAGGAGGCGGTCTGGGTCACAGGGCCAAGGGGTCGAGAGAGGAATCGGATGGCTCGAGCGTCCTCAATCCTGACAACTTCGACGGGCAGAGAGGCTACTACGTCGGTACTGGCGGCGACGGCGGCGAAACGTACTATGTAAACCAGGGAGACGAGGCCAATGGCCCCGGAGGCGAGTACGTGACGTATCCGCCGGATCAGCCTGGCGACGTGGACAATGCTGGCGGCTACCAGATGGGTGACCAACAGCCCCGCCAGTACGCCGAGCACGACGCCGGCTATGACTCACGATCGGACGGGTCCAGCTCGCCATCGTCCCCCGCGTTTGGCAGGACAGACGAGTCCAGATATTCGCGGGACTACCAATTCACAATCACCTCGCCAGATGAGGAAATGCACGGCAAGGCGGTGGCGCTCTTCGACTTTGCCCGCGAAAACGAGAACGAGCTGCCGCTGGTGGAAGGCCAGATAATATGGGTATCGTACAGGCACGGCCAAGGCTGGCTGGTGGCCATGGACCCAAAGACACAGGAGAGCGGGCTCGTGCCCGAAGAGTACGTGCGGCTGCTGCGCGAAATCGAAGGCGGAATGACGAGCCTAACGGGCCAGGCCGCGCCCGAGGGTAACGCAAGCCCCAACGATTCGGGCACTCCCACACAGACGGAGCACCAGAACGCCCAAAGCGCCAGCCTCCCACAAGGGCAGGGGCCCCAGGATACGCTCAAGGCGCAGCCCCAAGGCCCCAGCCCGAGCCCAGCACAGGGCCAGGCCCCGGGACACTCGTCGACGCCAAGCAACGCGTCAAACGGATATCACCAACCCGTGGTGTCGACATTCTCAACGTCCAGCAAGGATCTGGACCCGTATCCACAGCATCTCCTAGGAACACAGGCCGGACAGACGCCGCCACAGGTCGTACACTATCATGGGCAACGCGGTGGGAGCCAGGCCAACACGCCGACGCTACTGTTTCACCAGGATGTGGGCCCGATGCGCCGCGGTAGCCAGGACGTTCAGCCAAGGAAGCAGACGGACAGTCTTCCGATACTCCCTGGCGCGCGGCTAGAGTCTCCAGTGTCGGCCGAGACCACGGTCAAGGAAAGGGGAAAACGCGAGAGCCGGTGACCACGCGCCCTGAGCCACGGTTACTACAAGCTGTCGGCACCTCGAGTCTCGGCGGCATGACAGACGACAATCCTAGACGCCGAAAGAATGACGGCATACCGCAACGATGAAAACGAAGAGGAAAGCAGAAAGATTGAAAATGATCTATCACGCTACTTTGTACCATTAGTCCACGACTGGCGCTTCATTTGGTTCTTTTTTTATTTTGCTGTATATCCGTTTTCTCTGCATCTCCCATTGTTCGCCTACGGTTTGGTTTGAGGAGCACTTTCTTTACGACCGCAGCCTGGTTCCGCAAGGCTCCGAGGCTGGCGGTCTGAATTTTTTTGAGCAGTTACTCCCTGCTGCCGCGGCGGGAAGAGGACGACGATCATGGCAAAGTTCTGGCGGAACAATATTTGCAAGAGGGCTACGAGGGTGGCGTAGCGTTTCTTTTCGTCTTGACATATTTTCCCACATGACTTTACGAATTCTGGGTTTCGGATTTTCCAAGGAGCGGAGCATGCATCTCGATTGTGGTGAGGTATAATTGTTTGTTGTTGTCCTGTTTCCCCCTTTGTTGGCACGGCGGGAGAGATATGAGAGATGAGACGAGATGGCGGCATGTGAAGCAGGATCATTCATGTTCAAGGTCTCTGACTGCGCGGGGCGGAGCTGGTTTGCTGGACAAGGCGAGGCGGAGTAGTATTTCTGGAGACGGAATGGGGATGTTTTGAATGCAACGGAAGGAATTGACAAATGCATGTGCCCCTTTTTCTCGTTTCGATGGTCGACTTGGCGTCCAGGCTAGTTCCCTGGAGGCAATGAGGCTCTCGCACGCTCCTCGGGGACAGTTGGTGGGAGTTTGGCTTGGCGGACACGCTTGCTCACGTGAAATTTACGTCATGCAACTCAATTTGTCAATTCCCCAATTCGACTGGAGCTCCCCCACGAGCACGCCAGCTCTTGGTTGGCTGGTGCGGTAATCATCGAGCCCGGCATCGTCGGCCCATCGCTAAACCCAACGCCTAACTCTCTTTCCCACCATCTAGCGAGCTCCATTGAGCTACGAGACACGCTCGCCATGTTCGTCCGACCCATCGCTCGGGCCTGCCAGCCCCTAAAGAAGCAGACTCTGCGCCGCTACGCCACAGACTCGACGCCGCCCCCGCCCCCGCCGCCTCCCCCGTCGGGCGGCAACGCCACGACGCCCGCCCTGGTGGCGGGCGCCATCGGCTTTGCCGCGTTTGGCGGCTACTACCTCTTTGGCCGGGGCGGCAATGGCATGCCGGCGGCGTCTCCAGCGCAAAAGGCCGCCGCCGCCGCCGCCGCCGCCGCCGCCTCCCCGTCCTCGCAGGTCGGCGCCGGGGCCGCGGTCGGCGGGCCCAAGAAGGCGCTGACGGGCGGTGACCAGGGCTTCGTGTCGCTGCTGGTCGAGGACGTTGAGATCGTCAACCACAACACCAAGCGCGTGCGCTTCAAGTTGCCCGAGAACGACATGGTCTCGGGCATGACGGTCGCGAGCGCGCTGCTGACGAAGTTCAAGCCGGCCGGCGCCGAGAAGCCTGTCATCAGGCCGTACACGCCCATCAGCGACGAGGGTGCGTTTCATTCTTGCGTCCTCTGTCTCTTTGTGATGGGGCCCGGGATTCATCTTTGCTGATCGTGTCTTCTTTTACTTGCAAACTCTAGACACCACGGGCTACATGGACCTTCTCGTTAAAAAGTACGAGGGCGGCCCCATGTCGACGCACATCCACGAGCTCGTGCCCGGCCAGCGCCTCGACATCAAGGGCCCGCTGCCCAAGTACGGCTGGACGGCCAACAAGCACCCGCACATCGCGTGCATCGCCGGCGGCACGGGCATCACGCCCATGTACCAGCTCATGCGCGCCATCTTCAAGAACCCGGACGACAAGACAAAGGTGACGCTCGTGGTCGGCAACATCGCCGAGGAGGACATACTACTCAAGCAGCAGCTCGCCGAGCTCGAGAACACGTACCCGCAGCGCTTCCGGGCCTTTTACGTGCTCGACAACCCGCCTAAGGGCTGGGCCGGTGGCAAGGGCTTCGTGACGCAGGAGCTGCTCAAGACGGTGCTGCCCGAGCCTAAGGAGGACAACATCAAGGTGTTTGTGTGCGGGCCCCCGGGCATGATGAAGGCCGTGTCGGGCGCAAAGGTCAGCCCCAAGGACCAGGGCGAGGTCTCGGGCATCCTCAAGGAGCTGGGCTACAGCAAGGACCAGGTCTACAAGTTTTGAGGGGCGCGGTTGGCAGAGATTCGCGCAGCCTTGTATAAATAGATCCATAGATGCGCCTTTCCCTTGCCGTGGCACGCGGAGACGTGCCGACAGGCGGGGATTCGCACGTAGCCATGAATATGATTCAACGCAACGCCCCAACCTCATGCGACGCGGGTCAGGAGTCGGTTGTGTGTGTGCATAGTGTGGATGAGGTTCTGGTGCTTTTCAAGCGGTTCGTCCGTCGGGTATGGACGGTAAAGAATTACTCGACGGCTGTGCTGAGGTTGAAGGGCGGTTTAATATGGGCTCGTTTGGGCTGCTGTCAGCTACTGAATAATGTAGCAGTTGAGTTTAATCGGGCCTCTCAGACTGGTAAGCACATGCATCAATCATGACAAAGCTCCGCCATGTGCCACCACCGTATCGAGAATGGTACTTCCTGGCCACGTAGCACATGGGGCTATAATTCGAAACTGCCCCAGCGGCTGCGGCAGGATTATAGCCCAAGTTGCCGGGGAACTGGTTCGTCGTCCCACCAGCGGGGCTGATCGCGTCACTCAATGACGGCTGAGGGGGCTGCTGCAGCTGAAGCTGTCGCTAGTAAACATTGAGCCCGAATTTTTCATCAGGAGCTCAATCAGGAGCTTCAGTTCGAGGTTCCTCATATTTCACCCCCCCACAGCAAGCCCTGGCTCGGAAAAGGCAATGCCGGCAGACAACAGTCGAAGCTCTGGAGGCGGCTCCTCGCGGCGGCGGGCGAGGGAGAGTCTGAGAGAACAGCGAGTGCCGTCCTCGTCGGCCCGCTCTCCCTCGCCCCCTCGCTCGACCCGCCATTCACAGCGCCCTCACCACCAGCAACAGCAGCAGCAACAGCAGCAGTATCTCCCAGTCCCTCAACGCGGCCCGTCGGTGCACCAGCCTCCCTCGCTTCACGATAACGACAACTTTGCCGCCACAAGGAGCCTCTTTGAAATCGACGATGCCTCATCTTTCATGTCCACCGCCCGCACCCACCATGACCCCGACGTGGTCGTTGACGTCCCCGCCGAGCAGGCCGTCGCCGTCCTCCTGAAGGAGCCCCTGGGCTACGTGAGCCGCGACTGGTTCGAGCTGCTGTGCCTGCCGCGCCACGGCCAGCCGTCGCCGGCCCAGGTGCGCGCCGCCTACGCCCGCCTCTTCCGCCTCCTGGACGCCGAGCTGCAGGAGGACGAGTCTCGCGAGATGGCGGCCGCCTACCTGACGGTCGCCCAGGCCGCCTGCGAGGCCCTCGTCGACCCGTCGCGCCGCGCCGAGTACCTCGAGGACCTGGCGCTGCGCGCCGGCGAGACCTCGCTGGTGGGCGTCGACGACCACGACGATCACGTGCCCCCCTCGGCCGTCGAGGCGCAGCGCCTGCTCCGGCTGAGACGCAAGCGGCGGCTACTGGCCTCGATCGAGTCGTCCACCGATCTGGCCGTCAGGGCGGACGCGACCTCTGTGACGTTGGCGTCGCTGACGGGCCCTTCGCCTCCAGATGTCAGGCCTCTGGACTTTTCCCTTGGCCACTCGACCGTCGTCCCACTCCCCGCGCTGGGCCGTCTCCTCGCGGTCGCGCTGGAGTCTCTGACTCTGCTCGATGACGAGCCGGGCTCGGAACTGCTTCTCGCTGCTCCCAAGCTGACCGTGTCTGCGTGTTCCTATGGTGTTTTGGGGGACGTCTCCCACATACCCACCGCGGTCGTGACAGACCGCTACCAGCCCATGTTCTCCGGGCCCCCTGCGCGGCACCGCATGGTACAGCTCCTCATCAACAAAATCTCTCCTCTGGTGACGGTGGGGCTCAGAAACGAGCTCGTCCGCCTTCCAAAGCGACTAGACAACCCGTACGATTCCCACTTGCGCGATAACGACTGGAGCCCGTATGACCTTTTGACCATTCCTGATCCCGAGCCGACCCGGGTCCTAGTCGTGGAGAACGAGCTCGATCTTCTGCCGGTACCGGCCGTGATCACGCGGGTGGCCCACACCATCGAGCTCGACGACGGGAATGGCGCAGACCCCATCCACTTCGAGGCCCTCGTCACGGCTCCGGTGCTCTCATCGGTGTGGAGGCGGCCCAGGGCGGGCGTTGCCGTCCAGCGTCGCCTCGGCTTCGGCACCGCCTTCGTCTGCGCCGACAGCGGCGAGCTTTCCTTCCTGAGCTCGCTTCTGGGCGATGATGCTGCTACTTGTGCTGGCGTGCGAACATTTTCCAAGAATCGCCTCTGGGGCAGAGGCCTGCCCGAAGCCCTCCTCATGTCGCCTGCTCTGCGGGCTTACGTGGCGCCGACAGTGGAGATTGGTTACAGCAGCCAGGCGCCAGGCGAGTTGGGCCTGCTTGGAGCGACCGGCCGGCCGGCTACTGGTCCCATCGACCGGGGGTTCAAGGGTCTTGACATTGAGGCGGCCGATGCGGCTGGTGCCGGTGGCCCTGGCTCGAGCAGGGGTTCCTGGGCGGTGTCTGCGGCAGCCACGCCAGGATATGCAACTGGTTACCTACGTTATGGCCTCGAGCTGGTGTCGGCGCTTCCCCGGGCCGTCACCTCCATGCTGCCGTTCGACCCGAAGGCCTACCACATGGAAATGGAGCTCTGCACACCGCCGGCCGCCACGACCTACCCCCTGAATCTGGGCTCCATTTATGGGGGTTGCGTTGCATTCCGCGCCCTCCGCCGGGTCGGCGCCCGGTCTAGTTTCGGCTTCGAGGTTGGCCTTAGCCTTTCGAGCTTTCACCTTAACCTGTACTGGTCGCGGCTGGCCCAGCGCTTCAGGCTCCCGGTGCTCCTGCGCACCAACCCCTCGGCCGGCGGGGGCGGAGTTCCCGGCGGGGTGTCGTTCGTGACGCCACGCCTGGCCTTCTGGTCCGTCCTCGTGCCCATGCTGGGTCTCGCAGCCCTGGACCTGGCCCGGCTCTGCAGCAGGGCCGGGCGGGTGGCGGCGGCGCGCGAGGCCGACAAGAAGCGCGCGGCGCTCTCCATGACCAGGGACGAGCTGGCCGACCACGTGGCGCGCCGGCGCGCCGAGGCGGACGAACTGACGGCGCTGCTGGCGGTGGGCGCGCAGGCGCGGCAGCAGGCCGAGCGGCAGCGCGGCGGCCTCGTGATCCTGGCGGCCAAGTACGGCGTCCCGGACGTGGAGTCGGACGACGCCCTGCTCGCGTCGGCGGCGCCTCCGTCCCGCAAGCAGCGGCCCACCCCCTTCGACCCGGACCACGAGGTGGCCGACGTGGTGGTGGCGGTGGCGGCGCTCGTGCAGGGCGGCGACGACGACGACGAGGCGCCCGGCTCGCTCCTGATCCCCGCCGGCCTGCGCAAGAGTAGGCTGCTCGGCTTCTGGGACCCGGCCCCGCTGCGCACAAAGGTGCTGCAGGTGCGCTACGCGTACCGCGGCCGCGAGGCCTTTGTCGAGGTGCGCGGGAGGGAGGAGCTGCGGCTGCCGGTGCCTTGAATCTGGCGGGGGGGGGGTGGGG